TATGATCTTGTTTTGAATCTTTCAGCAAGCTGTTAACATTTATATTTTTTGGGAGAGAAAGCGAGAGAGAATGGGAGAACTAATTGAAAAAGTACAAGAAAAGCTCCTTCATAGAAGGTTTTGATGCTTTAATGCAAAAAAATCTCTGTAATATATATTTTGAATTTCATGATTTAATTCTTTTACGGTTAGCAAACTTGTCAAGATTTGTATGCTTTAGTATGTAAAACATCTGTATCCAGCAAAAGGAAACCTTAGAGGTTATTGTGTGATCAAGGACAAAGCATTGATTTTAAATATTCTGATTGGAATATGAAGTAGAGATAACTCATTTAATATGGCCATGGGGTGAAGTTAGTTTCCGGGCTACGTCGTAAGAGTTTCTCAAGCTGTTAGAAATGACTTTAGGCGATACAAGGTAAAATGAGCAAATGAACATTGAGCTGCCAAAAAAACCTGTTACTTAGTTCTCTTGTAAAGATGCCCTGAATAGTTATACATTTATTAATTAAGTTTTTGATTATTGAATAGAGGAAGAACAATGATTTGAGAAAATAAAAGGTATATTGGCCATGAAATTTGCCTACCGCACTGTGCGGATCATTAAAAGATATTATTCATTGTTTTTTAATTTTCATCAAAAAAAAAAAACATCTTTGAGAGAGATTACAGAGAATCTACAAAGGTAAATCGCAAATACCCAAGTAGAATATAATCCTATATCAATTCACGTATTATTATTATTAAATATTCATGGCATTTCAGTATTTTCACTCACCCTGTTAGTAGCAATTGTAAAATTATTTTTGTTCATTGCATATTGATGGCCTTTGGCAATGATATTTGACAAAAAATGTTATGTGATACTTGTGACCATTATTACCCCATTATTTTTGCTGGTTATCACTATAATTATAGAAAATGAACATCCCTGGCTAGAACATAATTAGTCTCTCTGCCCCTATGTGTAGTAGTTTGTGAATAGATTCTTTTTCTGTCATCATTCCGAGAGTGAGATTTGCTTTTACTATTGATATTGATTATTGTATGTTATTAAAGAAAGCAGAATTCCCTGCAGTACATTTGTTTTAGTCACATTCCTGATTGTTTGTACACTAATGATCAGCCTTACGTCATACTCATATCCTATTGATGAAATGATAAGGGTTTCTTTGTTCTTCCTTGTTGATATTGCTTTTAGTTCAGTAATTAATTTATCATGAAATTCATGTACATTCAATATTTTTTGTAAAGGATTTGTCAAAAACAGTAACCATCATAAAACAGTTGGAAATCTAACGATGGATTCTTTGTTACAAGATTTTTCAAACAAAATACAATCTCGTTGAGCAGAAAATAAGAATCAAACAAAATTTGGAAAAAAAAAAAAATCTTATGGTTTTGAGAAATTAATATTCAGTAATTGAAAATAGGAATAACGAGTATTCATGAAAGGTACAGATTTTTTTTTTCAGCATGTTACTACAATCTATGAAGCTATAAATGACATAGAAAGGGCTCTATTGATTATTGGAGTTGTGTATTCATGTCAACATATGGTCTTTTTAAACAATTTGTAGGACATCTTTAATGAAGGGGAAGATTGAGTCAATATTGGCAGTAAGATGACATTGATTGACTTTGATAGGTTAATTAAAGTATAGACACCCAGCAAGGACTGATGTGTCTGGAATTTCTCCTAAATATCACTGGTTTGACATGGTAAAAATATAACAATTTTTCAGTCAGTAGCAATATTTTTTATTATTTGTTTTAATATTGCTAATGTCTTTTTACCAATTTACTAATTTATGTTTTTAGAAAAGACATGTTACATGTTAGTAACTTTATTTTAATACGTCAGCATTTTTGTCCCCTGCTGATGATAAGATGGGGTGGGGGAGGGTTCCCTCTTTTTCTGAGAATAATTTCATGCTGTTGTTTCACTATATACAGGTTGTAATGCCATTTGGAAGTTGCTTGCCCCCCCCCCCCCACCCCTTCCACATTTTGTTGCTGTAGAATCAAACACTGGCAAAACCCAGCATTTGAAAAGTTTGAGTATTCTCCCCTCATCCTCCCCTTCACTATTACCACAGGGTAGGATTTTTCAATATTGGTTCTTTTTTTTTTCCATATCAGAATTTTAGAATGTTCTCCCTCCTCCCACTTAGAAAACATTTAATGACAAACATAATATTAAAAAAAATGCAGTCAATATTATACAATTATTGCTGTTTTTTAGGTCAATATGATGATTTAGACACCTGAGGAGTACAATGTTCACTGAGCCCGAAGGGCGAAGTGAATATTGTATGAAGGTGGCTAAATCACATGACCGCAAAAAACAGCAATAACTGTTTTATTATATGATTAAATGATAGCAAACTCCTAAAAGACTGTTTCTTTGCTTTAATTTAAAGTTTTAACAAGAAATTTCAACAAGAACGCATTTCAACAGAAAAAATGGAACAGGTCAGTAATTCCTTATATTGACCTGCAATAATTCCTTGTATTGACCTGGAACGTGCAGGTCAATACAATGTAGTATTTTTCTAACATAGTTGGATCTCAGCCAATCAGAGAGAAGGAAATTATGCAATCATATAATAAAATTATTTACTACTTCATTATTTTGCAATCTGCATAGTGCTCAACTCTTTTAAAATAGCAAAAATTTTGAACGGAAAAAAATTGAAAAGATTGTGTAAAGAAAAGAAAGACAACTCCTGTAGAAAGTGTAATGACCAGCTTCTTGGTGACAGCCAGAACTGGCTATTGATTATTTTAAATTGTATCTGCTTTCCTTGCTGATAATAAACTTCAAGGTGACGTGGGAGCATTGGGAATGGTCAGGAGCACACGTCAGAGAAATCCACATCTAATACAATATGGACACTTATATCACATACAGTGTCATAATCATGTACATCAATCATATAATATGATCTGTAACTTTAATCATATGGAGAGATCATCACCTGTTAAAAAGAAATGTGTTCTGTAATATGAGCAGGGCCTTGTGGGAGAAGGATAATGCCACTGATGGATTAAATTCTCATTGCTGCTCTCATTAATAAGACGCTGGATTGATAAACTATGTTCTGTTACCCCTGACTTACTTTTGAAATACGGGATGTTATAATTCCAGCTGTTTTTAAAGATTCAGTTTGGACTTTGATATCATGGTCTTTTTTTATATGCTGATGATCAGAGATAATAGACTTTAATGACAGTTATTTGTGATTATAAAAACATTCCTGTATGGATTTTGTGACAATATTTGATCATCTCTGCTGTTGACTAGATGTGTTTGGAGTTGTTGACTTATTGTGTACCTTGCCTACCGCGGTAGGTATACATTTGGATTGTTGATGAAATACATGTATTGCATACCTTGAATGTAGTGGTAGGAATTTGGAGTTTATCTCCCTTACTTTGATTGTCATGGAAGGTATAAATATGACGTTGTTGACATATCTTAGTTTGCTTGAAAAGATAGGTACATGTATACATTTGGAGTCATTGATTTATCTTTCATTGCCTGCCATGATAGTTGTTGTTGTTGGAGTTGTTAATGAATTATTGGTTATGTCTTGAGTTTCTGGTTTATAGCATACCTTGTCTGCCATATGCAGTAGGTGTACAAAAGGTATAACAATAATAATATATTATTGTAGAGGACATCTTTGTAAGAGACTGGTTCATTAAAAAAAAAACGTAAGGGCTCACAAATTGTTCCAAGCACTGTCTTCAAATTATTCTTAAGAAAAGGAAGAGGTTTCAGCTATCTAGTTGATGCCATGTTATTTGTTTTACTTCATTTTCAAATAACGCCCTTCGGGCTTTATAGTATTTGATCACGTGACCGACTTCATGTCATACCCCAATGAAACTCTAAAAATGATATCTTATTTCTTAATTAATGAGAAGATTTTATCAATATTAAAATATTTAATAATCTTAATTGGATAATCAGTCAGAAGGAGTTATGAACAGAAAGGCAATTCTGTACTCGATGATCACCCCAATTACACTACGTACATCTCATTCTGAATATTTGAATGTCATTGTGGATTATAGAACTTCTCAAATCCACTGATTACAGCACCCGGTAGAATTATTTTATGTTGTGTATGAGATGAATCCATTAGGGCAGAAAGAGGCCTATGGAACTCTCTGGTGCAGATGATTCCCAATGTTATCTTTAATAATTAGTGGAGTAATATGTTGTAAAACCCTAGCCTAAGGCACAGGCACTTTTATCACTTCCTATTTTCTTAAATGTAATGATCAATTTGTGTGTTAAATATAGCTAAATAATGCATTAAACTTGCACACATTTCTAAAGTGACCATCAAACATTTATAAAAAGTCAGAAGATATAATATTGTTGGGATCAAATTATTCAAAAGTATTATTGAGCATTTAGCTCCTTTTTCATGCAGTGTTAATCTCGTAGTTTCATATTATAAGCTGTCATGAGATACTGAATGATGTATAGCTGCTCTATGTTGTGACATAAGAACATGCTGTTTTTACTGTCATACAAGTATAGAAGTAAACAGTATTTAAAAGGCAGTACAGTTTGGTCCAGAACCTTATAAGTATGCATAAGTTTCCTAGAAATCCCACACCTCTGGAACTTGCTTGGTTGGTATTGAAGATGGTGTACATGAATTATTTCATATTTTTAAATTCCTTTAATTAATTAATAATTTTTGTAACTGTTGATGATGCAAACATTGAAAAGTTTTAACCATAATAATGATGGAAGAAGAAAAAAAAAATAGAAATTAAGGCAAATTTTCATAGTTGTTAAAGGAGCAGAATGATTGTAATGTGAGTATTTAAATGTTTTAAGACAACAAGAACAAAAACATCATCATAAATACCCTATTTCTTGTTATGTCTAACTGTATAACAACAGTATCTATCACAATGCAGGTAGCTGAAACATTTGAATTGGTATAATTTTCCTTTTTTTTTTTTTTTGACAGGTTACATAAGAATGTTAAGGCTGCCAGTGATGTGGATTACCCGGCGTACGGAGTTACTGGCCCTGCTAAGGAGAGGATGGGTCCCGGCCCCGGGGACAGAAAGCTGGCCCAGAGTGCTCAGATGTACCACTACCAGCATCAAAAGCAACAGATGATTGCTATGGAGAAGTAGGTTCTCATAACGAATTCACATTATTTATAAAGTTACTACAGACATATATGGTTTGGTTAACTTGTATAGTTGGAAATGCTAGTACATGTACAGTTTATGGAACAGGATGTTCTTTTATTGAAAAAAAAATCATTTTTACTTCAAACAACACACATCATAAATGTTCTTATGAATTCATGCTGATGTGAATATAAGTTTGTATTTAATTTACGGAGCTAATACTTTGTATTCAATTAACAGAGCTAATACTTTGTATTTAATTAACAGAGCTAATACTTTGTATATAATTAACAGAGCTAATACTTTGTATTTAATTAACAGAGCTAATACTTTGTATATAATTAACAGAGCTAATACTTTGAATATGATTAACAGAGCTAATACTTTGTATATAATTAACAAAGCTAATACTTTGTATTAACAGAGCTAATACTTTGTATATAATTAACAGAGCTAATACTTTGTATTGAATTAACAGAGCTAATACTTTGTATTTAATTAACAGAGCTAATACATTGTATATAATTAACAGAGCTAATACTTTGTATTGAATTAACAGAGCTAATACTTTGTATTTAATTAACAGAGCTAATACATTGTATATAATTAACAGAGCTAATGGGGAGATGAAGAACGAAGCTTCAGAGGAGGAGTCGGATGAGGAGAATGAGGAGGGGGACTACACGGTGTACGAGTGTCCGGGGCTGGCTCCGGTACGTAGATCCCAGACTTAGTAGGACAGGAGTCTCAGTCGCATAGGATAGGACTCGTAACTCTCATACTAGGATAAGACTTGCATTTCTGTCTCATAGGATAAGACTCGGATTTCTGTCTCACAGGATGACTTGCATTTCTTTCATAGGATATGACTCGAATTTCTTTCTCATAGGATAAGACTGGAATTTTCTGTCATAGGATATAACTTAGATTTATGTCTCATAGGATAAGACACATATTTTTGCTTCAAAGTTTTTGTCTTGTAGAATAAGACTCTTAATTCTGTCATATGATAATTCTAGCATTTCTGTCTCAGAATATAAGTCATAATTGTGTCATGTATTTTAATCGTGGAAGAATAAGATTCACAATTTTTTCCAAAGATATAACTCATACATGTAATTCTGTATTGTTTGAAAATATATAAACAGATAAAACTATTATAAACCCCAATAACATTTTCAAAATTATTAGGGCCCCGCAAGGATTTGCGGGTGCCCTATAGTAATCACTCTGTCTGTCCATGTCATTCTTCCGTCCACAAATTTTCTGTTTTTTCCTAATAACTTTTTTTATGGTTGACCAATTAAGTTCAGATTTGGTATGGTAGTTCAGTAGGCAGAGAGACATATTTTGATGCTAAGTTTGTTTCTCTATGTCCTCTGGTTTGGAGCTGGGGTGGTGGGGTAGATTCCTTAACTTTATATAAGAATGAATTGGCAAAGAGAGATAACTGCTGAAGATGTTCCCATTGTAAACTGAATACTGCAATGAGTCCATTGGGATTAATTAGCTTTCCTCCTGAAGAAAATCCAAAGCATTATCTTTACCTGTCACATTGAGATGAATTACCACCTCTGTTTGCAAATGAAATTTGTAGTCAATTTGGAATGCTATGAAAACTCTGAAACATGGAGTTAAGTATAAATGTTTAAACTTTATTTTTGTTAAAATATCCTACACAATGAGTTCTGATTTCATTGAATTCTAAAAATACATGTATTTGCTTTGTGTAAATTCAAGAATATTATTATCAGTTTTTAAGGTACCTTGATAAAAACCTCATTCTATCATTAATGAAAAAGGTCTTCTTGTAAATTTAAATGAAAATGGGTGCGTTCACAGTTCTACCATTAGTACCAACTTTCAATATACCGGGTGCGTTCAGAGTACTGCCGTTGGCTAACAAAAGTTACCGATGGTAGAATTTCTCACCATTGGTAAGCCAATGGTACCAAAGTTTGCACAAAAAATTTACCATAGGTAGATTTTTCTGCAGACAAACTAGAGCTCTGTTAGCGATGGTAACTTTTTTAATGACGTCAAACAAAATGGCGGGTACTGATCAAGTTGGTCCTACTAAACAGAGAACCCGAGAGATCTCTAGGTTTACGGGGCGGTATTTGGTAAATTTTAATAAATTTTATGCTTATTTTAGTTCATTTTTACTCTATAAATCGTTTTCTATCTATAAAATTAATATTAACAAGATTATTCTATGAAAGTTATCCCTCGGGGAAAAAGTTGAAAAAGTAACAAATCATGTAATGTTTTTACCACACCTAATCACTAATATACATAAACTCTGTGTATATAGGTGTGAAACGTCTTTTTTAAATGTGGTTTTTCTTGACTGAAAGTTTCAGAATATTTATTTTAATAACTTTTAAGTGTATTTAATGTTAGCTGCAGATCTGTAGCGTTATGGTTTTATATATTTGTCTTTGACCATAACGCTACAGATCCCGTAGTGCAAAAAAGGTGCAATTTACGGCGCAATATTTTTTGCGCTCTTTTGGGGGAGAATTTCTCAACTTTCCAGCATAGGTCAATCAACTACCTTTCAACCCCTAATTCTAGACACATTATTTAACTAATACGTATATTTCATCCATCTCCCAATCCTTTATAGTCGTCTCTACAAGTGATAAACTCGCTTGATTAAAATTATTTTTTAGATTACCGAAAATGCACTTCAAGCGAGTTTATTGATTGTAGAGACAATTATAAATGGTTGAGAGGTGGATAAACTATACATATTGGCTACAGAATGTGTCTAGAGTTAGGGAGTGAAAGGTAGTTGATTGACCAATCCTAGAAAGTGGAGAAATTTTCCCCAAAAGAGCGCAAAAAATATTGCGCCGTAAATTGCACCTTTTTTGCATTACGGGATCTGTAGCGTTATGGTCAAAGACAAATATATAAAACCATAACGCTACAGATCTGCAGCTAATTTAATGTAAAATCAAAATTTTATTAATTTAATTATTTTACATTTGAGTCGATTTGACAATCAGGAAGACGAGTTGGAGAAAAATTCTGTTGCGGAGAAGTACTTTACTAAAAAGTATTTTTGAAGGCATTTTTTTTTTTGCTGCAAAATGATGCATGAAGCAAGAATAAAACTCTTGGTTTTTCTTCTAAGAAATCTGTCAATGTTAACAATGGTATACACCAATGTCACAAAAGGTACACCAATGGTGCCATTGTTAACATTGGTGAGTTTCCTACCAACTCTACCCAAAACTCGTTCAAAGTACATATGGGTCCAATGGTACCAACGGTACAAATTGTTACCATTGGCAAAGAGGTGATGGTACCACTGGAAATACTCTGAACGCACCCGTTATTGGTGCAATAATTTGACAATGGTACCAACTGTACCAATAAACCCTGAACGGATATTGGCATACAAATGTAACGATTTTACCAATGTTACCAATGGGAGTCCAATGGAAACGTTGGTAATACTGAATTATAGATTTCTTTGTCTTCTAATTTATTGGCACATGCCAGAATCGCAAGAAAATCATAGCAGACTCATAGCCGAGAAACAAACCACATCAGGATCACACTTCTTTAGTTGCCATAACTATAAGTTTTATATCATCCATTTACTGGATCATGTCTAAATCATACTTCAAAATCATGAATTAAAGTATTTGATATGATTTTTATGTGATTTTGGCATGATTTGTTAAAAAGGCTTCGTTTATATCAATGTGAATCCGGGATCCAAGTCTTTCTAGCTTGTAGCCATGTCGATAACTAGCTGTGACGTCATTTACCAACATTAACCACACAATGGGTGCGTTCAGAATACTACCGTTGGCTGACAAAAGTTACCGCTGGTAGAATTTTTAACCAATGGTAAGCCAATGGTACCAAAGTTTGCCGCAAAAATTTACCATAGGTAGATTTTTCTGCAGACAAACTAGGGCTCTGTTAGCGATGGTAACTTTTTTAATGACGTCAAACAAAATGGCGGGTACTGATCAAGTCGGTCCTACTAAACAGAAAACCCGAGAGATCTCTAGGTTTACCGGGCGGTATTTGGTAAATTCTAATAAATTTTATGCATAATTGAGTTCATTTTTACTCTATAAATTGTTTTCTATCTATAAAATTAATAACAAGATTATTCTATGAAAGTTTTCCCTGGGGAAAAAAATTGAAAAAGTAACGAATCATTGTAATGTTTTTACCACACCTATATGCATAAACTCTATGTATGTAGGTGTGAAACGTCTTTTTTAAATTAGGGAATAACTATCTTCTAATTTGGTATTTGCGACCGTTAATGCTGATTTAACGGTCGCAAACTGAGTTTTACCGGCGACGAGTAAGCGGAGCCGGTAAAACGGATGTTTGCGACCGTTAAATCAGCATTAACGGTCGCAAATACCAAATTAAAAGTTTAGTTATTCCCATTCTAATGCAATTCATGCATTTTGTTTGTTGTTTACGTCTTATTTTGTTGAATTTTGTTACATGAAATACGTCACGGAGCATTGTATTTTTGCGTCGCTCTATTATGACGTAACAATGTAAAAGCTTTCACGCTCGTTAATGCTCGTTTTACTGCTTCAAACACCAGTGCATTAGCCAATCAAGAAGTGTTTTACAAAGCAATTGCATTAGAATGTGGTTTTTCTTGACTGAAAGTTTCAGAATCTTTATTTTAATAAATTTCAAGTCTATTTAATGTAAAATAAAAATTTTATTGATTTAATTATTTTACATTTGACAATTCGGAATACAATTTGGAGAAAATTCTGTTGTGTAGAAGTACTTTACAGTACTAAAAAGTATTACTGAAAGCATTCTCTTGCTACAAAATGATTCATGAATCAAGAATAATAATCTTGGTTTGACATTTTCTTTTAATGAATCTGTCAGTGTTAACAATGGTATACACCAATGTCACAAATGGTACACCAATGGTGCCGTTGTTAACATTGGTGAGTTTTCTACCAACTCTACCCAAAAATCGTTCAGAGTACATAGGGATCCAAAGGTAACAATGGTACAAATTGTTACCATTGGCAAAGAGGTGATGGTACCATTGGAAATACTCTGAACGCACCCTCTAGGTTGTCTGCAGAAAAATATACCATTGGCAAAAAACATTGGTACCAGTGGCATGCCAATGGTAATTAATTTTACCAACGGTAACTTTTGTCTACCAACGGCAGAACTGTGAACGCACCCAATGATGAGAGAGAAGTACAATTAATCCCTTGGGATTAATTATCTAGCCACTAGCCAGATTAGCCTGCTGCAGAAAATTTGGAAGGCTTATCTTTAGCTGTCACTTTAAGATTAATGAAAACCTTTTTCTGCATTTGCTGTTTGTTTTGAAGTTAAGGTCAAGCCTTCATGATATTTGCATTCATTGAAGGAACATATAGGGTTATTCTAAATTGTTTTGAATCATTCCGCAAGCTGCACCCTTATAATTCTATCCCATGGCGGGGCCCTTGCTGACTGGTCAGTTTTCTAGTTGGGTTCATATAAAAGTTCAGTCAAAAGATGTACTTGTAATAGTATACGTTATGTGATAAAGAGGTATGAATTGCAAATACATAATCCAGATGTAAAATTTAAGTACCATATTATTTATACAACTAATGTAAGAGGTAGAAAAAGTTGTGTTTGACATACTCTTGTTTATTTTACTTTCAGCCGGGCGAGGTGATGGAGGTCAGGAACCCCATGTTTTCAGCAGAGACACCTACAGGAACACAGCCAACACACGCTCCTCAGGATCCCCCCCAACAGTAGATCCACCACTCTCTTCTCTGACACTTAATCATAAGCCAAAAACTGAAAATTAAAAAAAAATGTTCATTTGATTGTCATTGGCTGGTTTGTCCCATCATAATTTTTGCAACAGATACTTTTCATGAATATAATTTTGCTTGACCAGTGTTTCATTGATTCGTAATAATTCTTGGGAAACTCTTAGTGTACCATCTTATAGATAAAGACAAACATATTGATGTAGTGTTGGTGAAATGGGGTCAATTTTATCTTCTTTATGTTGTGTATAGTGCTCATTGTATTGAAAATTTTAGAACTGAACTTCAGATGATAACTTATTTTATTATTGAACTTTCATCATTGCATTTTATTATGATACGCAATATATATAAGATTGGGGAAAAAATAATTTTCAAATGAAAATGTTCATCACTTGTTATTTACATAATGGGTAATTAATTGTTAATTTCTAACAGTCTTTCAAGGATGTTTACAGGTTGTTATTATAGATCATGTGACAAATTATACTGACTATCAGCATTTCTTTATTTGATTTATTGTTGATCTGCTTTATTTAGAAAAATGCTTTAAAATGATTTGTATATTTGAAAGAAAAAAATTGATTGGGAACTGAAAAAAAAATTACCAGATAAAAAAAAAAACAGAGAAAAAGGGACTGAAAGTTTAATTCCATGCTTGATGATATGGAGAAATGTCATTTTTGTTGGTGCCCGGTTTTGTATTTTAATATTTATATATTTTATTTATTTGTTATCCATCAGAAATGATGGACACCATGATTTTATGACTAGAAATTTTCAATCAGATAGTCATTCAATTTGTATTTAAACACAAACAGGCTCATTGAAAAGAAATCCAATATCTTTTAAGATCTCTTTCTTATATGCATTCCTTTTGTGCATCTTATAATGATTTCGGAGAATATTTATTTTGTTTACTTCATTATTTTACATTCCACATTTTTTTCTCAACAAATTATGATCTGATATAGTATATCATGATATTAATCTTCAAAAGTAAATTTTGTAAGTTTGTAAAAAAGACTTGACCATATCACATGTAGATCATGCCAAAAGTTACTGTCAAACTGTCAATGTGTTTTATCTACTGCAACATAATATTTCTTTGATTATGATATTGCAATATTCAGTAGAAAGTGCAATAACATATTCTTTTTGGGTTTTGGTCAGTGAAAAAAAAAATGTTGTGTAATTCAAGCTACAGGTTGGTTTGGGAAAAGACAATAGTCGTTGATTGGTCAACATTGTTGACTGGTTTGTCTTTTGCCAAGTCAACTAAGAAGATCGTTGTGGCAGTCTAATGTTGTTAGATTTAGGTCGTCATCACAGGTTTCATTTCATATGTCAACAACTGAAAATTTTCTCTCCAAAGTTTATAGTGTTATTGATTTAGAAATCTCCAAAGCAAAAGAAAAATTTACCATTACAGAGCATTTTATTTTAGGCTGAGAACATTTCTGTATAGTTATTCATAGACAAGAGCAGTTTAAGTATTTGGATTCAGATTTGGTATTTTACAAAGTGAGCTTATTAATAAAATTGAAATACATATGTATTAGATTTGTGTAATTTTCCACATATGAAATAAAACTTTTGAACCAAGCATATCTTGTCTTTTTTGAATAAAAAGGATTTTATAATAAATGGAGAGTTGGATATTTGCTGAGGGTTGTACATGTATCAAACAGTGATAAAGAAGTTGGTGAAATAAGGTGTAACTTGTTAGCAGTATACAGAGCAAAATGACCTCCTTTACAGGAACTGCTGACTGCCTAATGTCTGAGATATACATAGATGTTTTTGAAGGAACTAGTTTTTGTAGGAAATACAAAGTGTCTTAGATGAGTGATTTATTGAAGAAACTACTGATTGACTAAGGTGATGCAGTTTTTGTAGGAACTACTAAAGTAAGATGAAGATGTGATTAAGATGGATTTTTGAAGGAACTTCAATTAAAGTGACTGGGATGCAGATTTTTTAGTTACTACTGAATGTCTAAGATGAAGGAGTTGTAGTCAAGACTACTTGGTGATTGAGATGTAGAAGTGTTTGCAGGGACTACAAAGAGCTGGAAATATGAAGGAGTTTTGAAGGAACTACTGAATGACGAAAAAGAGGAAGTTATCAGTTTTTTTTAAAAAAACAATTGAGTGATGGAGATGAATGAGTATCTGTAGGGATTCCTGGGTGATTGAGACATAGAATTTTTTTGTAGGAACTTCTGTTTTTAAGAACTACTGAATTTCTGAGATGGAGGAGTTTTTGTAGAATAAACTGAGGGTGTGAAGTGAAGGAGTTTTAATAGGAACTAATAAGTGATTGAGATGAAGATGATTTTGTAGGAACTACTGGGTGTCTGAGATGAGGGAGTTTTATAAGGACTTCTGAATGAATAATTTTTTTAGGAACAACTTAATTCTAAAATAATTGAGTTATTGGAGGAACTAACAAGTGTCTAAGATGAAGGAGTTACTTGTAGGAACTACTGAATGACTAACTTATAAAGGTGATCCACTTTTTGTAGGTCTGAGGTGAAGGAGTTTTGTAGGAACCAATGAGTGTCTGAGATGAAGGAGTTTTGTAGGAACTACTGAATGTCTGAGATGATGGAGTTTTGTAGGAATGATTGAGTGTCTGAAATGAAGGAGTTTTTAGGAACTACTGAATGTCTGAGATGAAGGAGTTTTGTGGGAACTACTGAGAGTCTGAAATGAAGGAGATTTGTAGGAATTACCAAATGTCTGAGATGAGTTTTGTAGAAATGACTGAGTGACTGAGAAAAAGGAGTTTTGTAGGAATTAACGAATGTCTGAAATGAAGGAGATTTGTAGGAATATTACCGAATGTCTGAGATGAAGGAGTTTTGTAGGAACTAATGAGTGTCTGAAATGAAGGAGTTTTGTAGGAACTTAACTGTATGTCTGAGATGAAGGAGTTTTGTAGGAACTTAACTGTGTGTCTGAAATGAAAGAGTTTTTTGTAGGAACCAATGGGTGTCTGAAATGAAGGAGTTTTTTTGTATAGGAATGAATGAGTGACTGAGATGAAGGAGTTTTGTAGGAATTATCGAATGTCTGAAATGAAAGAGATATGTAGGAATATTACCGAATGACTGAGATGAAGGAGTTTTGCAGGAACCAATGAGTGTCTGAAATGAGGGAGTTTTGTAGGAACTACTGAGTGTCTGAAATGAGGGAGTTTTGTAGGAACTACTGAGTGTCTGAAATGAAGGATTTTTGCAGGAACCAATGAGTGTCTGAAATGAGGGAGTTTTGTAGGAATGACTGAGTGTCTGAAATGAAGGAGTTTTGTAGGAATGACTGAGTGGCTGAAATGAAGGAGTTATGAAGGAATTACTGAGTGGCTGAAATGAAGGAGTTTTTGTAGGAATTACCAAGTGTCTGAGATGAAGGAGTTTTTTTGTTGGAACTACGATGTGTCTGGGGAATTTCCAAGAATGTCTGTGAAGTTGATATGGACATTAAAATAAAATCTTCAAATAATTATTTCTGTGGGCATTTTGCATTGGTTCATCTCTTTTGTATTTTTTCAGGAAGACACAGGTCACATTTGGAACGACGTTCATCTGCAAAGAGGCACTAAGCATGATACATTTTTTCAGGTACATAGTATATGCTTGTAGATCTACCCCTTTTTTTCTTAAACTTATATGTTGCTATAGCATTTTACACGGCAATATATAATTTAATAAAACTTATTTGGAAAATTATTGGAACTACTCGTATGAATTTCGGGACGCGTTTGATTGACACATTCTCACATTTCCGCGTTCATCTGCAAAGAGGCACTAAGTATGATATATTTTTTCAGGCACATAATATATGCTTGCAGATCTCCCCCTTTTTTCTTAAACTTATATGTTGCTATAGCATTTTACACGGCAATATATAATTTAATAAAACTTATTTGGAAAATTATTTGGAACTACTCGTACGAATCTCGGGACGCGTTTGATTGACTCATTCTTGCAATTTCACAAAATAAACTCTAAAGTTTTTTTTCTTTTTTAGAAAAGTCGAAATTTTGTTGTGTACTATTAAACAATATAAAAATTATTATCCAGAAAATTCAGGGTAGAAAAGTGAGAAAGCAAAACCAATTCACCAGTATTGTCAGTCCATGATCAGTGATGTGTGCAGAGTTGGACAAATTGGACACACCCAGAGAAACGTGTTAAAGCTGTTTTTGTACACAAGCATCTTCGCTATAGAAGATGGTACACAAGGTTCGGACTCTTTTATAATAATTGTTAATGTTGGGAAAGGAAGTTTGAACCTAAAGACCACCAACATATTAAGACTACCTAATCATACTTCAACTGGGGCACTTTTTCATTAATTAACGTTATACAATGTATACAGTGAGGCTTCTCCCATCACTTTAGAATAAAAATACACAAGATATGGAAAAAAAACATAACAAAGACATACCGAAAAAAATACATGTACATCACAGGTTATTGACTATATATATGCATTATTATATTGGATATTTATTGGATGTTACATGAAAAAAAACAAAAAACATACACATGCACTTGCATCAGTGTAATTAAGATATATCAAATATATTATAAATCACAAGATACTAAATATATTACACTGTGCACGACACAATTTTTGAATATAATCATATAATACATGACACAAGAAATTGAAGCTATATTATTTGTAGCCAAAATCAGTGGATCTCATATTAGGTTACGAGCACCCTTTACCGGGCCTCTCTATCATGATTATGATTGACGGTATATAGATTTTTTTTTTATTGACGCCTTTCCAGTAGACAAGATGGCGGCGACAATAATCATGTTCAAGTTCGATCAGAGGAGCGAAGCTATTTGTATTTATCGAACTTGTGTTTAATTGCAAGGTGAAAGACTGGCTGTCTCTGCATATATCAGTAAGTAACATAAAAAGTGATGTTTTAAATATGCGTTTAGTTTTCCCCCGGAACTTATAAAGTTCTCTATTGTTTACATGTTTATACCAGCTGCATTTTTCACAACAAACAGTAGCATCTAAATATATCTCCAATAAAAATGATGGTCCGTTTTGGAAATAAAGTTCTTTGAGATGTATTTCAAGAAACTGTTGCAATGATGACCTCAACACTTTTTTCTTCTCTATATTATACAATCATAATGATTACTGATTTCCATAATAATGAATAATCGTTTGCGGGATTGCAGCGAGGGGCTCAGTGGGGGGAAACTTCTCTCGTTTTATGTACGGAGGCAAGTACGGGGCACTATTAATTTGCAAGATTTTCCAGATCAAGACAAAAGAAAACACTTTCAAACACAAAAAGGAGACAATTTTAGAATTAAAAAAAAACTGAAGTGTTTTTTAACAGGAGAAGGCATGTGAAAATGATTTAAAACATGTGTTAGTGACTAAAGTTAACTTTTTTTTACCCTCAGTATTAGTGTAGACGTTCTAGCTTCTGCACATAAAAGTACTTCTGCTCTTTATCTTTTCTTAAACCTAAATATCGTTAGCTTAATCTTAAGAACTCGATGAATCATTTTAGGATACATGTATAATACAATGATCTTTACCAGCAAAATGCATGTTGTTTCTTGTGTAAAGGGGGTAACCTGTTTTCTTTTTTTTCAGCACTTTCCATTTATCTTGTATTGGGTAAATTATGTCCAACGATTCAAGGTCAAATTCAGAAGACGACAAAAGTGCTATCCATATCATTGGTATGCAATCGATATCTCTGTCAAATATTTTCATTCTATCAGTTTATTAAATACATGAAAATAAAGATCTCACAAAAAATATGTATTTTTTTAATTAATATTATTTAAACAACCGACAGCCCAAATTGCAGACAAAAACCAGTTTTTTTTTCTATTCTACCGAGTTCTATATCAATAAATGTACAGTTCCATAGTCGTTCATGTTATATATTTAACCATCTAAAGCAATTTGATACTTGATACTTAGTAGATGATGACGCAAACAATAGGGCCTCATCAACGGAAGGGAGTAATTACAATTCTACCTCTCCCTTGGTTCTGCCCGGGCCCGGCTACCCATGGGACAACAAGTGGACCCACGCTGCCACAAAATCACTTCTTGAACTCTATGTGAAAAATGAAGAAAAATTCAAAGATCCACACACTAAGAAAAAACAAATATGGGGAGAAATCTCCGAAATTCTGCGTTCAAAGGGTTTTACTTTTGACGCTGAAAAATGTGAACGAAAATTTCTCAACCTCAAAACTGTTTACCGTAACAATGTTCAGCATAACTGTATGACAGGAAATTTTGACCGAAAGTGTTCATTTTTCGACGAGTTAGACTCTATATTTCATTTGAGTACCAAATTGAAATCCAACAAAAAGCCTGTCCCGAAGCTTCCAGATGTTGTCGAACCGAATAGAATTCCATTTCAAAATCCAGCGAACGAAACAACAACACATCCAAAAGTTGTCCCAGTTCCCGTGTTGTTGATTCCAAGCGGCGGGAAAGCCCCAATGGAAGCCGAGAAATCCTTAAACCCTTCAACCCCAACTCAAACTTTAGCTTCACAACACACTCGTGTAAACATCAATGCATCACCTACACAGTCAAGCAGCCAACCAAACCAATCCTACACTAATATTGTCCCTCGATATCGTCAGCCCTCACCATTACAACGATTTCCTAAAACCTCAAACAATCCCATGCAAAGAAATTTTCAGCCAGGAAATGTAGATCGCTCGCAGACTCTTCCTATGAACCCTCCCTCGGGAACTGCCGTCATAGACCTCTGTCAAGAAACAACAGACAATCTAAAACGACGCTCTAGTGAAGTCGAGGCTCGAACAGAACCGGTGAAGAAGAGAAGAGCAAGTGATCTACAGAGTCTTTTGGAAAGCTTTGAGAATTACCGTCGAGAGCAGAGAGAGAGGGAAGAACAGAGGATGCGACAGATGAAGGAAATGCATGAGGATGAAATGAAAGTGACAAACCGGTTTCTGGACATTATCCATCAGTATGTTCAGAATGGAAATAACTGATGAACGATTCATTCCGTTTGTTGTTGCACCCCCCCCCCCCCCAAATAAAAGTATTTTCCATAAAAAATGTTTTTTTTTCCTTAATATCTCTTGAAGTAGAAAAGATACATGTAGTAAGAAATGAATCCAAAGTACCATTATCTGGTTCAAACTCGGTATGCATAAAAAGATTCAGTAACCTTACGCAATTAATAGGACAATTAATAGGACAATCGGCTTGCGATAAATGATTTTTATCTTTCACTGCATACAATGCTATTATTTCACTTTTTTTTCAAAATAAAGTTCATTTGATATTCATTGGATGGTTTCCATTCTTTAACAAATTGACATTAAAGTAAGCTGACCTCCATGAGTCGAGAGTAGTTTACAATTTATCGTTTGTTTCGGTTTAGGAGGGGCGTTGCTCCAGAGCTAAGTGGTCAAGACTTGGAGGTTAACATTTTGGTCCCCGACAGGATGTAACTCTCATGCTAACCTTTCACGGAGGCTCGGGCGTCCTTGTCAAATCCTAAGAATCCCTGACCGGAAAAAAACTTGGATAGAAACCGGTAATGTTTTTAGGATGCATACTATCAACTCTGGACTTGCTTCAGATTCTGGGACTAGAGCACTCGCTCCGTGATTGTTCATAAGTCTACTGGTTCATCGATAGGCGCGGTTAAAAAAGTCACGTGCTGGGCGGGACAAATAGAGACAGAAGCGGGGCTTAGAGCACGCGGATTGGCGGAATCAAGAGCATGTAAAAAGAAAGAATAACTGTTAGATTTTTTGGTTTCATGACGATGATCAATCGATTGGAATGCGTGATAATTATTATCACGCAATCCACTCATTCCATTAGTCATGGGGACACAAATGAACAAACTTTCCTTGTGATTGGTAAGTTGTTTTGTGTTGTATGAAGTTGCTGTGGTAAGATAAAGACGAAAAAAATAGTACGAGTATTTTCGCTGCAGTTGTCTATAAGTGTTCCCCGCAGCAGATGTATGCACATACCAGCAAAATGGAAGACATGTGGTATCCTTATTTCCTTAGACCAGGAGGCTTCGTACTGCTTAGGTTCGATCTGTTTTTTATTATAGAGAAAAAGAAAACATTTTTCATTGTGTGACTGTATAACCGATTCTTCATTAATTGACGTTATTCCTTGACAGAATATATTTGGTAGCAGTTGCAGCACCTATCTCCAAAACACCTGACAGGTGTCCCCGGTGGTGATACAAGCAATGTCTAACACGTTTAGTATCCACAAAGGCAAAGAATACGCAAACATGGGGGAAAATTATTGAATATTTAGTAAAGACATAAGGCTGAAATAAAAAAAACGGAGAACAACATAAAAATTTATCTGTCGTTTGGATATGATCAAATAGCAGCGAGTTTAAATCAGAATAACAATCCCCTTATTGTATGCCTCTGTTAACGGAATAAGACTGTCCTATAAAAGAATTTTTTTTTTTATCCACTTCAACCAAAAGTAAGTTTGTATAAAGTCAGTATTTGCTTTGTTAAATTGTGATTTCACGCCTGAACTCCTTAATTTTATTGCAAGTGCATATGCAGCCCAACGCAATGAGGCATTAAAATTATATAAAAAAAAAAATAATAAAAATGTAGAGTCCAAATAGTCAAGAAATATTTGCAAAAGAAAAACAATACTGTTGAATTCAAGTGGGACAACACAATGGTCTTTGTAAGTCGGGCCCTAATATTGAATGACTTTTTTCAGCTAGGCCTAGTTTTAGATTAACAACAGCTAGTTATACATTCTACTCAGTTTAGCTGCAGAACTGCAGATCTCCGGAAAAAAATATATTGACAGACCGGAGAGCTGCAGTGCCACCCGTTGAAAAAACTGTATATTTATTGCGCACAACAAAGTGCACTGTTTCTCGATTCTATTCTCCATGTTCTTCAAACTGTCACCTAAAAAAAATTACTGACCGTGTGATCCTTATATATTCTTTCACTGCTTTCACAACAAAACATTTTTATAATTGTTGTTGATAGCCCTCCTGACCCTGGAATTGAGATGATCGAAAATTTCGTCTTTTTTTTTTTTTTTATTTTTTTTTTTAATATAAAATACTGCCATTTTGGTTTGCATGATAATTCGGTCTAGATAATGCGCTTCGTGCAGGTGTCAACTGCGAGTCGGAGAGTATTTTGATAGAAAATTAGGTAAAATTTAGCTTTTCGTAGTAAGAATTTGGAAGAATTAATCCAGAATCAAGCGCAAATTTTTGTGAGCAAAAAATATACAGTTTTTTTCAATTGCTGGCACTTTACAGAGCTCTCCTGTCAATATATTTTTTTCGGAGAGCTACAGTTCTGCAGCTAATTATATTTATTACATACTTAGTAATAAATACAGGTTTTTTTGCATATGCGATATGGCTGACGTCACAATAGCCGTATCATCCCTGCAGGGCTGATATGAATTTGCGGGGCTGATAACCTATATCAGCCCTGCAAATCCATATCAGCCCCGCAGGGCTGATACGGCTATTGTGACGTCAATATCACCCCATATCATCTCTTTATTTTAACTTTTTGAAAATAAGGTTAATCTTAATTTACAAATACATGTAACAGATTATTTTCAAATTACGGATTGGGGACACTTGAAATAGATATACAGAAACAAACCGAAACTGTATGAGACAATAGACTGTGTACATTTTAAGAAGTCTGTGCATGATTTACTTATTTTCTTCTCAACTTAATGTGTTCTGTATTTTATTACTAAGTATGTAATAAATATAATAAAACATACCCTTTTCCACATCACATCCTGTATCAGCCCTCGACCAATATCAGCCCTCGGGCCTTCGGCCCTCTGGCTGATATTGGCGTCTCGGGCTGATACAGGATGTGATATGGAAAAGGGTATGTATTATTCTCTATATAAAATCAACAAAACTTATTTCTCGATCGATGATATTTTTGGAAGTTTTAAAATTTGTAATTTTATATCTTTTATAAATATAAAATTTCACATCTCGAAATATTTTTGAAGCGTAAAAATCTAGCTAGAGGTCTATATCTATACTTTGAAAGTGCTCTTGACGCATTCGGCGTGCCATAGCTGAAAGTGAAAGTAGGCCAAAGCCAAAGGACACTAATTCAGCACTAGTATACAAACCATCTGAATGGACCTACATCTCTGCTGTTTGTTGGATTCTTGGGCATTGTCATTGGCTGGGATTGTTGTCGTCGTTTTTCTTTTGTTATGGTAAGACGTATTGAATTATATATGACAGAGGAAAGTTGTCCTAGAGATTCTAGGATTGCTGTATTTTGTAGCCTGCAGCTGTAGTAAGGTCTGATGGATTGTCACGTTATCAAATATGCAAGAAGATATGTGAAGTCATGATCTAGGTACTTGGATTTCTCCATGTCTTGAATAATATAATGTGTATACTTGATCTCAAAACTGATATACCGCATTAAAAAAAGAAGACATAATCAATATATATACTGCTTAGAATTATTCTTATTTCATGTAATATATTAAGTTCAATAAACCCTAAAATATCATTGTATCTAAGCCTATTTCTAATTTTCCATAGAAATTAAGAACTTTTAAAATTAAACAATTAACTCACTTTGAATAAAATGAATCTATAAAATATATCACAATGTGTCTTGATTTATGAAAAACAATCAATTTATCAGCCTAATATTTGATTAGTCTAGAATTATAGACAAGTTATTAGAATTGCTATATTCTGAGTCCAAACATAGTGTAAAAGTTACATGTATCAATGATTCATGTATGTATCGTATAATAAATATTACAGTCTGTGTATTTCATGTTCATTGGTTAAATAAATATCGTTATTATATGATTGAATAGTTTTCATCTCTCTGATTGGCTGAGATCCAACTATGTTAGAAAAATACTACGTTGTATTGACCTGCACGTGACGTTCCAGGTCAATACAAGGATTTATTTCCTCTACATTGATCTAAAAATAGATCGGGATATTCCAAATTGATACAAATTGAATTTGGAAAGCTATTTAAACTACTATAACTTTTTTTCATGTGAAGATAAGTTAAGCGAATATATATTTTCGGGTGAGGGTGATAAGAGGGGATGCATGGACACTCCTCCAACACTTTTACTGAAAAACAATTTTTACTTTTTGGCAGTCAGTTTTCCCTGATAATACTCCTTCCTTTAAAACTCTATACTAGAAAAAAGACTGACATAATTTTTTTTCATGGCAACTAAAATTGATTTAAAAAAAAAAACTTAACAAAAAAATAAATACGACCTGTAAGGTTTATTAACATTTTAATTCTGCTTCTCTCTTAATTGTATTTGGATAGGACTTAATCAAATGCAAACAAGTAATGGGTTTTATCATTTTATTAGTGAATCATACAATAAAACAATTATTGCTGTTTTTTTCAGTCAATACAATGATTTAGCCATCTTCGAAGTACAATATTCACCTCGCCCTCCGGGCTCGGTGAATATTGTACTCCTCAGATGGCTAAATCATTGTATTGACCTCAAAACACAGCAATAATTGTATAATATCTTTTTTCAGAAATATCACTGTTTCATATAAATCTGTTTAAAATTTGGAAAACAGTGATATTTCCTTGTTGTCAAACTTAGTTTACAGTTAAGACTGATGTTATTGATATTTTTCATTTTGTAACAAGGAAAATTCCAAACTACATGAACAAGCTAAGTGCATTGCTCAAACCTGGTCACCCTGTTTAAATAAAGTATAACATGAACAAGTATTTTATGTACATGTATTACATAATTGCACATTAATTTAAAAAAACAGGATTGATTAAAAATATATGTACATTTACTGCATGCAGAACATCATTTATACTTAATTATTTCTTTTTTTTATTCCATGCATATTAGTAACAGGACATGGACTATTTAATACAAATAGAACTAATTATATAAGGCCTGAGTACAACTTATAAAATTTACTGAATATTATTTTTAGTATATGGATATTGTTATGATTATGATATTGCTAAAAAGTGACACAAACTTGCCAATATTTGCAAAAACAGTATAAAAAAATTAAGTGTATTACAAATATACATATGAAAATAATGCATGCAGTCCTATCACATCTAAAGAAAAGCATATTTCATTATATTAAGTATTGGAAGGAGATCAGTGGCAATTCAGAATATTAATTTAACACCCCCACCCACCCACACCCACCCCCTCCCAACTATTTTTCTATTTTATATTAATTAGCTTTTTATTTAGACTTCTTTTGATTCCCCAGGCTGCGGCGTCGAGAAGCGGAGGATTACCAGAGAAGGACGGGGATACCTGCCCCGGAGGGAATCCTTCCTCTGATAGGTCATCTTTATCAGGTCATCAGAATGGTGAGGAGGATCTAGAAGTTTGATACTTCACCATTATCAATTAAATACAGCTGACCTTGAGTCCTATATACCAGACATCTACAACTGACCTTGAGTACTGTATACCAGACATCTACAGCTGTCCTTGAGTTCTGTATACCAGACATCTACAACTGACCTTGAGTACTGTATACCAGACATCTACATCTGACTTTGAGTAATGTATACAAGACAACTGACCTTGAGTACTGTATACCAGACATCTACAACTGACCTTGAGTACTGTATACCAGACATCTACAACTGACCTTGAGTACTGTATACCAGACATCTACAGCTGACCTTGAGTACTGTATACCAGACATCTACAGCTGACCTTGAGTACTGTATACCAGACATCTACAGCTGACCTTGAGTACTGTATACCAGACATCTACAGCTGACCTTTAGTACTGTATACCAGACATCTACAGCTGACTTTGAGTACTGTATACCAGACATCTACAGCTGATCTTGAGTACTGTATACCAGACATCTACATCTGACCATTAGTACTGTTTACAAAACATCTTTAAACTGACCATGAGTACTGTAATACAGATAGCTACAACTGACCTTAAGTTCTGCATACCAGACATCGATAACTGACCTTAAGTTCATTATCTCTAGGGTATAGAGTGTACTAAAATAATAGAGATTTGTCAAAATAAGTACATTGTATTCTGTTTTAATCATTTTTTTAAAAAAGATTTTAAGTTCCAAATACATGTACTACAGTGACTTCATTATCTAAAATCTATGAAGATTTTTATTAATTTTTTATTTTTTTTTACTGTAGGGAGTTGATGATTATGAGAGGAAATGGTTTAATGAAAAGAAAACTAAAATCATTGTGTAAGTACAAAGCAGTTTGTCTATACAATATCCAGAATAATTTACATCAAAAAGAGAAGTAATTTCACACCCCTATATTCTGATGACCTCTGAAGGTCAAAACCTAGAACTAGTATAATTTTTTTTGAGCTTTCTTTGCTTCCTCAAAGATTTTGAGGCAAATAAAATTTTACCTGTCTGTTTGTTCACAAAACTTTAATCTTGTTGTGAATTTTGATTGGTTGGTGCTAGGACTTTCAAATTAAAGATGTATTCCTTGTTACAAGAGCTTTTTGCGCTACAAACATTTTTGATCTTATGACCTAGACCTTGGAGCTTGACCTTCTTTGTCCTTTGTAAAATTTGACCTTGGCATTAATTTTTTGAATGGTTAGAGCTAGCTAGGGCTTGCATACATTATTTCACCTGTGTTATCCTAGTTACAAGACACCTTTTACTTAGATTTCAACATTATTGACCACATGTCCTTGACCTTGCAGTTTGATAATTAATCTAAAAAAATTTAAAAAAACCTTTAACCCTAGCCATTGCTCTTCAATAAGTTTTTAAAAGCCTGTCTTTCATATTCTTATGTGCATTTCATTTCTTTTGATCTTTTCTTTTTAAACCAAATTCTTGACCTTTTTAACCATGGCATTTACTTTTGACAAATAGCCATTGTGACCAGATCAAAATTTTGACCTTGGAGTTTTAATTACTTTTGTAAAACGTTTGAATTACTCTAGGGCTCTCACATTTTATATTGATGTAATGGAGTTAATAAAAAATTAATGCAAACATTTTACAGGTCTTGGTATGGTAAAACTCCCCTAATTACTGTGGCTGATCCAGAAATAGCAAAGCATGTCCTTGTGAAGGATTTTCCCTACTTCCAGGACAGGCCAAGGAGGGTAAGGGAGTACTGGGGATATTTTTGTTTGACATGTTGTACTGGTTTGGGATAAGTTTTACATAATCAGAGTTAAACTGCTTTTGAGTGTTTCCCTAAATGAATTGGCTAGTCAATTTTATGTTTTATATTCACATCCACTAAATGTGTTCTCAGAGTACCAGTACTTTATTATTAAAGACGATGAAGACAAGTATAACTTCTTAAACTTATTTATTTTGATTTGGCGATTGTGGCCACGACCTACATGATATATACTTTTAAATTATTAATCGTTATAACATAACTCCTTATAAACCTTATAATCCTTATCCTTACAAACCTTATATCAATCCTTATCCCTATAACCTTATCCATATAAAGTCCTGAAGATTTGAATACTGACAACATTCATGCTGGTACTGGGTGATGGTACTTTAATACTTGCAGTTCTTTTGTATGAAAGCTACAAATGCCATTTATTAAGCAATGAAGTATTCACTACTAGAATAGCTCATTTAGTAAGATCTTGTTTTCCAAGCCATCAATGTAAAAATCATTTAGAATTATCAAACCTTCATCCACTTAACATGATTAATTAAAGACAGCTGTAATCATTAAGGTATCTTTATTTCTTTGTTTATATTGGAATTAATGTTGTTATCATTTCTGGAAAAAATAATCTAACTTGCAGATATGTGCATGTTTTGATTCTATTTTCTTTTCTTTTTCCTTTTTTTTTTTGGCAATGTTGCAACCGTCACTAACCCCCCCCCCCCCCAAAAAAAAAGAAAAAGAAAAAAAGCATATTTTTTGAAAAATATCAGATTGTAGAAAACAATGACTTTTAACAACATGCAAATAAAATTTTGTACTTATTTTTGCAGATTTACACAATGACACAGACACCTGTTAACAAAGGTGTATTTTTCCATTATGGATCACACTGGAAACGGATTCGTTCCATTTTAACTCCAACATTTAGCACAGGGAAACTGAAGATGGTATGATATAATAGAGAATATTTGATGATAGGCCATCTTTAAAAAGTTGTTTGGTTGCCCTCTCCAATCCCACTCGCTAAAAGTGGCCCAACTCAAAACTTTTTAACCTCCAGGAAGCAATTCATTTTTTATGTATTCTTGAAAATATATTTTATTTTTAAAAATTTAGCATTGAAATCAATATTTTTCTGAGAAAAATAATTTATCCTGAGATGGGAGAGGGCAAACAAATATCATCTTAAAGCCAGCCTTATCTGATAGGTTGTGTTTTTGTATCCAATGAGTTGTGTGTTTTGTATTCAAAAATTGTGGACTATGTACAAAATAGAAAACACTAATTACAAGAGTATGAAAAATATCATATCCAGTCAAGAACTGTGTAAATACTTTTCTCACACTCTCTTAGTGCATTACTCTACATAAAAAATCTACAATATTGTTTAATTGTACCACAAATAAAATGGCTTTTAAAAAAGTGTCTTTTATTACACTGCATCTGGATAAGGAAAACTGCAATTTTTAAGACAACTTAAACAAAAGAAAACTTAATTTGCAAAGAAATTAGTATTGGAATATATTCCTTCATTTATTAACTGTGGATAATGTTACAGTTAATAAAATGAAGGACTTGTTCTAATGTAACTTTTTACCTTTGTAGACTACACATGACATAAACAGATGTTCTGCAAATCTGGCTGATAAAATGGAAAACATGGCAAAAGCCAAAGAAAATGTTGAAGTCAAACAGTAAGTATCATAGAAATCCACAATACCCTAGTTAAGGATTAGGAGAACCCTGCAAGCTTTTTGTTAAATTTTACAATAAAAGTTTTATGGTTAATATTCACAAGTAAATAAGTAACTATTGTGCAAGTGACATGACATTCTGGAATGGTGGTGATGGTAGGTTGGGGGGGGGGGGGGGGGGGGGGGGGGGGAGGCAAGTTGGGCATCAAAGACTAATCTAGACATACATAGTAAATGTTCTTTAAATAGTTTGTATCATTACAACTGTTCCTCAAATACCTTAGTCTTTCTGATGAATATAATGACACCTGTAGCAAGTTAGAGGAAATTGTCACTATATTCCAAATTGTCAGTGCTGTACCTTAACAGGTTATATGGGGGTTTTACTCTGGATGCTATAGCAGCGACAGCCTTTGGATTGGATGTAGACAGTATTAACAATCCAGACAGTTCTTTTATCAAGAACATCAAAGAAATATTCCAAAGAGGGATGAAGCCATGGAGAAGAATTTGCATCACACTTGCAAGTAGGTATAAGTTATGTACCTTTTTGCTGCACTGATGATTTTTTTGCTGACTTTATACATGCATATATATATCAAACATTGTAGCTCATCTAAGCAAATTAAAGACTATTGACCTTTTCTGATCAACATTTGTCTCATGTTCTTTCATCTGTATTCTGTAAACTTTAATTCAAGGCCACATCTCTTTTTTGAGAAAACTATTAAGAAATGGTATATTGTATCCCATGAATTAAATATGTTGTTTAAAATGAGAAGGAAAGGATGATGATTACATTGTAAATTGATCGAAAGTCATTTATTTCAAACAAGTTTTATTGATTTTCGTTTTGCAAAAACTCTTAAATTAATCAATCAAAGTGTTGAATTAAGGAAAATTTTCAAAATTTACACAAAATTGTTAGTTAGCTGCATTTGGAGAAAAAGTGTTTAGTGTATTGGCCTTAAACATAGACAAGTATTCATGCCTTAATCTTAATTTTTATAGGTGTATTTCCTAGCCTTTATCCTGTTCTTCGTATCTTCAACCTGACTTTCTTCAACAAGGAGAATGTAGGGTTTTTTGTCAGACAATGTCAAGCTATGATAGAAGACAGGAAAACCGAGTCATCTGAGGTATGTGTGTCAATGAAATCAGAAGGACTCAAAAGGAATATTGGGATTGGGATTACATAACATCAAAGAAATCAGAACATGTATTGGGTTGTTTTAGGTATTACCATATTGAGTGCATTTATATTGAAAGTGGGCATTTATTATAAACATAATGAAATCTTAGTGATTTTAAGGACGTTCGATCCTGATATTTTGAGCGTGATTCGCGCAGGTCCTTTATTCATAAAATTAAGCATCATTTTTAGGTTCTAACAATAAAACTGAATTCTACAATGCAAATTAAACTATATTCAATGAAAAAACTGCGATTAAATTCCATTCAAGTAGAATTAAGCTTGGGACTATATTTCGTGGCGGAAGGTTTTTCAGACGAAAATGATCAGTTTTTTCCATTTGAACTAGAACAGTACTGTTAATTTGGGATGCCTATTTTTCCATGCTGGTTGCACACAAAGCTGTTTTTTGCAGTGAAATATGCTATGCTGGTTCTGAAATATCTGTTAAATTATTTCTTATGAATTCTATCAACAAAGTGTGACAAATATAGTAAATATATTCTGAAAATCCAGGAAAAAATTGAGCCAACTTTAATGTAAAATTCACACTTTTTTAGTAATATCTGAAAATGTACATCATATACCCCCACTTTTGATGTTCTTTTCTAAATATTCAAGATAACTTTGACCTATTTGCTTAAAATCAGAAAAAGTTTAAGACTTTAAAATAATTTTCTTGCTTATTATATTTTCAATGCCGGAAAAGTAACATTTTATTAGTGCAGAAAGGTCAAATAATTGATTATGCGAAGCAATTTGAAACTTTTTCTTAGTCACAATTTTTAAGTGTCTTTTTTTAAACAGACTTAGAGTTCATTTTGTTTCATGCTTTAATTGGATAAAAATATTGAAGGGAAAACGTCGAAGATGTAATTCTTAATTAAGACACAAATTTCAGTGCAGAAAGGTCATATTAAATGTACTGTAGCGCTAAAAGAAGCATATTGACCCCCATTTTTAGATTTGAATTTCAATTAAGCTATGTATGTAGAAACTAAAAATATACTTGGCAAAAAAAGTTTAAGACTTTAAATATCAGGATCGAACGTCGTTAAGGATCTTTCTTCTTATTTTCAAAGACAATAGAGACTTTTATTTTTAGCATGAGAGCATTGCAAAAAATGCCAAAATTAGATTTTGATAAAATATCCATGTTATGCTATTGCAGGGCTTAAATTTAAAAAAAATTGGATAATTGTAAACTGACAATAAAATTGAAAGGAATATTGGTCTCAAATTGCCTAAAATGTATTATTACTTTTGCATGGTTAAATTTTTGTTTTATAATTATAGAGACATGTTGATTTTCTTCAACTTATGGTGAATGCTGAGTTAGATGATCAGTCATTACAAGATCAACATATCAACAGTGGACAGAAAAGTAATTATTATCTTAACACCATGCAGGAAAATGATGAAAAATTATATCAAAATGCTTTTACATTTCCCATCTTTCCTGAATTGACCAATGATGAAATTACATAATTTCCATCTTTTTAGAATTGACCAATGATGAGATAATAGGTCAGGCTTTCCTGTTTTTTGTTGCGGGGTATGAAACCACTGCCAACACAATGAACTTTGTTTCCTATGAACTAGCCGTAAATCAGGAAGTTCAAGACAGAGTGGTTCAGGAGATTAAGGATCAAATTGGGAAGGTGATGAATAAAATGATGTTTTTTTGTAAAGTAAACTTTCAAAGATGTAGTGCCACTTCAAATATTTAGATCCCATTTCCTAATTACTTGTAGGATGAACCTAATTATGAAAATGTGAACAAACTACAGTACATGGAACAAGTGATTTTAGAGACGCTCAGAATGTACCCTCCTCTACCTAGGTAAAAAAAAATATGTTGAGGTCGAATTGTTATTACCGTATAGCGGGTTATTCCGCTAAATGGTAGTCTGCTAAAATTTTAATCGTTAAAATATTCACTACTATTTTTAGTGTTTATGTGCAAAAAGCTAAAACCCTGTGTCTTCTAAAATAAATTACGCTTAATTTATTGGCATACCTTTGAGCAGGCAAAACGCCAAATTTTACACCTGCCAAGAAAACCTGCTATACAGTAAATAAAAGCATATACAGTGGACCTTCAGATATCCGGACGCCAGATATCCGGATGCTTCAGTATCCGGACGACTTTTCATGGGAACAGAATTTTTTAATCTTATTTTGTCTTGTTTAACTGGTAATTCAGATATCCGGATGCTTCACATATCCGGACATATTGCCTAGGAACCAAAGTGTCCGGATAAATGAGGGCCCACTGTATATGTATTCAGGCCTGGGGGACATAAAACTTAGACATACTGATTTTGAACTCAGTCTCACTTTTACCAAAGGAATATATAGTTGAAAAGAATGATTGAGATTAAAAGTGAGCTTGTCCAAGTTTTATGGCCCCCATTCAAGCATTTTAGAATAAAAAATTATGGTGTCATTTTCTCATCTTATAATTACTGATTATTGAAAGAGTGTAGATAATCTGGTACTTTTTGAGGTGTGAAAAGGGGATAAAATTGTGTTTAAAAAATTACAAATGACATAATAAGATAAGATAAGATAAGCTTTATTTAAAGTCAGTATGGTAGTTAAAAATTAACACAAGCTCTTATGAGCTTTTGACTGACATTGTTAATATATATATAACAGTAAAACAATGGAAACATGCAGCACTAAACATAGTATTACTTGTAACAGTACAGCACACAGTCTCATTTAGAGGACATATCAGTGAAGATGCATATAAAAGACACACATGTACAGACACACAAACAATACAGCACAGATGCATAGGGAATGCAACAGATAGAGATACATATATAAGTCACACCTTTACAAACACGCAAGCAGTTCATCGACAGAGACATAAAAAGAACATAACAGAAAAAAAGACACACATATTAATCATTTATCATTTAGTTTGCAGTTTTATTTTAATGGGTTTTTAGCTCACCTGAGCTGAAAGCTCAAGTGAGCTTTTCTGATCACATTTTGTCTGGAGTCCATGTGTCTGTCTTGCTGTCTGTCTGTAAACTTTTAACATTTTTGACTTCTTCTCCAGAACCACTTGGCCAATTTCAACCAAACTTGCCACAAAGCATCCTTGGGTGAAGGGATTCAAGTTTGTTCAAATGAAGGGCCACGCCCTTATTCAAGGGGAGATAATTCAGAAATAGAGAAAATTTGGTGGCATGTTTTAAAAATCTTCTTCTTAAGAACCACTGTGCCAGGAAAGATGAAACTTATGGGGAAACATTCTCAGATAGTGTAGATTTAAGTTTGTTTAAATCATGATCCCCGGGGGTAGGGCGAGGCCACAATGGCTGATCAAAGTTTTGCATAGAAATATATAGGAAAAAATCTTTAAAAATCTTCTCCAGAACCATTTGATCAGGAAAGATGAAACTCATGGAAAGCATCCTCAAGTGTAGGGCAGGGCCAAAATAGCTGATCAAAGCTTTACATAGGAATATATAGGAAATTTGAAAAAAAAAACTTCTTCTCCAGAACCATTGGACCAGGAAAGATGAAACTCATGTGGAAGCATACTCAGGTAGTGTAGATTCAAGTTTGTTCAAGTCATGACCCCTGGGGGTAGGGCAAGGCCACAATGGCTGATCAAAGGTTTATATATTAGAAATATATAGGAAAATTTTTTAAAATCTTCTTCTCCAGAACCACTTTTCCAGGAAAGATGAAACTAATGTGGAAGCATCCTCAGGTAGTGTAGATTCAAATTTGTTCAAATCATGACCCCCTGGGGTATGGTGGGGCCACAATGGCTGATCAATGTTTTACATAGGAATACATAGGAAAAATCTGTTAAAAATCTTCTTATCAAGATCAACAAGGCTATGATTAGTGATATTAATATGGAAGCATCCTCTGTTAGAGTTAATTCAAGTTTGTTGATGACCCTTGGTAGTAAGGTGGGGCCATAATGGGCAGTGAAATCTTTACATAGAAATATATAGGAAAAATCTTTAAATCTCTTCTTCTCAAGTATGGCAAATTATGCATGTATACTTTATTGATAAAGTGACATTCTCAAGTGAAAAAAATTCACCCCCTCCCCAACAAGTAAACTTTTCAATACTGAGCTGATTTGTGTTTTTTAAACTAGCCCATGTGCTCAGGTGAGTGATGTGGCCCATGGGCCTCTTGTTTCTTTTTTCATTTGACAGACTAACTCGTGAGATAGGGGAGACAGTTGTGATAAAAGATTACACATTTCTAAAAGGAGGCACCGTGGTGATTCCAGTGTATGGACTTCATCATAATCCAGATTACTGGCCGGATCCAGAGAAGTTTGATCCAGACAGGTAATGCTTTTGGTGCCTGTGGGTTCCCAGTGTGATAAATATAAATCATAAAATATTATGATATTACATGAAAAGTTGAGACAAACGTGTGTTATTAGCAACATTCAATTAGAGTCAGAAAATATGTGCATTTACCACATTTGACTATAATTAGTCATGAAATTCAAGTAAAAGTATTACAATTCTCAGGTAAGCTTGGACTTTCATGATTAGTGTCTGAAATTTACACAGCTTTTACTCACTGTTGAAATATACATGGGATAGAAATTCAGTCAAATGTCAACGAGTGTACCAAATAACAAATAACACTGTCTCGCCCGGCAAAGAGGTGGAGCTTAAATTGTCTCATCGTTGTCAACAACAATTTAAAGTTCAAGTTTTTATTAATTTCTTAACGAATGAGAATCTATTTGCCATTTGACAGATGCTAATTACATAGCACCGAGAATGCCAAACCTTACTGAAAGTCCAAGCTTACCTGAGAATTGTCCTAACAAATTTGGGGAATATCATATTTTGAATTATGTACACAGGTGTATTGCTAAATGACCTTGGTATATATAAAGCTGTGACTATGAGTGCCATTTTCTAAGGTCAGAGACAGGTTGGGTAGGGATGGGGACAACAGATGCTTGAGCTTCAATTTAACTGTCTATAATATGACCACAAATTTAAGAGTATAATAGACAGCTGTGCAGAATAATTATTTCCATGATGTTTTCAGATTTGAAAATTCCAAGAATGTCCAGAACAAGTTTTACTACATGCCATTTGGACTTGGTCCAAGAATGTGTTTAGGAATGAGGCTTGCCATGTTAGAACTAAAAATAGCCCTGGTTCATGTTCTCAGGAGGGTTCGATTTGTTCCCTGTCAGGAAACTCAGGTACAAAACACTAGATTTCTCAATTTACCTGAGGGAATCAAGATTTATTATAAAGAATGATGATAGCGATGCTTCTTATTTCCCCTAATATTTTATAACTTACATTATAAGAAAGTATTTTTATATTATATTTCAAAATATTGTGTATCATGATTGAAATTAATTTAATTAAGTTACAAGTACTAAATAAAATTTCAAAGCATAGAAAACAGAGACAACATATTTAATCATTAATAACTTTATTAAATATCTCCTTTTCAGATTCCCTTGAAAGTTATTACCAACAAGGGTCTTATAACTGTGGAAAAACCAATCAAGTTAGCATTTGAGTTACGACATTGAGAAATTTTACCAAGTTTGAAAAAAATTATGATATCCTAGAATGTGGAGAAACAATCCTTGTAATTGACCATAAAAGAGGTATTAGACAGAAACCCCATCCTTATAGGCTTCATTGAATAGTACGGCAAAGAAAATTTGAAGCCGATGGACTAAGAACACATGAAGGAATTTAAAAAGACAAATTAAGGAAAATTGTAATGAATATATTTGTGATATTAATGATATTAATCAGAAGTCTTTGAAATTGTTATAGTTCACCTGAGCCAAAGGCTTAAGTAAGCTTTAATTTTCTGATTGCAATTTCTTCATTGTTGTCAATGTCTTAAACTTTCACGAAAACAACTGGGCTAATTTCAGTCAAACTTGCCACAAAGCATCCTTAGGTGGATTGTGCAAATTAATTAAGGGCAACATAGCCTCTTTTAAGGGGAGATAATTCAGAAATAGTGAAAATTTGGTTGCATCTTTAAATATCTTCTTATCAAGAACAATGGTTAATGGGTAAAAAAAATTTCCAAACCTTTAGAAATTTTTTTTTTACAAAGTGTAGATTAAAGTTTGTTCAGATGATGACCTCCAGGGGTAGGGCATTGCCACAATGTCAGATCAAAGTTTTAAATTGAATATATATATGTACAAATCTTTAAAAAATCTTCTTTAGAACAGAAAAGCCACAATTAGTCATATTGATAATAATCATTGAAAAATCTTCTGTTCAAAAAAAAAAACAACAAAGCCATTAATTTTGAAAACTATTCTGTTGAAAAAAAACAAAGCCATTAGATGTATTGAAATGGAAGCATCCTTAAGTAGTTTAAAATACTTAAGATGCCCCCCCCCCCCTCCATAAACTTTTCAATTCTGAACTGATTTATTCATTTTCATAGTACATGTAAATATACTCCGATGAGTATTGTAGCCCATGGACCTCCTTTTATCTTTTTTATGTCAGTCTCTGAATTATCATAGCAGTTTTGTGTGCCAAAATTCAAGGACAATACTTCGCTGCAGAACTGTAGTGTTATTGTTTTATATATTAGTATGGCCAAGGACTAATGTATAAAACCATAACGCTACAGTTCTGCAGCTAGGACAATATTATGTTCCACATTAAAGATTGAATTTGCATTTAGGTCCTTGAAGTGATAACATACATGTACATATGCATTTTTATAGTTTAATATTATCTTATATCATAAATATGCACATACTTACATGTATTTTTAAAAGAATTATATAAATGATGGTGATAGTGGAAGTTGGGCAGTCATGTATTACCGCGTAGCCCTACCGGTATTTCTACGCATATCAATGCCAAAATAAGGTGTTTTATTGCATACATTTGTTACATTGTTTATTAGGTCATGAGGTTTTTATCTTTCATTGTACTTGTACAGGTATTTCATTGAACAAAATATTTTAAATTTGTTAGCATAATACCAGAAACATACATCTTTTAAAATGTTTATATTTACAATACGTAACCAATATGAGCTGTCAGTCTCAATCCTGAACAAAAATAAATGTATGTATTTATTTGTCAAAGTGTATTTGTTTGTGAAAACTCAAAAAGGATTCTTTTTTTTTTTGGTCTACTTTGTTATTCTGAAGTTGTCAGTAAAACAGCAATGAGAAGTGTATATAATATATGTGCTGAATACAAAATAATAAAAATACATGTAGCATGTACATTTTAATAAAACTTTAAATTAAGCCTCTTGTTAATTATTTTACCCTTTAATTCATTTGTTGATACAGGGACATAGCATCGTTTTTGAAAGTGGGCAGGGTGCAGCCAGAGTAAAAAAAATTAACTTATCTGAAAAATTTGACAAGCAAAAAATAAATAAATAAATAAATAAGAAAAAAAAAATTCTCCAAACTCTAAAGTCTTATTTCCAGGGTCTGGGGGTGGGGTGGGGTTGTTGAGTGTTTAGGGTTGGTTAGTAGGATATAACTCTTTTTCAGTAACACATTTTACTCATGCACAACTACATGTACATTATCCTTATTCAACTACACTGCGACAAAAAGAACAACTGAGGGCAACCAGAATTTCGTCTATTTCGATGAACATTTTCAATAGTAAAAAATTTGTGTCGGCAAAAATATTGTCCCCCCCTTCTGATGCTACATGCCTGTGATATCATAATTGATGCAATAATTGAATTGTTCTCTAATGTTCAATTAGTTATTGCTCTTTTCAATTAATTCACTTCATGTGCGCAAAAATTATTTTAAAAGAGAATTGAAGCAGCTACTTATTTATTTAATTACTATTATTTCAAGTTATCATATCCATATTTTATATATAAGTGATCTCATTAATAGAATTGTCCCGTTTAAAAGAATTGATGTGCAAATGAATTCCTCGAACAAAATTGTAAAATATCTCAGAAATAAAGAGATAACAATCATTTATACTGCAGTGTAAATAACTTTTTTTCATCAATTATAAATGAATTTATTATTGCTCTCGTCAATTAATGCACGCATCAATTTATGCGATGATAGCAGTAATGGAAATTTACAGTATATTTAATGAATTATAGATATCTTCAATTATCTGAGTAAATCTTAATTTGAAGATCCAGTTTAAAGGTAGTAAAACAGGAAAGAGACGACGGACCACAGGCGCTTCTAAGAGTGCTACCCAGACTCTTTTCTCGTCGTTTTGAATAGAGTTGTTCCTCTTGATTTTTTTAAATTTTTGAAGCCCTTTATCGACAGGTTCGGTCTAACACATGATACTTGGCTTTAATAACAGATATACAAGGTCCATTGTTTTAATATATTCTTCATTATACAATGGAGATTACTTGAGCGGAGTGGACTGTTACAATCTTATCTGTTTGGCGCGGTATCGATGTTGCACGGCATAGAGGGGAACCATAGCGTGAACTGAAGAAAAACAAACGACCCCCGCCTCAAAGAAAAAAGTGTATTGACAAGCCTGACATGGATACTGCATTTAAATGATTTATTTTTGTCTTATAGCAGGTCGCTCTGACTTGCAACTTCGAGTTTGAAAAGGAAATATTAGATTTAGATTAATATATGGGAGTTTTTGAAGATCGAGTTGAGAAACGATGGAACTATTAAAAATTTGGATTTAATTTCATTTATGTGACTAAAATGAACAAAATATAGAAATGTTATCAAGGATTTTGTTATTATTAGTATTTCATTATGTGACAGGTTTGTATTTTGTTAATACTAAATGTTGGTTTCACGGTTAAAGTGAGAAATAAATATTTAACATGCATAGCAGCATATGTTCTGTACATATAACAAGTTAACAATTTTCACTTGTCAACGAGTACAAATTGTTATTTACAAATTTAAAATTTTCAATTTAACAGATGTTAGAATTAATTGGCCGTTAGTTTTGCCTAAAAGTGTGTTTGTCTTTATAAACTTTAAAACATTTTTTTTTTATTTTTAAAATCCAGAAAAACTTGAGAATGTTATATTAATTATGAAGAAAAAAAAACTGTGGGAAAAAACTCGCTCGACTTGATTCTTGTCCCATAAGATCTGCGTTAAACATCTGTAACCAATTCGGTTGAAGTATTCTGCACTTCTGTTGGGCAATGGAGTTTCTTTTTGTGATATAAATATTTTAGGTGTTTGTATTTATATATAGGCCAAAAAAAAATGTTTTTATTTATTCTAAATTCACTTTTCCTTTTCATTATGATTGAGACAAGGTAGAATAATTTTCTACCAATTTTCCTCTTAACTTTTGAGAAATTCAAAATATTTCTTTCATTTGATGTATACGTTTCGAATTTTAAGATGGTAAAACATTAGAACCTTAAATCTTTCACATATTACTAGTAAAGCCGACACAAACATACGGGTAGTTCAGATGTATAATTATTGTTTACCGACAAATATTTCCCTTTCTAATTTTTTTCTCTGCGATAACTCTTTGAAAGTTGTCGGAATGATAATTCTGAATTTAAATTAGGCAGGTCGATAAGGAGCTAAGGAGGCCTAAAATGCATGCAAATGCGCATGTGTCTCTGTGTCTGACGCTAAGGAGGCAAAATGTGCATGTAAATCTCGTGCGGCTGCCTAGGTGTTTGACGTCATTGGGCGAGGACTACTGAGATTGGCATGGAAGTCCTCGTATAATTTAAGTCTATGTCTACATTTTTAAAGTCTAAATCTACCATTTTATTTCACAATGTATTTGAAGGGACATCAACATAGCATAACGGGCTTCGCCCGTCATGCAAATTATCCCATGTTTCCCACTATTGTTGATGGCCTGGCATACTCTCCTAGCTAGACAATGATTCCTTAATAATGTTGAAATTCATATGGCGACTATATAGTTATACTGTATATGGCCTCCCTCAATAGAACCGAGAAGAAACGTTTACCAAACTACAAATCTTATTTTCAACTCGGAATCAAAGGTTATTTTCAACTCGGAATCAAAGGTATTTGAATCATATGCTCCCATGTGATAAAAACAAGATTACCAAATTCTCTTTTGAAATATTAAATCGTTATTATATGAAGATCTGCTATACGAGTACATATAATTTGTACTTGGTTTGAATTAAGTTTTTGAGTTCTGTGTTTTCTATTCCCGAGGCTTTTATATCTGAAAATTTTCACTATAGTTAAAAAAGTCTTTAGCTCACCTTAGCTGAAATTTTTCCAAAAAAAAAAGTCAAACTCCAACTCATGGTCAACATTTTTTGTTAATAAAATGAATACACATACAAAATACATAATATTAAAGCTCTTGCATTAACCCTTCAAAACGTGTGATCAAGGATACATTTTTTTTAAAGTGGGTTAAACTCCAAGGTTAGATTTAAAAAATATTGGTTTCTAAGGAAATTGCATTTACACAAGGAATACATTTCTGAAATATAAAAGCCCTAACACTTACAAAAGTTATTATCAAGGTTAAAGTTTAATAAGTTCTTGTGTAAAAGTGGACCAAACTCAAAGATCAAGGTCATGAAGTCAAACATGTTGGTACCCAAAAAAAAGTCTTGTCACAAGGAATGCACATTTGAAATATGAAATCATAGCTTGAATCAGTAAAAAGATATGTGCAACGTAAAAAAAATGTTGGACAAACATATACATGTACAGACAGATTGACGAACGGACAGAGCAAAAGTATACCCCGAATCCTCTATTACTGGAACATAAAAAAGGTAATTTTTATACATTAAAGTTTTCTCTTTTCAGCATCTTTACTGAAAGTAAATCCAGATTCTGATGAATGGATTCGTTATGGAAGAGATTTAAGTGTCACTTGTACCTACTCATCAAAGCACCAGGAAATTATTCAACTGTTTCACGATAACAGTGTGGTAAAAGTCAGCGATCAGGTGACCATTACGTCAGAGACGTTCACGGAAGATGACGGAAAGCAGACGACAGTCTTCAAATACGTCAAGACTGACGTCAATTTCGGCGACTCGGGAACCTACGAATGTAGGGCAGACAATATGAAAAAGAGCGTCAAAATTCAAGTTGTCCAAGGTATTTATATTTATTAGATCTATGTACATTTACAACAGAGCATAAAATATGCAATGAATTTCGTTTTTTACAATCCTCCCATTTCATAGAATCATGTGTTATTGTCAGAAAAAAACATGGTTGAAAGTTTAGCTTGATTTGCTCAAAGCAATTTATGCAATTGATTTAAAATTTGAATAATGCATTAAAATTTCCATAAAATTAAGCTAAATGTTCACCTTGTTATAAAATATTGGGTTATAAATGTTTTTAATACAGAATTTGAAAATACTTTTTTAGGTCGATTAAAGATATTTCCTAAAACCGAGCGAGTGATCGCATTTCAGGGAGAACGTGTGACATTAACTTGTGAATATCAGGGTAGTCATCGACTTCATGTCATGTGGTCTTCAAATTCTGGAAGAGACCTAAAGAAAAGTGGATTTGTCATTGGCAGTATTGTTAGAAGTGGCGAGAACATCCTAACCAAAGTAGACATTTCTAAGTCTTCAGCCAGTTTTTCTGATTCTGGCGAGTACTCTTGTAATGCTGGACCATTTTCCAAAACTGTAACTTTGGAAGTTTATCAAGGTAAACGAACAGTTTTGAAATTAACAATTTTTGATCAATTACTTGGAATATTTCACAGAAAGGTTAAAATATCTTTTTAAAAAACATGAGGAAATGTAATACAAGATCTTCTTTGCTAATAGGTGAATGCAGCAACAATTTGGTGACGGGGCCAGATGGCATTGCTGACAATCACATGACCGCATCCTCCTACTACGAGGATTCTGTGTATGTGGACAGCCCTGACCGAGCGAGATTAAATCTCGAGGACGAGAGAGTGCAACGAGAGAACGGGAACTTTGTTATTTTGGGTGGAGGGTGGATGGCAGACGGACAAAGCAAAAGTCAATGGATACAAGTGAGATTGAGCATATCCACGTACTAAACATTTATAGTTCCCAATATCCTGTATTGTTTTGTATCACATTTAAAGGGATATACCAGACTTAAATATATCTTTAATCAAATAATTGTTGACAACTAAGGTTTAAAAAAAATGTTTGTTTCAATCAAGTCGAAAATACATGACCCAAACTTTTTTTTTTAGCCATTTTGTATTATTATTTTTTCCCCCAATTTTTCAGGATATTGAAACTGTTTCATTTTCATTTTTTTGTCTTTATCAATCAGTAGTTTATACCAAGAGTGGAGCTTATTCATGTATAGTAGGCCTATGAAAAAAATCTATTTTATGTTATCTAACAAAAATCTGAGAACTTTTTTTTTCAAAAAAAAAAAAAGAAAAAAAGAATGTCTACCTACCTACCTAGTCTAAAATTATAGGTCAGCAACTGCAAACAAAGAATTTTTTAAGCTTGACCTAAAATGATTTCAATCAAGTCGTATGTACTCTTTCAGGTTGAATTTAAAGCACAAAGTGTCGTTCGTTCAATTTTGACTCAAGGTCGATTTGAAGAAAGGTGTTGTAACAAGTCAGACTGGATCACAGAGTTCAAAGTTCATTTTAGCCAAGATGGAATCGTCTGGCACAAATATAAAGACCAATCTGGAAATGACTTGGTAAGTCAAAGAAAAATTGAGTAATCATTTGAAAACAATTTTAATGGGACTTTTTTTTATTGTTCAAGAATAATTTTTAAAATATAGTTATGACAGTAATGTATGAAAGAAAGACTTGACCTTTCATGTTCAATTTTCAGCATAATTCCCAGATACGTAGGTCCAAACAAAATAATCTGGTAACGGCATTTTACTATTTGTCATAACATGCTATAGGCTAAGCTTGTGGGAAGGTAATAATAAACCTAATATGTAAATTATAAACTGAATAATGAATACATGTATATATTTATTTATTTATCCTTAAGTTACCCATTTTATCTTTAATATTTCAGCATTATCTATAGAATAGGTTGTGGTGGAATTACAGTTAAAATTTACATAGATTTCTTTATTTCTTTTCTTAGATAGATTTCTTTTGTATTATAAGTGGAAAAATATACAATGTATTACAAATAAAATTACTTGTATATCTTTGTAAAATTTTGAATCGTTGATTAAATTGAATATGATCAAAATTATTCTCTAAAATCACATTTTTAAGTGGAAAGAATTTTATGATTCTGCGAACTTAAGAATCTTCCTAATATTTGAAACATCATACGTATTTAATTACATGTATACGCATTTTAATTTCCATCTATCTCACTAACCTTTATATGAAGAAATGGAAATTATTTCTTGACTTTGGATCTCGGGATGCTATTAAAATTACCTAACTGCAAATTAAAAGATGAGCTTGAAATCGGTAGACAGGTTCAAGTAGCTATTAAATCTGATTCCATACCAAACACCTGCTGGCTTAGACGAACTTGTTCCTAGTAGATATATGTATCAAAGATTAATGTTTTACTTCTGCATTGCGTTAAGAATTTTAAATATAGATGCACAGATAAGATCAAAAGTCAAATCATTTATAATTTTTGCTGACACAGATTTTAAGGTTGTGTAACAGTTCCTTTAATTTTTCTCTTTCTCTTCATGTATAGCTATTTTGTAATATTTCTTGATTTTTCAGCAAGAAGTTTAAACATAATGCAAGGCACAAATAAAGAAAAAATATGTGCTAGTTTACATATATAGTGTATAATTTAACAGTTACATCAACTTTAACACACACGATCATTTGTAAAATATGATCAGCTAGTATTTGATGTTTAATACAGATATAAATTTGATCATACACGCTGATTTTTATACTAGAATATATTGGTTAAGCTGTAAGCACACTAAAATATACAATGTACTTATTATTTTAAGAAAAATTTCATGTTTTTTCTCCCACTGTTAGTAAATTCCTTTATGATTTTTTTTTACAGTATTTTCGCGCTAACAGTGATGCCGATTCGTTTGTGGAGAATGACCTCCCCTCCCCCATGATAACCAAGTTTATCAGGATATACCCTACAGCCTGGCACGGCAAGATCGCACTAAGACTGGAGATCAAAGGCTGCCTCATTCCACAGAGTTTGTATCATGCTTCAAGTTTTAAAACAAAGTTGCACTATTGTCACTTCTGAAGAAACTTTCTTCAATGAATTGCTAAAAATAATATTTGCAGTCATAAGGAATATATGTATTTAGAATTTTTAAAAATAAAGAGTTATGGTTTTTTGACAAGTTTATAAATTTTAAGTCAGTTGAAATGACCATATATGTTACAGATTTACGAATTAAGAACCCGGTACAGAGGATAATCAATTTACCAGTCCCGAAGGCATTGGAAATCTCCTGTGAGTACACTGGTCCTAGGAAAGACGAGTTATTCTGGTCAAAGAACTTCGTTCGTATGGGAACTGAAAGTGGCTTCAGAAGAACGTCACTAGAGCAGTTGTCTGGCGGAAGAGTCACCATTACAGATACAATCGTAAAACAGACGACCGATTACTTAGATTCAGGAAATTACACGTGTTTTGTTCCGAACAGCACATTTAGCGAAACTGTGACTGTCCACGCAAGTGAGTGCAATGCTGTGAATAAAATGTAAGATGTGTTTTGATAATCAATCTTTCACTAGATGTCGTTATTATACCAATAAAAAAAATTCTTGTAACTTTTTATTTACCAGTGAAACTTGACAAGAGTCCAAAAATAGAGAGATACTGGGTGTCATCCCAGAATGCTGTTCAACTCTCGTGTGAGTATCGCTCTATCAACCAGCGAGATTTCACATGGGAATATTCTGGTGTGAACATTCACAACCGCCAATTCCAAATCAGTAGAGATATTAAAAGGTCTGACGGTGCTATATTTGTGACGTCGTCTATACATAAATCATACGCTGAGGCCACAGACAGCGGTAACTACACGTGCCGTATTGGAGAAATGTCTCGGTCCTGGGAAGTGAATGTACTCACGGGTAGGGTTTAAATTCTTTTTGCATCTTAAATTGCACAAAATCATGCAATTTATTTTTTTTATATATATAATTCCAATTTAATAGAACATTTCAGAGTAAAAACCCTTTCAATTTGAAAGAACATTTCAGAACAATAACCCAAACGAGATTCTTTAAATTTTTTCACAAAAACTTCGACAAAGATTGAAAGATTACAACTCATTTTGTATTTTATTTTCTTTTAAAGTGAATGGTAATGGTTCCTGGCAGGCAATAACACCAAACAAAACAATGTATCTGGAATGTGATGTAAAAGGTTTGCCAAACGATGCTCCTTTTCAAATGTTCTGGACAAAGGAAGGGGTACCACTAAAAGAAGTGGACTCCAACGGAAGAATGAACTATTTCCCAAATTCAAGAACTCTTCAAATTATTCGAACTCGTACGTATGATATTTTGAAAAATCGGGTGATGTCAACTTCGATGTAATTTTAAGTTTCCAAAGAAATCAGTAATGATTAATTATCATTGAAATCCGCATTTCATTTAGAGCCCTCAGACGCAGGAAAATATGAATGTAACATACTACTAGAAGTGGGGACCCCTGCTCAGCAACAGGTTTCCATCACAAAGGAAATATATGGTAATTGAAATACACCAACATGCTTTAATTGATGTTTGATTTCTTAATTTAAAATTAGACAAAAGTCACTTAAAGTCTTTACTTTCAGCCCCACCCAGAACTATGATCGATGGCATGAAAACTATAAACGTTGGAGATTCCCTCCACATGTATTGTAAAACTTCTGGATACCCACCGCCATCTATCGTTTGGAAGAAGAACCAGAAGAGTCTATCGGAATTAGCTTCTCGGGTCACTTTCTTGCCGTATGGGGGTTTGGAAAACGGGCACCTTGTTGTGTTTGACGTCTCAGGCAGTGAAGCCGGGGAATACACATGTGAGGCCAAGTCTGACTACTTTAAATCGGCAGAGTCACGCCTTCAAGTGGAAGTAAAGGGTAAAGATATACATGTATATGAATTGCTAAGTAAATATATTAATGTCATTTAGAGCTTCATTTATCCTGTTCTCAAAGAGGGAGTGAATCTATTTTAACATCATGTAAGTACTCCAAAAATGCCATATTTGTGTATGTTTCCGTGTATATTTCAGAGGTATCATTAGCTACTAGTCCTCCACTGTTAATTGCTATCATCGTTGGTAGTGTTGTGGTCTGTTTTGCAATCATCTGTTGTGGAGTGTACGTCAAATGTAATCGAAGGGCCAAGAAAAAGAACTATGCATGTAAGCCTCAACGTGTCTATATTTATATATAATAGGTGTCACTTTTCCCCTGATTTGGTATAACATTTGTCCTGTGAAATAGCTGGGTCTGGGGGACTGTTGTGTCAACACAGAAGTGTTTTTATTCTTTCAAATGTTGATGGATATCTAAATATATTTTTCAGATGATACAGATAGTCTTGAAAGACTCCGCCAATCAAGACCACGCTTGTAAGTTCACCTTAGAATACATGTATATTCTTTGTCAATATTGAACCTTTACGAAGTTAAAAATGTTTTAAATGTTAATATATAAAAACAACATCGTTATCATTCATATTGCAGACCAAGAAACAACACTTTTGAAGAAGATCAGCCGAAACTTATGAAGCTGATTGCAGACGAGAATCATTTCTACTCCAAAAGACCCCCAATGTCCTCCCCTCCATTGTCTGTGGCATCACAAAGAAGTGTGGGGACCTTTGAATCAGTGTCTTATGAACGGGAACCTTTTCGTCCCAAACTGGCCACCCCTGACCCAACCTTGACCGACGATGAGGAGGGGTACAATACAGGGTCAACACGAGAAAAGGTGCGATTCTCCTTTGAAGACATTAAATGATGTTTATTGACAATTTTGATCAAAAGTGCAATGTGAACAGAGTATGAGCAACATTCCATTTTTTATACATGTATTTGTACACATACGCATACTATTGTTATTAATATGGTTCATAGCTTTTGTGTTTTCTCCTTATATGTTAAAAATCTGAGAAGTGAACATGTTTTGTGTCAAATACCAAACTGAAATTTATTCACATCAAACGCATAGATTACAATCTCTTTTGTAATGGCAATGCAAATCAATCAAAGAAAAAATATATCATGTTTACATGTCCTCATACAAAGCATATCAGTTTTATATCTGTATTATTCCAAATATTTACAATAAAAATGTACAAAATATAATACATTACTTATTACAGCAAAACTGTTTACTTGACAATATCTAACTTTAAAATAACAAATATTATCATTCAAGCTTGATTTTTCGTTCATAATACATCAACACACATAGTATTAAAAATATGTTTTTTATATAGATATATAAGATAAAAGTTATATTTCTTTTTCTTCTAGAAAAGTTCCAAATAATATATGCTAAATACATCATCGGTATATAAACACAAAGAAGATAACAATTTGACAAGAAGAAGACAATCCATTTTGTAATGGCAATGCAAATACCAAAAAATATATCAATAAAAATACATATCATAAGTTTTATATCTGTATTATTCAAATTGTTACATAAAAATGTACAAAATATAATATATGTACATTACTTATGCAAAACTACACATGTCAATTTAAATAATAAATGAAAATTCAAAATTAAACAAACATGAACACACAAAAAAAAAGTTTATATAATATTTATAACAAAAATGAATGTTTGATCTCTAGAAAAGTTTCAAACCCTTACATAAATAAATCATTCTATTCAAAGATGTAAAAATTTACATGTAATATTTTAAAACGAATTGCAAAAATGAAAGGTTATAACTTTTTCTTGTCCTCTCTTGCATATTCCAGAATTGTCTTTGAAAAACGGAATTGAATTAAACAAACCTTGAAAAATTTTTTTTTTAAAGGTCATCGAAGATCAACATACGTCACAACTGGTACATAAATAGTCCTATAACCAGAAACAATAAAAAAAACATAATTTATAAACACGATTGCAATTTTAGAATGAAAAAGAATTTGTACATACATATAATTAAAATTGTACAGAGATCATCTGTCAGACGAAGGTTGAAATAGACATTCAATTGGTTTTTAACATCTCAACATAGATGTAATTCTGGTGCAATTCCTAAATATACTTACGTGTAAGAAATTTGATTCATCAGCTTTAACTGCTAAAACTTATGAGATGATACATCTTCAATGGTCTGATCATATAGTATTATTTACCTTGATCTGTAGTAAGTGTTGACCCCCCACGAAACTTTCTCTTTGACTTGTTCTCGTTGTTGCCTTTTATTCCATGTTATGATACTGTTGAATGCAAAAAAAGAAACTCAGATTTGCAAATACGTTTATTGTGTACATAAAATACAACATATATTAAAAGATTTTTGAAGCAAAATGTACTTACACTCGGCATTGACCAACGATTGTATCGAAAACGACAGCATTCCCTTGGTATCTCATCTTGTATGACGGACACGTGTTTTTTCGACCTACTGTACTTGTATTGATCGCTGCAATAAAAAAAGAATTTTCAATTTATCATTGACAAAATATAAAGAAAAGTATACTAACTTCTTTATTGTATATTGGATTAACAGAAAATATTGTGGTCACTGTTTCAAACCTGTCCATGTTCCTTCCATTTCTAAAGCAATCTCCCTGGCATTTTCTCGCACTGCGTCCTTCCAAGAGCCACTAAATATATTGTCCCCTGCCGCCCCGACCCCCTGAGGACCCCTTCCACCTCTTCCTCCAGACTGACCATCTGTTGTTGTGGCGTAATCATTTTCATATTCATACTCTCCCTCCTCTTGAGTTGTTGATTGCTGTGTTGGTTGTTGGGTTTGTTGTGAAGACATTGTTTGTTCCTCTTCAGCCTCGTTTTCATTTTCAACGGACGTTGTATTGGAACTTGAGGTTGTACCACTTTGTTGTGTCGTTTGTTCTTCTGTTTCTTGTTCCAACTCATTTTCGCTGTTTGTAGTTGAAGGATTAGAGGTGGTTTTCACTGCTTGTCGAAGTGCATTTCTAGCTGTTGGTAATTGCCCTTCCTGTTCTAGTTTATTTTCGCCGTTTGTGGTAGTTGGATTTGGAGAACCTGTGACAATCGGCTGTGGAGGAGAATTAGGTTTCTGTCGCCCTAAGCTAGGCATATTCTGTCTGGCTAAACTGTTGGCACTTTTTCTGTTTGGCAATGTAGATTTCTTAATGATTGCTCCAGAAGAAATGACCATTCTCCGATCGGTTTGAGTATTTCTATGTTGTCCATTTACTTGTTTGATTGGTTTCCAAATTCCTGATTTTGAAGGAGGGTATCGCCCTGTGGGATTATTTCTACCAGACAAAATTATATTTCCCTGACAGCTTTTTTATATCCACTTGTGAACAGACATTTTCAATGGTTTTTGTTTCTGTGGATATTGAATCTTTTGTTTGTGAAGTTGTTTGGACAGCAGGGAAACATTAGGGATTTTTGTTATCTTTTCTACCTTAACTGCTGTACTTTGATATTCTTGGGCAATGTGGTTATCTTTATTTTGAAAATCTGTTAAGTTTCCATTTAACCGGGATTTCATTTCCGAAATTATATTTCTACCTCCTCCTCTTTTTGCTCCATTTAATTGTTCTCGTGTATTATTAACTTTTTGAACTCTCCATTCCATGTTATGAGACTGTTTGTTATTGGGCAGTGTGGATTTCTTTAAATTCGGAGATTATCTTCTCAGCTGAATTTATTCTAAAGTTATCTGGATTATATGACTTATGGTGCAAATTAGATCTTGTTGGAATCCTCGATTGTTTCTCTATCATATTTGATTGCATGCTGGAAAAACCATGATCTCTTGTGGGTTTATCGTACCTTTTTCTACCAAAATAACTTTTTGTTTCTATTTGAGACAATTTTCTCATTTCATTTTGTTTATTTCCCCCTTTAAGTGCCTGTTTCATCGGTATTGCATTTGAATAAGGAATTAATTGTATATTTTGTGCCTGAATCATTTTACTCTGTGCTCTTCTACTATGACTTAACCCTGCAGAATTAGGAGCAACCATCTTTGAATCTGGTTTCTGCTCAGTCTCTAGCAAGGTTAGTTGTAATTTCTTAGCAGGTGGTGGAGGACGATTTATATTAGCTAATCTTCCATCAATGGATGCTGAAGAAAGCGAAAGTCTGTTTTCGTCATTACTAGAATTAGAATAGCTGAACACACTATTTGTAGGTACTTCAATCTGATCCAAGACAATGGGTGGTTCTGGTGGACTCTTCTGGTGACTGTTTGTCATTTCTCTTTGACCAAGTTCCTTGGTTAACCGTGTAGGGATTTCTGGCAGTTTTATGTGAACATTACCCTGGCTTGGAATATCAGGATATATATCTACTTCAGTGTCGGTCTTGGTGGATGATTGTTTTTTAACTCTTGAAGGAAAACCTTCTGATATTATATTGGGTGGTTTTGGCGGTTGTGACTGGCCTTTTCCTGGAAATTTAGAAACTGAATTTACACCTGTTTTAAATTTATTATCAGGAACATTGGGATAAGGCAAGTTTAGAGGTTTTGGAGGGTTGGTAATATTCTTTGCGCTCAATGTCTTTGTGAAGCTTGGTTTAACCTGCTGCCTGCTCTCTATGTTAGATGTTAACTGGGATAAATTCATATCCATTTTATTTGTTTTGGCTTGTGAGTTTTTGTATTTGTAAGACATTCTGTCATTGATACTTCCGTCCCAAGATGATTTCGAAATATCTGATGGAATGGCCGTTACTGAAGTTGGCATGTGTGACAGAGTAGATATTGGTCTCTTCTTGAGAGAGTTGTCTTTCTCCGTATTAGGAGCATTTTCTTTGAATGAAACAGTCCCAGCAGGTTTCGAAAGTGAAGGTGTAATTTTCCGACCTTTTGACCCAGAAGGATAAATCTCTGGAGAAATGATGGGTTTCGATATGACAGCATGTTTTTCAAGTCTATTGAGTTGAACATTTTTCCCCTGTGATGCTGTCTGGGAAAGGCTAAATAAAGAATCTATTTTTTTCGGTGCAACTTTTCCTCTGTACATAGGAGAATTTGATGCATTCTTACTTGGGTCTCTTGAAGGCTGTTGATTAGAGATTTTAGCGGTTGATTTATCAGGCAAAAAAGCATCAACCCATGTTTTCTCAATTTTACTCGAAAAGTTTGGTTTCCAAGTTGTAGATTTCCGGACAGTAGAAGGGAACAAGGCGTTTATTTTCTTTCCATTTTTGCCATTAACAATATTATCACCCGGCTTTGTTTGGACCTTTTTGTTTTCTTTATTATTCAAATTATTACCAATCCTCTGGGAGTCCAATGTCTTTCCCATCTGGTGAACTCTTGAAAGATTATTGGCAGTGATCGATTTCCTGTTGCTGTATTGTTGAACATTTTTATTAACATTTAGGTTATTAGTTTCGACCACATTAGAACCCGGTAGCTTTCCCACTGTATTACTTCTAATTCGTGATTCTTTATTCCCAGTGATCAGATTATTGTTAACCTGTTGATGATCAGAATTAGTGTTTGTATGAAACGTACCTCTGTTTGATAGGATGTTTTTGGATGTCTCCATGTTTATCGGTGCTTGTTCATGGGTTGTTTTTCCTGTTACACTGGCTAAACCTTGCTGCTGTTCATTAGACTTAAATGGCTTAAGAATATTTGGTTTAGGATTTATGATGTCATAGGATTTCCACGCTTGAGGGTGATCAACGTGCAAGTTAAACGATTTATCATTTTTGGCTGGATCAGAAACCGTCGGCAGCTTGTATTTGTTCTTTAGAAATCTCTTTTCTGCCTCTATGGGAATAGAAACTGTTTGCTTGTTTTGAGAAGTTCCATAAGAGGACTTTTGCTTCAGACTTAAATTACCCGAAGGTTTTCCTTTCTTTGTCTGAAGATCAGTCCTTGCTTGTAGAGCTGGTTCTTTTACGACTGTTGAGATTGAATCTAAGTTGCTTTCTTTCATTTTGATTCCACCACTCTTATGGAAGTTTTCTCCCTCTGTCTTGTTCGCGGTTGCCGATAAAATGCTTTGAGGAGACTTTTCCAATTCTTGCATCGTTACGTCGTTTGATTTAAGTGGTGATGCCTGTGTATTCAAACCACGTCCCACACCCGCTTTTGGTTTATCACTTCCAGCTGGTTGGCTTCCAACAGAAGATTCAGGAGAGAAGTTGTTGTTGTTGTTGTTGAAGTTGTCAGTACTTTGTCCTTCGGGAAAACTAGGAAAATTGTACACGTCTTGATCAAGCCCAAAAAGATCCATAAAGCCAAAGTAATCTTGCTCGTACTCCGATTCTTGTGTTGTCATGTCAGCCGTAGTGGTTGTCGGTATTGTTGATTTATCTTCTGCCTCAGGAGCATCAGTAGTCTCGTTCTCATGTTCGACTTCCTGTTTATTGGTAGCTGGTGTTTGAACATTTATCTTTTGACTAGACTTTATACTCATTTTGTTAGTATTTGATTTAATTCCTTGTATGTTGGACTTTGATGACTGTTTAGCAGATGGTGTATTTTCATGATCGGGTGATGCTTTTGAGGGACTTTGATGACTAGAGGAAGGATTCACTATTTCCTCCAAAAAACTTGTTTGTTCTTTTTGAAGTGATTTTGATGGATATTTCTCACCTGTAGCGTTTTCATTCTGTGCCCATTGTTTCGAATCCATTCCAACACTTTTCAATGCCTTTTTGCCATATTTTTTACGAATGTGGTCGTTGTACTTTTTTCTAAGTTTTTGTATTTGTCTTTGCCTCTGTTGACTTTTTCGAAAATTTTTAATCCTTCCCTGACTATTCTGGTAGTTTTTGTTCCTCCTGCCATACTTTCTTAACCTTTTACCTTTCCCCGGTCTCTTTGAGCCTCGTCTACCTGAACGGTGATTTGCACGTCTACGCTTTTGTTGGTCAACAATGGAGGATACAATGGCGACAGAATCTTCCTCTGAAGAGGAACTATCACTGTCGTCAAACAGATTGGTCTCAGTCTTGGAGCCGGGAATATATGATGAGGACTTCACCACGCCAGCCTCGACCGTAGATGACTTGAGGTCCTCAAGGTTTCCCCAAAACCAACCAAAGCTTAATCCCCACTGACAGTGCACCGCTTCCCAACCTACAGGAAATATATAACTTCGTAGAAATATCATAAGTTCATTTACAAAATGTTCAAATATTTAAAAAGGCCTTTTTCTGAATAAAAATGCGAACTCTTCTTTTTTGAAAAAAACAACCATGCAGATTATTAAGGTTACAACTATTTTCTGCAAAAAAAGAACAAGAAATAGACGTTTTCAAAGGTAGTAAAAATAAATCATGTTTTCCAAATCTCCACCATTAATATTGTGCATGTAAATGCAGATTTGGTTAATTGTTGATATTTCAAATCTGTAATGCTTTGATTTTCTTCATGTAAATGTTTTTTCCTGGAATGTCCGTCATTCTTTAATTAGTATATTGTCTATGACCTATCCCAGCAAAGCTGTTATGTTTATATTTAGAATAAACCAGGAACATAGAAAATAAACCTTGTTTCGCCTTAATTACAATCTTGTGTCGTTGTTGTTTCTTCCTACGACGATTTTCCTGTACAGGAAAATTATATATTTCTCTCCTTCGGTCGTAGAAAACAATGCTTTAAATCAGCCATGCGTGACAAGGGTCTAAGTAACATATAGTGCAAGTGGACACTCGTCCGTGTCGCTACAACCCTAAACCGAGACGAAACATGCGCAAATATTGACACTCTGAGTGGTCATTTTTACCCGTATCTGTGATCATTTTTCCTGTAACCTGTATGATTTATATTGAGACGAAAACACATTTTTAGAAGAGGTAAAAATTTTTAACCACATGTGAATAAAAAAAACTTTACTATAAATATAATAATCTTCAGTTAATAGTTATGATAAAAAAAGGTTATTATGGTACGTTGATATAAATGAATATCAATCTATGTGAAACATTGATATTGTCTTAAGTTTAATACATGTACTGAGTAGTTGCGCCATGGTTGATCGGATTCGCCTTATTCCACAACTTCCATAGCAAAATAGAGTTGCAAGAACTAGGAACATTTGTAAACTGTTATAAATATCTCTGGAACAACAAAATAGGTAAAAAAAATACTTTCGTTTTTACAATCGCTTCTTTGATAAAAAGTCCAAGAAATAAGAAAGTACACATTCCACACCTGTGAAATAATTACCTGGTGTCAGAGTGTTTTTGATAGAAAAAAAAAAAATAAAAATTACAATGAACATAGAATTTGATAGTTTTTTTTAAATGAATGAAAAAATAAATATATTATTTAATTTACTCTGCAATAATTACAATGGAAGCAGTTTAATACGCAATTTTAAAAGAACAGACTAACAAAATCATATATCCTTTCATTCCTTATTAAAATAAATAAATAGAACTCTAGAACTTTAGTCTTAAATGTTTTGAAAATGGTCAGTACTTACACAAACCAAAAAGTAAAATCCAAAGAAAATATTTTGGAGCCATCGCATTCAAAGAAAATGGAACTTTTTAATAATGAACAGTTATTCCAGAAGACAACCATTAACCCTCAGAGACTCAATTGACCACTCTGACGAACATCAAATTATCCACTCTAGCGTACATCTTAGAACAGGTATGAAATCCCGTTCTGACAAAATTAACACGCATAGCCAGGGTCTCCAAAGAATAGCTAGCATTGTCTTACAGTTCGAAATGACGGTCAGATTTTACAGGTGTTTACCATTAAGACTTTTTTTGGTTTTCTAAAATAATGACATTTTTAGAATCCATTGAATTCAAAGTACATAGTACCGGTATACTCAATAATATTATAAGTATTTATATCGTATTCTTACATGTTTTTAAAGACAATTCTACATGTATTATATCTTAGAAAATGAATGAAAAAAAGAAAAGGTGAGAATTTGGAAAATATATTTTTCTAAATCATTTGCGTGGAGAGAGAGAGAGAGAGAGAGTTTTCATTCTTGTTCTTCTATGAAACACACTTGATGAAATTTTTTATATTACAAAAATAACAAAACTGTTTTTCTTTCAATATATCATTTTATCATTCAAGTATAAATAATAAGAAATATAATTCAATACACCAAAAAACAATAATAACAAACAAAACACGATCTGACCCTTATCAATTTGACAAAATAGATTTTGTTTAATATGATGAAGTGAAAAATAAACATACGATCATAGTCTAGTATACGGAATTTTTTTTTAAATACATGCACCACTATTATAAATATAAAATTTAGGGATTGATATTCAGGTCATTTATATAATATATTTTAGATCTAAATAATTGCGAAGAGGAGAGATTTTCAGTGAGGAAAACGTGTGAATAATGCATCTCCGCATTTGAAAATTCATTTCATCTTTGCCTGGGCACAATAAAAGTCAACTAGTGCTAATTGTAACGGGAACCGTTACAGATGTTCCCCAAACGCTCCCCAACTCCCTTTCGGTGCCATATTCCCTGTAAGCTTCATTAAATAAGACAAACTCTGTGCATTTTTGACTTTAACAACGTTTTCCCACAAGGATACCAATTATATTCAATTTTTAGCATTGCACCCAAGCGCATGTGAATGCAGTGCGTTATGACCATATCATCTTGTCTACACTATTTATATATTTTAATATACTATATATTAAAGCATTCAGTCCAAAAGTAATAAAAATCACTCATTCAAAAATTTTTATATTTTTTCCAAATCATTGCGTGCACGTGGAGAGAGAGAGAGAGTATGCATGTGCATGGTTACCATATCTTCTTGTAGAACACACTATCTATGTTCTAAATCCCATCCTGTTTTTTATAACCATTTAAAGTTTCAGCCAATCAGATTGCAGCACACGTGCATCCGCGTAATTTCATGATTTTTTTTATATCATTTTGTAGGATATCCTAATGCATGACTATATTTTAAATTTCAAAGAATTTTCAAAAAACAGGAGAAATAGCAATTTAAAGTATCAGCCAATCAGATTGCAGCACACGTGCATGCGCGTGATTTCATGATTTTTTTTCTATATCGTTTCGTAGGATAAAAACTATGTTTTAAATTTCAAAGAACAAAAAACAAAGGAGAAATAAAAAACGCCAATCAGATTGCAGCACTCGTGCATGCGCGTAATTTCATGATTTTTTTTCTATATCATTTTGTAGGATATCCTAATGCATGACTATATTTTAAATTTCAATGAATTTCGTCAAAAAACAAAGGAGATATTAATTGCCATTTATAGTTTCAGCCAATCAACTTGCAGCACGCGCACATACGCATGCTTTCATGAAAATTCTTATATATCATGTGGTAGATCTTCATAATGTTTTTTTCAAAATTTATTATGACAAGAAACAAGAAAGTTATTATAAATCCAATAAAATGCATGCGCGTGAGATCTTGCTATTTTGACCATGCTATCTTGTTTATTATATATTACATTATAGTTTCAAAAAATTTCATCAAAAAATAGAAAAGTTACGGCAATATCCATTATAGATTTTATTCAGTGCGCGCTCTTGCAAGCACGTGCGCGCAAAATGACCTTTGTTTGGCAACTCTACATAACATGCCTACTAACCCTAAAAAGGTTTCACCTAAGTCGGATGTGTGGTTTACAAGATCACTCGTGGACAAAACAGGAAGAAGAAAAATAATAATAAGAATAATAATAATAAGAAACAGAGTTAATTTCCCCAAGTTTGGGGAACAATAAAATTATTACTTTGATAGTAGATAATTAACGGTTGCAGCTGAAAAAAAATAAAACCCGCGTAAGCGGGCCACATACTAGTGCATTTGTTTTTTGTTTTTTTTCAGTACCCCCATCTGTTACTAGTTACTATCCGAAGTAACAAACCATTTTATTGTTTACACTTACACCTGTACAAATAATCATATAAAACAGGTTTTTAAGTACGTTATACTGTGCATAATTCATATGTATACATGATGTACATCGTACATGTTTCATTGATTGAACTGCATATAATGTACAAGAAATCTACTCAGTTATGTGGTTTAAAAATCAGCGGCATTTGATTTACTCACCTAAAATATATTTAGTTGAAGTAAATTTGCTGTATTTAATTATTAAAATAAAAAAATAATAAATCAGCACATCTAGTTTATTCACACTTGTTCCCACAACTTGAACATCCACATTTGGAACATACATTGTAGTATAACCTGAAGTAAGCTAATAATACTTCATACAATGCAAAGTAACAACTTCTTATTATCAAACAAATGTATATTTACCTGTCAGGTTTATCAAGTAGTAGTACTACATGTAGTAAATGCACTTTATTTCTATATAAATGTACTAGTTCGTCGATAGGCGCGTTAAAAAAATCACGTGCGCTTTTTATTTTATTTTTAAAAAACCATCCCCCATCAAAGTGCGGGGTGGAACAAATAGAGACAGAAGCGGGGCTCAGAGCAAGTGGTTTGGCGGAATCAAGAGCATGTAAGTATCAGGAATATAAACTGTCGAATTTTTTTGGCCTAAATTCCCATACTTCACAGTTATAGTAACCTACAATTTTTTAATTTTGTTTAGTTTCTTATTCACGCATGCCTTACTAGACCTATTGTTGTATATAACATCACGTATATGTTTTTGTAGTCTCTGTACGCTATTGTAAAATGGTAAAGAGATTCAAATAAATGATTGATTGATCGATTGAAGATGATCAACTGATTGGCTTGCGCGATAATTTTATGAATAAATGTCGGCGTTTTTGCAAATTATCACGCAAGCCACTCGATTGGTCACATAATGAAGCCAAAAAAAATGTCTGGCCGTAATTTCTTAAATTAAAGTATAACTGTAGAATAATCAGCGTTCTGGAAGTATTGCAAAAAAATTTCTAAATATTAACCATGGAAACAATATCCATTTCACATTCATTTAAAGCACAACTGGTAAAACAGAATTATGTATCTTTTTGTAATATACATGTACTTGCATTCAAATCAGTCCAGAGGAGGAGTAGCGTTTTGAAAAAGACAGACAGACAGATGGATGATAGACACTTCAAGATCTGATAATCTCTCCTGGTCTCTGATCAGTAATTTTTTTTAATAGCTTTCCTTATTGAAAATATTTTGTTTTAAAATTAAAACTCAAATGAAACAACTGTTGAAAATAATATCCATTTATAAATGCCGTATCTGATATCAGCAATTAAAGCACTGTTTCAAGTAAAACCAGAAGACACAGTGTCTAAGAAATTACTATAAAAATTCAAATACAAACCAAGGAGATACATGTAATCTATACAGCTAAATGAACTAGATCAAATTCAATCAACAATAATTAAAAAAAAACCGCATTCCTGTTTCTTTTTCTTGATAGTTTTAAGAACCCGGAAATAATTAAATAATAACTCAGGTTTCTTTCTCTAATATGAGCATGATGAGCAACAATAAATATAACATTAACATGATAAACAAGATTAAACAGTAAAAGGTGGTTCATGGAGAGAAAAATGCATGTTGTTTAATACTATAATAAATAAAATATAATAAAAGATCTATCTGTAAACTTATTACAAGAAAAAATCCCATATATTGTTAATAAAAAAAATTAATGAAAAATGAAACGGCAAGATCTATTAACTAAAGGATTTTAAAGTACCTTATAGGTACCTCCATGATAAAGATAAAATGAAAAATATTATACAAACAGCATAATGCTATTAGAGTTATTCTTTTAAAAGGGAAATACAAGCTTCGAAGATAAAAAAGAGTATTATAATGCCTAATAAGAAAAGTAATGGAATACTATTCCCAAAGTACTCAGCGGCTGCATTTCATTTCCGGAATTTTTAGCAATTATCAACTTTTCATTTCCAATAAATGTAGTACTTTTAGTAACAGATCTGAACACTTTACTTATGAAAAATTTCAAGAAAAAAATCATAAATAAATCATTGAAATCAAATATCTGAGTTTTGTAAATCTATCAATGACTTAGACATAAGTGTGGTGCTGTCACTGACATTAAATTTAGTACACATTAGATGTGGTTAAAAACTTTATGCTCACTGAACTCTTTTACCTAGACTTAGTGCTACATGTAAAAGCATATGTGTGTATATGTTTTTGTTAAATAAAATTTTCAATATTTTGTAATAAATACTTTTAAAATTCCATTTTCACTTACTTAGAAATCATTGAATTGCCTCACATGTAAATTCCGGAAATGAAAACAAAATTATGTCGGAAATAAAAACAAAAAATGTCGGAAATACTATGCATATTTCCGGAAATGAAATGCAGCGTACTCAGCATATGATAACTGTAACCTAACCAAATACTATAATTTCATAGTCAAAACATGAAATGAATAATTACAGAAAGTTACAAAATAGTACTAGTATGGAATACATATGATGGATGTCACAACGCTACTAAAATTGTGTTTACATCATCAGGTTAGAGTCATTTACAAGACAGGAAAAAGATGATAATATATAAACTATTGTATTGGACTACCAAGTCAAAATTATAGAGAGAAAACAAAACATCAAATACTGAAATATCAGGAGGCTAATGCAATATTATTATCTGAAATAAAAAAAAGAACTTCATGGTTGAACAGAGTCAATATTCTAACAATAACTCATGTATGATTTGTCTGAAGCATGACACAAAATGAAATAAACCTAACAAAAGTCAATATTCAATAACAGAAGGTGTCACAATATGTTTACTTAGAACACAGAGATCAGTATCAGGGGATAGGCAGTGCTCCACCATAATGAATTTAAAATTTATATACAATAAAAGAGATAATCTGAACATGCTCTGTATATTCCAAGAATTTTGAATGAGTCAAAATGATATGCGAATAATTAAGCCACAAAGAGGGTAAAAAATTTATAATATTTAACTTCTCAGCTGAGTACACAAACATTAAAAATTCCAAAATAAAAAAAATCTGGAATTTTACCTTTCAGGAAAAAATTAAGTAGAATAATTCCCACTTATTACGATCCCTTTAACATTGAAAAAAAAAATGTAACAAGAGGCTCACTGTCCAAAATGCTCACCTAAATCACTTTAGCCCAGCAGTTCTCATCAACAGTTTTTATAAATTTCTCTTTTAATTTCATAATGTGGATAAAAAATATAGCACTAACTGAGCTATGTTTTAATCAAAGTTAAAAACATTCAATTTTTTTTTCTTGTACATAAGATTTGAATATTTGGTTTTAACCCAACTTTATCCCAACAGCTCATAAGGTACATGTAACATAACTTTTTCTATATCTCTTGAGAACTCTTCAAGCAACATGAGCAAGGGTACATTTTGGCAAGTTACATTGACTTAAATTGGCTCAGTTGTTGTCAAGAAGTTGAAAATAAGAGAATTTTACAAAAATGACAATGACACAATTGTTACAACAATGGCAACCATGAAATTGAAGACGGACAAATTCTGATCAGGAAAGCTCAATGAGTTTTGCCTAAAAAAATGCATAAAAAATGAAACAAAAAAGAGATCAATATTTAAATTTAGTCATCAAGACATAATTATCCCTCCCCTCTTCAGAGAGGAAAAAACCTTGAAATAAGAGGAAAATTACATTGAAATAATTATAATTTAGATGTGAACACATACATATACATACTGGCATAACAGTTTCCTCAGACCATTTGCTTTCAGCGTTAATAATTATATTTGTAGAATGAAAAGTTGTGTAGATAGAAGTAAACATTGCAAAAATCTTTGATGTTGTACAATAAATTCAACTAATTTCTCAATTAAATCAAAATCCTTTTTTGCTTTGGATTTTTTTTTCTGTCTGTTTCCCTTTTGTTTATTCTTATCTCAAAGAAACTATCAATTTAAAGTATAGAGCAAAATGAAGTTATTCTTCTCAGTAGCACAAAAGAAATATTCAAATAGAATTTATTTTTGTTTGATTAAAATTCTTGACATAACATTGTCAATCAACTTTTCATTACATACTATAGATTTTTAACACATTTCATCAAAACTCATCTTTTCTATATTTCCTTCTGTCCATCCATTCCTGATCTTCTTCCTTCCGTCTATCTTTCACATTCTGTCTCATCCTCCGGGTCTGAATTTTGGACAAAATTTCATATGCTTTCTGTATCTCCATGAACTTTTCTTGAGCCTCGGCTTTTTTATTCGGGTCTCTCTGTTTGTCTGGATGCCATTCCTTCACTAGAACTTTATACCTAACTTTGATTTCTTTCTCTGTGGCTGTGTCAGTGAGATTTAATACCTAAAAATAATATTTAAAAAACACAAATTGCTCATAAACATGATATCTATCTTTATCAAGGGGATAAAAACTTAATCTATCTCTTACAAGAAAAACATTCTCCTTTAGTTTATTCAAATGGAATTTCAATTTCTACTATCATTTCCATACACTTATTTTTAGGGAGATTAACAATGTAAACATTTACATATATTGATAATTAAAAAATAATTCTATTGGTGCTATTTAAAGCTTGGACATGAAATAAAACATTTCATAACTTTAAACTTACTTTGTAGGCATTAGTTTCTCCAGTAGGGTCTAATTTCTCCACAAATTCCTCCCAAAGCTTCTCAAAACCATGAACCTGATAAAATTTATACAGCTCTTTCAATGATTCCTTCATTTCTGCCCAGGCTGGAGAATTAAAAAAGTTGGGGATCGCCTCTCTCAGGGGCACTTCCTCCCCATCCTTGGTTGTAATAGAAGCGGTTTGATAAATAACAACTCCCCATAAGGTGGAATAAAGCAGGCAACAGAAAAACAAACTAAAAAAACGTTTACAGAATGGACGGCTGTTTCCCACAACTGGGTTCCATTGTTTTCCTTTCCAGTTCACAAATACTGCAGACAGAATGGCAGAGTACACTAAATTTCCTGTGTCATATAATATCCAGGGGACCCCACAAAGGGCCCCAATAAGAGGCCATTGAAATGAAGCTTTTGTTGGCTGAACATTTGCAACCACATGGACACCTGCAGAAAAAAAATACATTGAAAAGTTACAATTAGCATTACAGATACACTTACTCTATGTAAAAAAGACCAACAGATTATACAAGTTATTGAAATAGGAAGGGGAAAATACAGCAGAACAGAGGCTCCCTGAGCTAAAGACAAAGGTACTACATGTACATGTATTATCATGATAATCTGAGCTATCTGGCCACTAATATGTGAACCTTTCTGGCAGGCACATTGCTCATTTCTTAACCATCTTCAATTTATAATAGGAAGAAAAAGCAGCAGGTTTGAAGCTCAGCCCATGCTAATGGCTCAGTGAAATATTTGGCCACCGGCAAACAAATCTATTGGAGCACCCAAGGGCAAAGAGAGGTAAAATTAATTCCAATCTGGGATATTATAACTTAAACAATCTATTTTTAATACTTCCTACTTGCATTGAGTGACTGGTCCCAACCTAGGGGCAAAATTGTCAAATGGTCCCATAGCACATTGTAATTGAGAGCAAATGTACCATACCTAACCCAAACAAATCTGACACACAAGCCTATCCCTGGAAGGATATTTTTCCCAGTCAGATTTACATATCTGACACACTCTGGTCTATTATTCTTTTTTTCATATACATTCTGAACAAAAATTTAGATACAAAAAATCATATAGACTATCATTCATATACACGTATAGCTGTAATCAGGTTATAGTAGAGATACACATCATACAACTGTACACATGGTACATAGCTGTCATTAATTTTAATAATCAGTGAGTATTACTAAAAGAAGAAAAGAAAATATGATACCTAAAGCAATCGCACAAGGAGGCACAATTATACAGAATAGCCAGCCTATTCCTTCATAAGCATTTTCTTCTGGGACACACAACCTTGTCAGGAGCCCAAAAGTCAATCCCAGAATAATTTCTCCAATGAATCGTACAACATTAAACGTGGGACACGGGTAATACGTTCTTTTTTGTTCGAACTCATTCAAATATCCCACATCTCTGTTGGCTGCAAATATATACTCCGGAATACGCCACAAGTCTCGGAACCATCCGAGCCCAAAACACCCGCCAAATGTGGCCCACCAGATAAACGCTTGTCTGTCCCTCCCGAGATAAAAGTGATGCAAACCCCACCATCCACCGACTAACCAGAAAATGTAGGCAATCATTATATGTGCCATAGTAGCGATCTAAAGCCACAGAATGATGAAAATCGTCGTAGTCTAAACAGAGGAAAGCTGTCGTGTACAGTGTGTACTTTCCGTTTCGCTTTTATCATTGGGGGATTTCCCTTCCAGCATGTGCGATCATGAACACGCCTGAGGATATACGAATGTCGATAGCTAAAGATATCTTCATGCTACGTGTCATTCACCGATCCCGTTTTAAATTTTTGATTTTTCTTTTATTTAATTGTGCTTCTTTGATTAAAAGTAAATAAATATTTTTAAATATTTTAATATAGAAAAAAGCTCTATAATTGATGCTTGTATAGCTTAACAATAATGAACGCGGAGATATTAATAACTGATGCTTGTTTTTGTTTACCGTATCGAGGGGCATTACAAGATGGCCGCCGCGCACATGTAAAATGTAAACATGGACAGAAAACCTGGACATTTGACTAAGAATGCCCAAGATGCTGTGAATTCTTTGATGTGGATAAAGGTGAAATTTTTGTGATTCCCTTATCCTAGTACTTACGTTATATGAATAGACTTTTGAACTTTATATACGAAGAGATAAGGTTTTTGAGAAACTTAACAGTCAAGGAAACTAATACTGGGCTACATTTTGGGAAGTTCTTGCGATTACCATTGTTTTATTTAGCACATATACCTACCTTTAGAAGCAATCTATAGAAGGATAAAAAGAACTTTACTTATCGGATATATAAGACTCATATCATCTTCTATAATGGTTATTTGTCATAAGATATATTTGTTGTACAAGTAAATAGTTGGTATATTATAGATATTTTTAAAAATATATATAGAATGAATACTTCACTCGCAAAACTACGAAGGGAGTTATCGGGTTAAATCAGGAATCTTTATAGAAAAAGATCTATATGTATGCTAATGAAGAAGACAAATCTAACTGTATTTTACATGTGTATATTGGTTTAATCCGTAATTTTCTTGACGAACTTGATCACAGGTTGTGGGAATTGGCAATGGATGTGTTGGGAAAACCTGTCTGATCAAACACTTCTGTGAAAGCAAAGTAAGAAACGCGATGATTATTTTAAAACGTTTAATTATGATCTTTAAATACACAGAAAATCTGAAAGATTCTATTTGCTTATAAAAGCAAAACCTACAGGATAAATATAGGTTGATATTGATTAAACTTCAATAAAAAAAAACGACAGTGTATAACTATCAATTTATCTTCAGTTTAGTGGAGGATATCAGCCCACCGTTGGTGTAGATTATGGTTTCAAGATTCAGCATGTGGAGGGAATTGATTGTAAGTATACGGTGAAAAAATAAGACCGAATGGTCCATATCATTCAGTCTTTCTTATCCATTTTGTTTTTATGTCAGATCATGTTTTTCATGAGTAAGGTAGCTAACAGGCGAAGAAAAATGAAATTATCGAAATAGAGAATCGTTATTTTACAGTCGTACAAATACAAATCAAAAGGTTATAGCTGTTTCTGGTTTAATTCTGACAGAGGTTGAGTAAACTTTATGTAGAACATCTCCAATGTGCAGTTAACAGATATAAATAATACTTGTTTTACAATGAGTAATTGCTTTACCTTGAAATACATTTCTTAATAGTAACTGAGTAATTGTTTTATCTTAAAATAAATTTCTTACTATATGAAAATAATCAATGCCAAATTTACAAAAGTGAGAGTGCATCTCTGGGACCTATCTGGAAGCCCAGAATACATCGATGTCAGAAATGAACTTTACATCAACACCGACGCCATTTTCCTGGTTTTTGACGTCACCAACTTGTCTACATTTGAGAACATGGAGAATTGGTTAAAGGAAGTCCAGAAATATTCATCTGGCAATCCAGATCTTATTGTGGTCGCCAACAAGGTATATTGTCCCATTAAATGACTTAAATTTATACGGAATTCATTGTTTATATACATGTAGATGAACCTGTAAAACATGTACTACATGTATATTACAAGTTTCATCTACTTTAAATTGCATAATTGTGGAATATTTTTGAAATTACATGCTGATCTTCATGGATAAATGCAGGCACCTGAAAATGTATTTAAATAATTACAAGTATCATGTATACATGTACATAGAAAATATATGTTTGTTTCCTCACAGATTGACCTTAAAGCCAAGAGAGTAGTAAAATCAGAGGACTCGAAAAAATGGGCACAGCAAAACAACGCAAAGTAAGGATCTTAATTTCTTTATACCAATATATATATACTTCTTTTAAAACCCTTTACCGACCCCAAAGACAGACAACAAACAAAAGAATACATTGAGATATGCATAAAAATGTATTGTTTATTAAATTATCTCTTCTCTTTTTATAGGTATTACGAAACATCGGCAGCAACCGGGGAGGGTGTAGACAGATTGTTCCACGACATCCTGACTGGACTGATTGAACGAAAGAAACTATGGAAGGTCAAATCAGCCAATCCCAGCATTTGATCAAAAATCCCGTGTATTACAAAGAAAGAATGTGTTTCATTGGAGAGGATAATTGTTCCTGGTGATTCAGCCATTGGGAACTAGGAACAAGTGTGCCTTTGTCTTGTAGAAATTTGTCACGTGGTATCGGTGCTTCGTGTATATGGAGTGTTTGTTTGATAATCGCGATTACAATATTGTATTGTGCATGTACAATTCCAAACAATGTGAAATATAAGAACTCAATGAAAACAATGTAATTGATGTGTTCAATGTGTTTGTTTTACTAACAATTTTTTGCTTGCCATTTATACATTTGTGTAAATAAGATAATATCTTTCGAAAGCATGTATTTCAAATGCATACCCCGGTAATACGGTAAATACTTCTAATAAAAAACTTAAAACCTAGAGACCTTTTATGTTTTTGACCAACCGAAAGTGAAGAAGAGAATTAAATACATGTACTTTGCATACTAAAAAACATCAAATGGAGAGAAAAAGATTAAATGAAGTCGTAATTTACATTTTTCTTGTATACTTTATGTCAATTTTCAAGGATTGAAATTTATATTTCTTGTTGATACTTTCTTAGCTTGTGAACGAAACTCAAAACTTTGATCATGGCATAGATATTTTCAAAAATCTTTTGGTGAATTGATATCTTCTTATAGTGGTCTATAATGTGATTTATAAATTACAGAAAAATGTTTAGAAATCTTTACTGGCATGTATGCACATATCACAGTTGTATGCTTGAATGCCTTAGGACGGATGAGCTACAGAAACGTTTTCCGACTAGCCACCGGTTTGTCCGGATTTGGCATTTCCTTTTGCTGCACACAAAAGAACACAAAAACGTATGTAACTGACAAGTGGTTAGCCGCAAACATCAGGTATACTTTTCCATTTGAAGAATATAATATCTAACCATAAAGATAACTTAAAATTAATTTTGATAGGGACTTTTTAAATTTAAAAAAGTCTGAAATAAAAGTAGCTTATATTGCAGTACGTTTGAGCATGTATATATGCATGTGTACAATTGAGATCGAAGCCTATAATTTTGCTTTCAGTCATTAATTAAAAAAAATATTCAGAGTACTTGGGGTGGGTTAAGAAATTGAATACACGTGTAATACGTAATGTTTAAATCAAAACAATGAGAAAATTTTTATTGTGTAACACAGTGTAGTTTGTTTATTAAGCAATCTACCAGAATGTGTTTAAGTTCAGCACAGAATATATGAGCAAAATTAAAGTAGAAAAGACGTTGATAGTGAGCTTCTTTTTTTAAATTTGGAACTGATTAAGGCGTTCCTTGAAGCTATTATACGAGGGGCGTTCAATAAATAATGTCATCAGGGCTCGGCAAGAAACAAAAATCGCTTTTCTATGATTTTGTCTTAATGATTTAACTAAAATATTCTCTTTTAATTAAAAGACATGTCCGTAACATTTTTATTCACTTTCTAATTGTTTTTAGAACACAGTTTTGAGTATGACCCTTCGTATACTGGAAAATGGCAGATCCTATGATTTGCTGTGCTTGTTTTTTTTCTTTCTGATAGGTGTTTTCCTAAGTTTGGGAAATCAAACAAGTCAAAGATTAAAAGGTCTGGCCAATATTGTTGATGTGACAAAACATTAACTTTCTGTTTACCCCAAAACTCTTTTACTCTTCATGGCCTGTGGGTTTGGACGCTGTCAGGAAGACATTTAATGTAGTGAATTCCTCATTCTGTATCCTTCCTCTCATAAACCTTTCAATTTTTTGGCAAATATTTTGCTTACTAGACTCCTCCAGAAATTGAACTACCTCCCTATTTATGTATTTGAACAACAAGACCGCTAATATTTAAGACAATAGCGTATAAAACTGTTTTTGTGTTCTTGAAAATTTTTGCTCTTCTTAAGTCTTTGCAGTTTTGTCAAGTACATCTTATTCTAAATTTGTTTTGAGGGTTCAACGCAAAATGGATTCAAGTTTCATGATCTGTTTGAAATTCAGAAAAACGTGGATAAGAACAATTTTTGATTTTTTAAAGATAATTGTTTAGATTTTCTACACGCTCTCGTTTTCACTCATATTTATAAATATAAGGTGACATTTGAATATTAATCTTTTTTACAATCAAATGTTTCTTTAAAACAGTGTGAACTACCCCCGATATGATGTCTATCAAATTTGCTATGTAAGTTAAAGTCAATAAAACATAAATCTATGATAATTTGTTGAATTATCGCTAATATACATTGGATGAGGTAAGTCCTTGTTGACAAGGAGGGTACCCATTTTTGATGACCATTATATAATTTTTGTTAATTGAAATCCACCTGTTCATGTGTGTATGAAACAAACATAAGTTGCTGTAAATTTCACATATTTCAGTTAATATATTGTTGGGAAATTAACAAGTTTTACAGCAGCTTTAATGACGCGTTCAATTTTACGCTAATTTACTGATTCTTGACCATTCATTTTTAACGCAGTGTCTCGAGTAGCCCTTGTTTTCCAGCTTCCCATAATGAAATTATGCGATGAAAAGTGGTCACATAAACTGTTATCAATTCATTAAAGATTCAATAATTAGAAAAATTCAAGCTTAATGTCATATGATTTCTATGTTGTATGTCTTGGAGCTGATGACATTATTTATTGAACGCCCCTCGTAGAACGAGCTTAAAACAACCGCATCATCTGAATTACTAAACATTGCCAAATTTCTCATTAATTTGTCAGTTATTTATTTTAAAAAGGTATTATATTTGGTTTTAAAAAAGAAAGAAACAAAATTGACCTTTTTAAAATTAATCATAATAATATTACTGATCATACATGAAATAAATGCTTTTTAACAGAAAACATGGTAAAAGAATATGGTATACGAGCGTACAAAGCAATTCAGGACTATTTCTCCCCAGAACCGAAAAACCTGGAATTCCAAAAGGGTGATGATGTTACCCATGTTAAGGTCTTAAACAAAGAATGGGCTTTAGGACGAAATAAGAGAACTAAGAAAACAGGCTGCTTCCCAATATCGTTCATTGAATATGATAAATCTCTTTGGAATCGGCTTTCTTTTAACCAGAAACCAAAAATTCCAAAGACCTCACATCGAACAACTGTTATAGAAACGGCTGATTACAGTGAAAGCGACGATGAAGAGATGACCATGACCAGTGAAACGCAGAAAACATTACCAGCTAAAGACGAACTATTTCCGAGTCATGTAACCAATTTAACAAAACTAATAAAAGCTAAATCATACCACGGAAAGGCTAAAGAAAAGAAGTACGAGTATACAATGAATGCAGAGATATTGCAGAAAAATACCCGTACTCTGATAGACGAGCTCAAGTTAAGGCTTCAGTCAAAAAATCCTACTCGATCAATGAGTTTCCGTACTCAGTCTCTCATACGAAGGATAGTTGTGGCGGTTTGTGGTGTTTTGTTAGGAGCTATTCTTTGTGGCGCTCTTTTCTCCATCTGTGTTTTCAGCTTCGGTTATTCATATAAAGTTTCAGGCATTGTCACAGGTTCAGTGTTTCTTTTGGTTCTTATTGGAGTTGGCGGAAGTCGATTTCTAAGTTGCTGTCTGCTTCTTGTTGTTCCCTCTTTATTCACGTCACAAGGTAGATCGTTAGCCCTAGCAGCCATATTTATCTTACTAATGGCGGGTCCAGGAACAAATGTCGTCAAGAATACAGTGGAAATATCGAGGTGCTTGGCATGTGTGGCCGACTTGATCCAGAATCAGCTATTGCAACTTGCAAAACAAATCAAAGCTCCTTTCGATCGCATCGCTGCAGCGCTGAGAGATGTGTTTCAAAGAGTTCTTAGTGGTCTGCAGGAAGTTATAGATACCATAGATGCTGTGGCCACCAAAGTACAATCCTTCTTGAAAAAAGTGAAAGAAATCGCCTCAAAGATTACTGGTGTTTTCACTGTAAGTGATTTACGATTGCATATTATGATTTCAGGAAAAAATATCTATTAAAAATGAAATACACATATGCATTTCTACAATGTTATAGTAAATATACATAATTATACCTCAAATAAGTATAAATAAATAAGATCTTTTTTTTAAAAAAAAAAACACATGAACTTACTTTTGTTTTCAATGCACATTCGAGTAAATGATTAACATCATATATATGTTTATCTGTTTTGAAAAATAAAAGTCATTTACTACAGGATTGTGCAGCAACTATGGAAAAAGCAAAAGGTGAATGTGAATCAGCGATAGGAAAAGCAGAAACAGCATGTGACGACGCACTGAAGGCAGCGGAAGAATGGCTGAAAAAAGCCGCAGAGAAAATAATCAGCCCGTTCAAAAAGGTTGCGAGTCTCTGGGGGAAAAGACGTAAGCGTGCTCTCGGTATATCACACTCAAGCCAAACAAACAGAACAGTCTCACAGAAGTATAAAATACCACATTCAAGCCAGACAAACAGAACAGCCATATTGAAGGACAGAGTACCACACTCAAGCCAGACAAACAGAACAGTCATATTGAAGGACAGAGTACCACACTCAAACCAGACAAACAGAACAGTCATCGGGATGGAAAACACATCACTCAAAAGTCGATCAGACAGAATGCTCATTCAGAGGGAGAGAATATTACAGTCAAGTCAAAAAAACAAAACGACCATCGGGAGGCAAGTGGTTGACATGATTCCAAACACTGATCTTACTGACAGGAAAGAGGGATATAGTCAATCATTCGACATTTTACCTTTCGAGCCAAGAAACAACAGTATATCGTCACAAATGATAGCGAGTTCTTGGTCTGAGGTTCCCATTTCCTCAGAAAAACAAAGGACAAATAGAAGGTATGAACATGTCTTTTATCGATATACCACAGAAATTTGATAAAATATTGAATTTATTCTAATAATAGCTAAATTTACATAAATTTTTACAGCTTTACTAATTATAATTATATATGTACATATCACAAGACTTCGTCTAACTTTTTTCAGTAAGATTGACTTTAATTAACTATTTTGCACACAGGAAAAATGGCCATAGTTTATCTTAACATTTTTGTTACTTGTATTGACATGAAGTTTTTTTTAATTCGTCCGAAATGAGATACTAACCGCTGTATAGTACATGTACATCGATAAATAAATTGGTGAATTTTCTTTTACAGTGTGTGGTATTTTTTGGGCGATGAGGTTCCTTTTGTATTTGAAGAAAGAGTTGCCAGGTAATCAGCTTTATAAATCATTTCAAATTAAATTATTACTATTTGAAATTAGAGCAAAATAAAGAGTGTTATAGTCCACATTTTTGCATTAATTTCTTCTGAGAAATCAGAAATTTTTTTCTTTACATTAAAAAAAAATGAAGTCCTTTTGAATTGCATGACCGAAATTTGTCATCGCATATTTGAAAATCAATCATGTCAAAATCTTTCTTTTTATTTTCAGGAGAAAACGCTCGATCTGCAGTGTTCTTGGAGCTGTTGATGTTGTTTGCAATGTCGTCGATATTCCAGGATCCATATGCAAGGCCATCAGTTTTGCTTCAAATGGGTTAGAAAACGCAGCACAGTCTGCAATGAACGAATTTCAAAACCTGAAAAGCGAATTCGTTTTTGGTTTCAATGCTTCTTTTGATATAGACAACAATATAAATTCTTCAAAGTCTGCATCACAAATTGTCGACCAGGTCCTTGCCGATATTTCTAGTAAAGTGTCAAATATATTTAAAATATCGAGTTTCATCAGCCAGGCTCTAGGTGTCACTGTCTTTTTCCTTTTCCTCAAAGCTGTTATTTACATGACTCGATACATGAAGCAGGATTTCTACGATAACATTTATATATCTCCCGAGTTTATCGAGTATGACAAACGTTGTCAGAAAGAGGGAAGAGAATGGGTTCTTCCATTAAAGTTTAAGGAACATTCAAAGTATATAATCACTTCTTTACCATTTCCCACAGCCCAAGAATTATCCCTGGCCATGACAGGTTTAACCACATTTTTTACACATTTTGGAATAGCCGTTGTCGTCATAGGGTTTAATTATGCTCTCTACTATCTACTCGTATTGATTGAAAAATATGGTCAAGTAATGGTCCTCTCCTCCAGTGTTTCCGGTCTTAACGTCACAGTGGAGGGGAGTGGATTTCTTGCAAATTTTCTTCGCAACCTTATATCAAATTTAGACCTCAATGTCAACATTACTCTAGAATTCAATGTAACTGAATGCTTACCTAGTCCAAATCAACCAAACGAAAGCGACATTCCGATATTTTCTCTGTTGTATGGTGGCGTCCTCTTCCTAGTTTTAATTCAGATGTACTCGCTTCGAATCCGTCGTGTCATAACATCTCATTTCTATCCAGACCGAGAACGAGAGAGGTGCCGTCTGCTTCATGAGTTAATACGTCATCGGAGGAAAACGCTCTTCACGTATGTGAGACAGCGTTTACACTTGCGTCGACACGACGTAGACAATCGTGTGTCTATTCGGGGGCTCCTTGAATATAGTCAATTTGGAATATTTTGTAAACCGTTACTTGATTTTTGTTTGCCAAAGAAAGCAACATGCATTAGCTGTGAAGAAGAAGCAAGCGGAAACGTATCCTTTAGAAAATGTAAAAAGTGCAAGTCTTTGTATTGCAAAAATTGCTTCGAGATGTTTCAAAATAACTGTTTGCTTTGTCATGCTAGGCAAGATATTCGAGTTGGTAATAACAAGGTGTGATTATTTTAAAGCCAGAAAGAAAACCATTATTCAACGTTTTCATTAATCTTATTTTCTTAATTTAATCTTTTTGTGTATATTTTTGGATTATTATTGATACTCATATATATAGGAAGCGTCTTTTATTAATTCAAGATATGGCTGGACAAGAATTATTTTTTACTAATGAGAGTTATGTTTGTTAGACCAACTTTAAAAAGTATATTTGTTCGCCCTCCGGATGAGGAATTTCCAAGAAAATTTCAACATCAGTGCTGAATTTTCAAAATCTATTTTCCGGAACACGTACATAAAAAAAAAAATTCCCGGAGGTAAAAAAAAAAAAATTGATGGGACCATCTATAGTCAGTCGTTCGGGAGAAGGCAACCAGATTTCCTTATTTAAATCTCCTCTGCAAAGTATATGATGTTAACATATTTTTGTGAAATAACGAACATGCATTCATTGGTATTGGAATCTAAATAATCGACAATCACGTTCTATCTACATGTATAATGACTTCACGAGAAATACTCAGAAACCAATATATGAATATTATAACTGCATGCTTTTAAGTCTTTGTAAAATCTAATAACTCAGTTTGATTGTAAAACACGTATTTTATTTTTTAAAGAAATGATTGTATGATTGTACGATTATAATAATTATTACGATCATTATTGAATAAAATATTAATAATATGAACATCTCTTTACGTTTTAGTCTTTGATATACATAAAAAATAAATGTAGGAATGGATATGTAATCTCTGACTTTTCTATTTCATGTCTGAATATTTTACTAGAAAAAAAGTGTAACCTAACAGGAAAACCTAAATTTAAGTAATTTTAACATTTATATTTTCCTTCTTTATGCCATAATATTTACATCAATACCTGTATAATTAGTAATTTATTCCTTTCAGTTGATTCAATATGCTATACTTTAGAATAAAATCTTAAACGACACAAGCTATTAAACATAAGCTGATACTATTCTACCATTAAATCGAATACTAGTACATGTATGTAATAGTAATTGTTAGACCCTTATTTACACTCTGAGTTAATTTGTCTTTGGATTTTTCGGTTTACCCACGGCGCACAAGGCGGGTGTGACCAGTTGACTGGGGATACTTACTCCTCCATACCACCTGATCACACATCTGATGTTTCTCTACAAATTACGCCCTGAATTTTTCTAAAATATTGATCTACTTCTATTTTGTATTTTTCCGTATTTTCTTAAAAAGTTGCAGAAGACATCAATGCACTTTTGAGTTGATTTTTCAAAGCAGGTTTATAATATGAGCTTTTTCTAAAGGAAAATAAGCCCAAAAATGAGTCATTTTCCATATTTCATTCTACCAGAAAAAAAAACTTTTGTTGAACATTAAATTTTTAGGGTATAATAAAACCCAAACCGTACCTTCTTCTTTGTATGTTTGTAATACACTTTTGAGTTTGATTACTGTGCTTTACATATATCGAAAAAAAAATTTTTCCTAGTATATATTCATATTTTTTACTTTTTTTTTTTGTTTTAAGGTCACCTGAGTAAACTCATCAGAGTAATCTATGGGTGAAGGGGAACAAAAATTGTGAATTTCATGGTTCCTCCCCCTGGGGCCTGGGGGTGGGGCCAAAACCACTAAAGTGAATAAAATATTTCAAAATCGTCTTCTTTACTCCTGGACATCAAGCAGTCAAACTGTTTGCATGATTATAATCAAAACTGAGTCCTCTACCAAAATTGTGAAATTTATGGCCCCAGGATCAGGGGTTCCAGTGCTAGGGCGGGGCTAAATAAATTATGTAGTGAAATGCATTATTTCTTTCAAATTCGTCTTCCCTGCTCCTGGTCATTAAATAAACTAACTAAGAACATAGTTGTGTCGAATAAGGCTTGTGAATTTCATAGCCCCAAGGTCAAGGGTTCTAGTGCTAGGGCGGGGCAATATAGATTATATAATGAGAATGAATTATTTCTTTGGCTCTATTAATGATATAGTGAAAGTGCATAAATTCTTTAAAATTCTTCTTCGCTGCTCCTAAGTATTAAGCTAATGAACTATGTACAAAGTTATGGTGAGGAAGGACGCCTCTTTGAGATTTGTGAATTTCAGGGCCCCAGGGTCTTCTACCAAAATGGTTAATATTAGGAATCTGAGATCAAGGGTACTTGGAGGAGGAGGATGGGGGTTACATAGTCTGATAATAAATTACTGCTTTGAAAATCTGCTCTTTGGTGTTAATGAACAATTTATGAGAAAAAAAGATTATGATAAAATGTGACCCCATTGTCAGTGGTTCCTGTGGGATGGGGTGCACAACTGGTTATAAAGTGGAAATGCATATTCTGTTTGTTACTCTGATCTACATTTCGGTAGTAAGTAACCAAAGTAACCAAAGTAAGCAAGCAAAGTGTATCATTATGATAAGCAATAGTGGCTCTTTCAAAATTGTGAATTTCATGGCCTCTGGTTTAAAACACGAATCAAATTCAATTGTTGGAAAGTTGTTACATGATACTCAGGTGATCTATAAGGCCGGTGGACCTCTTGTTTAATAAACAATTCAAATATGGACTATACATTTCTCGAAAAATTCGGGGGGGGGGGACCAGCCACATCTATTGTATGACAAATAAATTGACCAGTTTTCCTATGTTAGCTTACCCCAGTAATATACCAATATCAACTGCATTATAGTATATGTTGTTTCGTCTCCCAACTTATCTGATATGCAAGATCATGCTCTGAGTTACATTATTTTTAAGGTTAAATTTTGATTCTAAGTGATCAATACACAGGTTTCTGGTGAGTGACCAGGAGATGCTTATATGTACACCACCTAGGTACATGTGTACCTAGGTATTTGATCTCAAATATGGAATTCCTTAGCACCGTGTTTCATGCCCATTTACATTTACATATAGTTTTTACATTGTGGGATTATTATTTTAGATCGGCTACTTTTATCAAACAGTATATTTATTCATTTTTATATTATAATATCATTTTTTCAAATAGTACATCGTATTAAAAAACCAACTTATTTTACATGAAGGAAGAGAAAAAAAGACAATGAAAAAAATGAATGAAAAGCTTTTATTCAAAATTAATGAATTCAGCTTTAGATTGTCAACAACAGATAAATGTTACATAGAAATGGTTAAACAGGTTACTATAAATATACTAAAGAAAGACAATTGTACATTTAAATGAAGTGTGTCTAAATCTTCATAAAAACAATCTTGACATTTTACAAAACAGTCCAAATGAAAACATGTATATGAAAATATTTAAACAGAAAATGAGGCATTAACCACAGTGTATATTAATTTCAGTGTATAAAGATTTTTCTAAAACCATTTAGAAATGTTAGACCGTTGCTATGGAAATTGGAATTTTATGTGCATTTTAAAAAAGAAGGGAATTTACATTCTAGCTAATAGGTAATAAATTAAGTATTAAAGCTTTGAAACATTTAATGTATTTTCGTTGATTTTTTGAATACCATACCTATGTATAAGACACTAGTATTTTTATCTCCCATCTTCACTTTATATTTTAGCAATGTGAAATTAAACCTTTAAAATATACAAACAGAAAGAACATTACAAAGGCAATACTTCCTGGTGGTATACATTCAAAATTTTGAGCAGAAACAAAAAAAAAGAATTGTCATTCGAGTTATCACAGCATTCTCACAGCAGCTAAAGGTATGTATAGTGACTGTAAGTTATGGCACTAAAATCTGAAAATACATCTTCATAGTGAAAATAGGGGTGTAAAACAGAGTATATAAAGATAACTTCGCTATATGTATTTTAATAATAAGTTATTTTTATAAATAACAAAGAAGCAAATGTAATAAGTACATGCACATGTATTGTTAACTTTAAATTGAAGCTGCATACATAATTAATGAGGTGTTTGATTTGAAAATATGATAATCTCTTGAATATTCATATCAATCTTAAAGACGAAGATGTAATCGATGTACGAGTATTATAATGTGTGAAATTTAACAAAGTTAAACGATGGCATATTTGTGACTTCAATCACTAAGCGTCGAGAAAAAGTAAATTTTGGCACAAAGAAAAAAAATTAAAAACTTCATTAAATCATAAGCTTACTCCAATTTTTATTGGTCAAATATAGCATCTAAGTAAATTCAATGTGTCATATTTATTCACTTTTTTGTAAGTATTTCATTTCTATTTCAGTTTTTTAGAGTTTGAGGTATTACGGCATGCTCAAAAATACATTGTATATTTAACAAAAGGAGTATAAATATTTAACGAAGTTATACCATTTATGTTACTAATATAATGCTATAAATTCCCCACAATCCTTTGCTGGAAGTCAACAGTAAGATGCGCCTTGTCCATTCCACGAAGCGTTTTGAGGTAGTCAAAGCTGCTCTTATATTGCTGTTGAGTGAACCCTAGGGATGTGAAGACCCCCTTCAGTCCGTCAGCGCGAGCTGTTTCCAGGGTGGCCGTATAATTAGCTTGTGACGTCACTGTTATGAGATTGGCATAGGCTGTTCCATTCTCTCGAATTTCCGCAGCCTCGTTCTTGATTACCTGTACCTTTTTTTAAAAAAAAGAAATATAATTCATTATATGAAACGTAACGCAAGTACCCAAAAATAAAAGTGTATTCAAAAATAAGGTAGATAAATCTCTTTATTATCTATATTTTGTCTTGTACTATTTCATTTTTCAGACTTGACAGAAATTCCCCCAAAAATATAGCCTGAGGAACAGTAAGCTTCCGTGGGCTATTACTTTAGAATGATATGTATCAGATGAAGACGGCTCTTAAGGTAGGATTCTTCTCATATCTCTTGTATTTAAAAATTAATGAAATTTTCACAGAATCAAGAAGACAATATCGTTAAGTGATGGTATCAGGGAAATTAAAATTTGACCGTTTTATATTAGAGAAAAGATCAGGTCAAAAGATTGAATGTTTTTCTTATTGCATTAAAAGACACTACCATAAAGGGCCTGTAAGATGTTATTACCAAATTGACATAAATAATTCAAATTTACTGAAATGGATATTGACTAATCCGAATTTTCACTACTTTTCTTAAATTTTTTGTCTTCTAAATCTGTTACACCTAAATATATAAGAAATATAAGCAAATGTACTTTGAATATTTCATCTAGTCAGAAACCATGCACAGAAGAATCCTACCTTAAATAAACCCAATAACAGTTCATTGGCAAAGCAAAAGAAAGTGAAACAAACACACACACACCCTCACACACACACACACTAAAAAGAGGAGGAAAGAATAAAATTATATATCACACACACACACACACACACACTAAAAAGTTTACAGTTAACGATTCGTTAAGAGGAAAGAATAAAATTATATTAACAACCATCTAAAAAATGATCTTTTTTTAATTTGAAATGAAAATGAGTTTCATTTTTTATGTACCACTTCCCATACTATCTGATTAAAAATTCAAATTGCTAACCTTAGAATTTTAATTCTCAGAGGTAGTTTGAATATTCTTTTATATATACAGAGGCTCAGAAATCAGTCTAGGATATTAATTTTTACAACAGTGGTTCTTAAAGAAAATAGTAAACCAATTGTACAAACAAGACGACAACTAACTACATGTAGCTATTTGTGATCATTTGTATCAGTGCTGCCAATATCTGTAAAACTTATAATTGACTTTAACACTTAAAGAAAACAACTGATGTTTGGTATTTAAATTTTGAATTCTGAATAGAGTTCTTTTGAGAAATTTAAAAACCATGTAAGTTATTTAACTGAATAAATTAGTCACCCATTGGCCCAATAAAATACCTTTGACACTTGATTTTTCTACATTTAACTTCGAGGCTAGACTCACTAAATACATAGAGGATATTCAATGTTTTGTATTTGAATATGGAATTTATTTCACGAGTGGGACAGGATTTTTGATATTTTCATGCAATCTCTCACCAGTTTCCCTGCACTTCTGATATTAGTCACACTGTGACAGGATATCATTTTTATTCAATGAATAAATTATTTCACTGGTAAAAATGTAATAAAATGCGTTATTTTATATATACAAAAAATATTTTTTTTTATCATTTTCTTCAAATGAAGAATTACTATAAAAATATACCATCGCCGTAGTATTCTTCCTGACAACTTGTGCGTCCTGAAGAAGTTTTTCTCTATCGGCTTCCTCCTGTAACGTTAAAGCCTTCATGTACTGGCTCTGAACGTCACTCGGGATAGTTATCGTTCCTAACTGGAAGTACTTGACGTCTACGTAAATTCCTTTGTCAGCGGAAGTGCATGTTGATGTCGGTTTACATCCAGCAGGACAAGCTGAAAGGGGATAAAATGTCTTAAAGATGCCTAAGAAAAATGGAGAGTATAGGCTTAGATTCTGTTGAGGGTTTTCGCTGAGTCTACACTCTGCACTTCCGGAGGATGCTTCCATATTAATATGACATAATGGCTTTACTACGGAGGATTTTTCAATTTCAAATGTATATTATACAGTGTATATTTCCCTCTATAAAAGTTTTAATCCCATTGTGGCCCTATCCAACAATTTGGGGTCAGGACTTGAACAAAATTTAATTTACATTATTTAATGAAAGTTTCACATAAGTTTCAACTCTATTGATCCCATGGTTCTTAAGAAAAAATATTTTTGAAAGATGTCACCAAAGTATATCTCCACTTTAAAAAAGAGGACGTGTCCCTTGTCGCATAATATACGTTCCGGGTAACTTGGCGTTCCGGCCGGAACGCTAAATACCTATAATATTGGTTCCGGGCCATAATAAACGTTCCGGCCCGCGTAAGATTGGTTCCGGCCGTAAAAAACGTTCCGGGCAACCAAGCACCCTATTAAACTCTCTATTTATATTTAATATTGGCTGTTAATTTTAATTTTCTTCTTTCTTTTATACTTTCGTATATGATACAGCAGGATTTAATCGTAAGACATACATATGTGTTTACATTTCAAGTCAGAATATGCGGTCTTTTTACCAGAGACATTATATATTTATTGATGTCTCTGATTTAAATATTATATTAATCCATGAAATTCCAGTTGATTATTTTGATTCTTTGTAAACAAAAGAAGGTGTGAAACTTGTTTACATTGATATACCCCCCATCGTGCTGTTTTACGATAGACTTGGCTTCTATCGATACGAATAATTGCTCAGTCTTGCGAATCGCCGTAAGCACACATGACCACCCTGATCAGATGATAATGGTGATAGATTAATTATATTTACCATAAAATACTTTAATTATTAGGTATAATATTTTAATTTCCTTACAATTTTTTAAACACCCATACATGTAGTTGCGTTTTTTTAAACCAAATATAAAATAAATTAAAATACAAGAACATAATGGGAAACGAGTGCATGCCGGATCTAAAAAGGGAATTTATAATTTAAGCATTTAATACGAAGGAAAAGTGTTTCCCGTTTGTTGATTATTTTTCTTCGTCAGGTGAAGTTTTTTTTTTTTTTTTAAATTTTAATGTTATATGTCAACAAAACATGCACATGATCAACTTGGAAATGTTTCAATGACACGGCTAAAAACGTTTGAATAAAATTCAACTCATTTTTATTTATGCACGTAAGTACAAGTACATTTGTATTCATTAGTAAAAATAACACTGAAGAAGAAATGTATTACAGACACAGATCTGTATTTTACTATTTATATGAATAGCATTGTGAAGTCTGCTCACTCACCCCCCACCCCCAACCCTTCCCCTGCAGTGAACAGTAGACAAAAAACTTGATTTGCTTGGTATAAAATTTTCTATATTTTAATTAACAATTTGTTGAATGTGTTCAACAAACAAAGGAGTCTTAGTGGGGAAGGCAACCGCGAACGTTTGTTCTATCGCCTACCTGATTTTTCAAAAGACATCTTTGAATGACTTTTCCTATAGATATAATAGATTTTTTTTTTACGAACTTTCAAAAACTATAATTATTTGGAAAAAAAGAAAAGGTTTCTCTTTAATTCTGATAAAACGTGTATTTCCGCTCTAGAACTCGATGGGAATGTAAAATCTTAATTTAAAATGAAAACCTGCAGGCATGCTTATGAAGCTATCTTAGGACTAAGACATCTCTTAAGACGAACTTACGACATATCTTAGTCTTAAGTGAGGCCATCGAAGCTATCCTATCTTAGGAGACCTCCTAATCTTAGTCCTAACTTTAAGATGACTGCGGACATGTCATATCTTAGGTGATTTTAAGAAACGCTGGTGTCAGGAAAACAATTAAGAATGTTTTTTGTGTAAATAAATCAACTATTTACTGTAAATTAATGATTTCTTTAATGAACTAAATCCATTTATGAACATCATACCGTGTGAATATATGTATATACCTGTACAAATAAAATGGAGAGAAAATAAAGCTCATTGAATGTTTATGCATTTAAAGATTAGAAAAAGATTTATTCAAGCCCTTTCAGATAAAAATAAGAATTATTTTTTTTATTGTGGGATAAATCTTATTATATTTTCATAAAATTAAATCATTGAATTTTTTTAAAGGATGAAAATCCTATTAAAAATTTATGGCCAAAGTTTTTTTTAAAAAAGAAAATTAAAACATAAACACATGAAAAACACATATTCAAAAAACTAAATGAGGAAGTACGTAAATCTTTAATTCAAAACAAAACCTCAAAGTTGGAGATCCAGATAAAACTTTACAAAAGCAATATTAAAATAGAATAAAGAAAAACCTTATATACAGATCTTTTGAAATGTTGTACAAATGTAAAGTTTATTGTTAAAAGATTAAAACTGTAGGTCAAAGGGTAAAAGTTTTTACTTCTAAATCAAAAACATTATTAAGTTTTCAAAAGTTAAATCAAAAAATATACAATTTATGATTTGTTCACAAGGTTGTTAAAAAAAAACGGAGGAATACATTGTGAAATTAATGATTTCTTTAATACTTTTTAAATCCAATGACCAAGGTTCATTTGTAAAAATAAAACCAAGGGCTATAAAATAAAAGGATTACATATTGAAGAGAACAGTTCAAAAGATCACAGGTTTTTTTTTTTAAACCGACAAATCTGCTAAAGCATTTAAAACAATACAAACATTTTTAAGCCTTCCATTCAAATGTAAATAATAAAAACAACTGTAAACAGAACAGTTTTAATTAGGTCAAGTTATTGCAAAAAGAGAAACAACACATATTCAAAAAATTAAAAAAGAGAGAGAGAGAGAGAGAGAGAGAGAGAGAGAGAGAGAGAGAGAGAGAGAGAGTTTGTTGATCAACTTGGACAAAGAACAAGAAAAGATGTTACATGTATGCCTTATATCTTTTCTAAAATACTTATCCAATAATACAAACAACTATGGAAAGAAAAGTTACTTGTATATTGTCATGTAGCTCCGTTTTTCTGTTTCTGCTAAATGTAAACTAGATTGTACACAAATAACTCTATTACATTAATCTCTTCTTTTTTTTTTACACAAAACTTGGATAAAAATGGACTAATCTGCTAAAGATATATGTATGCAATAGAAATCGATTAAAATGAATTTAAAAAAAATACTTAAACATGTCAGTCTTAAATTAAAACATGCTTCTAAAAAAAGGAATAGGGATACACCCAATAAAGAAGTACTAACTCAGAAATGTTCTTAATAAATAAGGAAAATAAAAACTTTAATCGTCTCCAAACCTGATTTTTTTGGGGGGGGGGGGGGGGTCACATATATGATTATACAAAACATGTATTCGAATATGGTTTTAGATGCTAGATTTGCTTGCATACTCGCTAGTAGCTACACTAAGGGAAGCGAGTATGCGAGTGGATCAAAATTTAATTCGATTGTTTTAACTAAATTCTTTAAGTGACTAAGGGGGAGCTAACACCCCCGCCCCTTCTACATCTACACGTGATGGTAACTTGAAATAGGAAGTTCAGTAATTGCAACCCGGAACGTTTATTATGAGCATAATTTTTGGTTCCGGACTAACTTAGCTTCGTAACAAAATGGAAAAGAAACAACTAAGTAGCAAAAATATATGAAATATCTTTCAGTAATTACACCCCAGAACGTTAATCATGACCATGAATCTTGGTTCTGGGCTAACTTGGCTTTGTCAAAAACTGGGGAAAAACAACTAAGTAGCAAAAATATATGAAATATATTTCAGTAATTGCAACCCGGAACGTTTATTATGACCATAATTTTTGGTTCCGGGCTAACTTAGCTTCGTCAAAAACTGGAAAATGAAACAACTAAGTAGCTAAATATATATGAAATATCTTTCAGTAATTGCAACCCGGAACGTTTATTATGACCATAATTTTTGGTTCCGGGCTAACTTAGCTTCGTCAAAAACTGGAAAAGAAACAACTAAGTAGCTAAAATATATGAAATATCTTTCAGTAATTGCAACCCGGAACGTTTATTATGACCATAATTTTTGGTTCCGGGCTAACTTGGCTTCGTCAAAAACTGGAAAACAAACAACTAAGTAGCTAAAATATATGAAATATCTTTCAGTAATTGCAACCCGGAACGTTTATTATGACCATAATTTTTGGTTCCGGGCTAACTTGGCTTCGTCAAAAACTGGAAAACAAACAACTTAGTAGCTAAAATATATGAAATATCTTTCAGTAATTGCAACCCGGAACGTTTATTATGAGCATAATTTTTGGTTCCGGGCTAACTTGGCTTCGTCAAAAACTGGAAAAGAAACAACTAAGTAGCTAAAATATATGAAATATCTTTCAGTAATTGCAACCCGGAACGTTTATTATGACCATAATTTTTGGTTCCGGGCTAACTTGGCTTCGTCAAAAACTGGAAAACAAACAACTAAGTAGCTAAAATATATGAAATATCTTTCAGTAATTGCAACCCGGAACGTTTATTATGACCATAATTTTTGGTTCCGGGCTAACTTGGCTTCGTCAAAAACTGGAAAACAAACAACTTAGTAGCTAAAATATATGAAATATCTTTCAGTAAATGCAACCCGGAACGTTTATTATGAGCATAATTTTTGGTTCCGGGCTAACTTAGCTTCGTAACAAAATGGAAAAGAAACAACTAAGTAGCTAAAATATATGAAATATCTTTCAGTAATTGCAACCCGGAACGTTTATTATGACCATAATTTTTGGTTCCGGGCTAACTTATTTTCGTCATTTAGTGGAAAAGAAACATCAAAGTAGCAAAAATAGTTGAAAATGCACTCAGTAATGCTAACCCGGAACGTTAAATATGATCATATAATTTTGGTTCCGTGCTAACTTATCTTCGTCATAAAAAGGAAAGAGAACTTCAAAATAGCAAAATAGTTGAAATTGCGCCCAGTAATGATTATCCGGAACGTTAAATATGATCATAATTTTGGCTCCGGGCTAACATATCTTCGTCATAATGTGGAAAAGGAACTTCAAAGTAGCAAAAATAGTTGAAAATGCGCCCAGTGATGCTAACCCGGAACGTTAAATATGATCATAATTTTGGTTCCGGGCTAACTTATTTTCGTCATTAATTGGAATAGAAACATCAAAGTAGCAAAAAAATAGTTGAAAATGCACACAGTAATGCTAACCCGGAACGTTAAATATGATCATAATTTTGGTTCCGGGCTAACTTATTTTCGACACAAAGTGGAAAAAGAACTTCAAAATAGCAAAAGATTTTTAAAATAACTCTCAGTAATAGTCACCCAGAAATATGACCATAATTTGGGTTCCAGTCTGAGTTATCATAGTCAAAGATTGGAAAAGACAGACAGACAGCCCGAAATACAGGTATACAGACAAAAAACCTTTGAGCTATAGGAAAGAAATTTTAAAAAACCTCCTATGGCCTAAAGAAAGCCTTAAAGATTTTGAGGTCAAAGGTCAAGGTAATGAATTCATAAATTATTTTTAACATTTTCGTTTCCACGCGATATCTATGGAGAGTAGCCTTTGAGCGGAATTTTATACCACAACCCCCTATGTCCTAATTATGAGGAAGGCCTCTAAACTATTGGGTTTGAGGTCAAAATTTCAAAGGTCAACATCGTTAATTCATATACATGTATTTGTATATTCTTTCTGGGTGTAAAACTTTCATTTCTGGCCATGGACGATATCTCAAGAAGCGTTTACGATTTTGCAATGAAATGTCATACCATAACTCCCTAACACACACCCGTCTTAACCCCCCCCCCCCCCTTCGGTTCGTGCATGCTCTTCTTTTCCGTAATGCGGGGGACATAGATTCTCTGAATTAGCTTGTTTTATAAATCATGTTTGCATGACCTTGGGTATTATTGAGAACATTTTAAAACATTCTTTCTTTACACTTGTATTTCCATGTTAGCTTCTGTTTTCCCAAAAATCACTCCCCTTAGACACTTGTTTCCGCTATCCCAGTTGGTTCTACGGATCCATTTTGTTCTGCATGTATAATATTTTAATTAAAAAATATAATTTTATTCCCTATAAATTGTGGTCCCGTCTTACCTTCAATTGCCACGATTTGTGCAGACAAGCATCTACAATATCAGCTGCAGATCTGTAGCTCTCCGAAAAAAAATATATTGATAGACCGGAGAGCTACAGTGCCACCCATTGAAAAAACTGTATATTTATTGCGCACAAAAAAGTGCGCTCGGTTCTCGATTTATCTCTCCATGTTTTTAAAACAATAATCTCAAAATATTACTAACCGTGTGTTCCTAACATATTCTTTCGCTGTTTCCACAACCAAACATTCCCCATAGTTGTTGTTAATAGTCCTCCTGACCCTGATATTGTAATCATCGAACATTTCACTTATTTATACTTCCATTTTGGTTTCAAAGATAATTCGGTCCAATATGCTTCGTTCGGATGTCAACTACGAGAGTACTTGATAGAAGATAAAGAAAAAGAAATTTTTTGAAATCTTTCCTTATTTTCAATTGAAGTAAGAATTTGGAAGAATTAATCAAGAACCGAGCGCACCTTTTTGTGCGCAATAAATATACAGTTTTTTCAATGAGTGGCACTGTAGCTCTCCGGTCTATCAATATATTTTTTCGGAGAGCTACAGATCTATTTTTTTCGGAGAGCTACAGATCTGCAGCTACTACAATATGCCATGATCCTGCTACGTAATTTTACAACAGTGATGCTCCAAAAAAATAAAAAAGAACTCTATTCCATGTTTTGCAAATTAATAATAAAAAATTAAACAAAACTTTTACATTTTTGCAACTGTTATAATTGAAACTCCCCCATAACAAAATGTTGGAATATTGATAAACAACTTTTCATTTTGTGGGGCTGTTGAAATATAATCTCCATTTTCTTTTAAATTGGAGAAGGGGTGAGATTTTTAAAACACGTAGCGCAGCTACATGAACATTATTGCAGTTTACCTTTAACCTACATGTACCTGTGTAAATGTACATTTTTTTTAACCTTCATGTATTTATTTAATATTTTTTCTCCGAAGCAGTTGAGATTATTTCAATATAATGACATTGGCGTCAGACGCAAATTGAAAGGAGGGGGGGGGGCTTAAGTGAAAGAAAAAAATCAAACCTACAAAAAAAATTCTTGAAACTTGACAAGCAAAAAAGGAAAATGTGTCAATTGTCTAAACACGAAAATTCTATTTCGTGGGGGTTGGGGTTGGGGTTGGGGGGGGGGGGTATGATAGAACTTCTTCCAGTGCCAGTATTTTTTCCAAACACTACCATTTACCCTTTTTTAAACTCACTACAACGTGTCGGTTGAAAAAGTGTGTGTGTGTGTGTGGGGGGGGGGGGGGGGGGGTAAACCAACGCCCCAATGTACGATGTCTATATTATGCCTATTTTTGCAAAAAAAAGTGGGGGCTAAGCCTCCCTACTCCCACCCCCTCCGGTTCCGACGCCTATGAATGGCATGTATAAAACGATCATATTTTTACCAACTTCATCGTGTTTTATGTATTCAAACACCCATGCAGAAATAATTATTTTTACCACATATCTTAAGCGGTTGGTGGTTAGGACATTCCTCGAGGTAACACTAATGTGCATTTTAATTCCTTTAAAACAAACAAATAGCAAAAAAAAAAAAAAAAAAAAAAAAATACGAAAGAAAAGAAAAAAAAAAAAAATAATTTTTTTTTTTGATCGTATTAAATAAAAAGCCGAGCCAGTCAACATATATTGTCTTTACTTTTCATATCTCAATTACTATTTTTTTTCTTCCGACGATTAAAAAAATTATCATTTTCATTAACTACACGTGCTTGGCTTTTTGGTATTAAAGGGAATAAACCATACTCGTATTCTTATGTTTTCATGTTTATTTCATTACAGAATAAATCACATCATCATGAAATACATGTACTGTACCTACATGTAGTATGAAGATTAATTTAGAAGAAAATAAACCATATACGTAACATTCTTCAACAGTGAATCATATACATATTTCAAATGGAATATAAACCATATATCATGCCATTTCATCAATAATATCTAATTATGAAAAAAAATCTTTAATTATGAGGAATGGAAGCCGTGTTTGAGCCTCGACTTGTCAACACGTGTAATATCATTTAAACAGAGAATTTAATTCCGTAAATATATAATTATCAATATTTGTTCTTTACTTTTATCGAATTCTGAAATAAAAAATTTATCAATTAATTAATTCTTTGACATTGTGTTTCTTTAAATGTTAGTCTTTCGTAAACCCGGTCTTAAATTGTTTATCTCCTAACCATGCTCTTAACCTGTCTTTACGGGTTTGCGTGCATTGAAGCGAGAGATTCACACCTGGCATGCACTAAATAAACAAAAGGAATTGAGTTGTAGATAACCGATTTGTATACATAAGATAAACAAAGCCTTATAATGCGACCAAAGTCATATGTATCAGAAAGAGTATCATCAGGCTATTTATTCATCTATTTTTTAAAATTGCTAAGTACAAAACATTGCGCGTCGCACGAAAATAGAATGTCGCTGCGTGATGCTAAAACCTCAAGAAAACCCCCCACTAATTCCATGACTCAATGTGGAATGAAATCTGGACAGATACCGCGATTCGAAGATTGAACTCATGGCCGGAACCTATATTACAGTAAAATCCGGAACCAATATTATGATTTTAAGGTTCCGGCCGGAACGTGAAATACCATTATTTCTTAAAAGAATAGGGATGGATACTATATATACGAACACATAGTACCTTATAGAAGACCTGTCGACGTACTTACCGTATTTGTAGGAGGAACAGTCCGACCTACAGCAGGTGCCTCCCAGTCTGTCACGTACCGCTTTATACACCGCCTCCTCCATTACCTTACGGTTTGTGATCAATTCTCTAGTATTATACCCTGTAGTTGCGCCCTAAACAAAGAAATATTAAGAATAATCTATTTTTTTAAGATAACTACATGTACCTGCATAGTATTGAAGTGCAGTAGATACAAGGATTTTAAGTTTGAAATATTGACCTAGAAAATCTCGGCTTTGAATTACATAAACCACTTGCGAAAAAATGTGGAGGGGTGATGAGCGTTACATCGTAACACAACATAATTCAATCTTGTTAGACAAATATATCACGTTTTCTTATTATTCATGATCAGGGATGTCCTTTAGTCCTTACACAGATAATTAAACATTTCTCAAACACTTTTCAAATACAAATGGCCTGAGTATGTCACCTTGACGGCGTCCAGAGCGCTGTTTTTAACGATGTCCCGATAGTCTGTGTCATAGGCGTCGTGCAGGAGGACGAGCTCATCTGCACGGAGGAAGTACTGTAAATTTGCCGTCATTTTCACCTGTAAGGTACCGATAAAAACATTATCTTAAAAACAGTTCTTTTTACCCCCGAGTTTGATAAGATTTTCTACATTCACCAAATAAATAGTTTTCCTTCCTCTAACTTATTGAAAGTTTCAATATTGTCTTAAATTGTTGAATTGTTCAATCCAATTCTCAATGTCATCTTTTTCCTACGAATAAAACAAGTGATTTAATACTTTGACGGATTTTTTTCTTTACCTCTAACTTATCAGCAGTGAAAATTGCAATGTCTTTTAAGGTGACGAAATGTGCATCTGAACTGAAAACCTTGAATTCTACATCTGGGCCAACGAAGTATTTTCCGTTGGTGTATACTTCCGATTTATCCACGGTTCCAGATGATTTCTGTCTTTCAAATCCCATCTATAATGAAAAAAAAAACATTACTATGTGAAACTGCCCGAAGAATAATTTCAAAACTATTCAAAATCATTGATTGTCTGTTAGATATTCCCATCATGTCTCGTGAAACATATGGAGATAACGAACAGAATTCAAGATCAAAAGTCCATAAAACAATTCATAATAAGAGCAGAGCAAATACGGACCTCCAAAACATCAGAGGTGGGATCAGGTGCCACGGAGGAGCGAGCGTCCCCTGCCGATCGGCCACAAACCCCTGCCACTACCGGGAAACAACGGGAAAACCCGCCGCCAATCCAGCTAACACACAATGGACCAACCACCAGCACAAAAAAACGCCAGTCTGACAGGCCACCGTATCGACCACAGAACCCACAAAACGATGACCTCAGACGAGACCGCTGACACTCCCGCCCCAACAACCCATTTGTCAACAATTTACCTCGTTTAAGAAACTGTTCATACGTAGAGCATGCCCCCGCGTATCGAATCAACTGAAATATATATTCTCCGTATGCAGGTGACGAAGGCACACTGCCGCACAAGCAAGGGAAGCCGACGACAGAAAAGCCAAAGTCGCTCGTCTATCAAAGAGCTTGGTTGTTAGATTACCATCAACGCCCTTTTCAAGCAAAGCATCCAAATTTGAAACAGATGTGTCTAGAGTACATGATTTATTTCGAAGTGTCCTTCTTGATATACTTTATTATATCAAATAAAATATACTGTCTTGTATATTTTATTTGATAAAATAAAGTATACCAGGAAAGACAAAAGAGTAACAAGGACACTGCAAAGCAAAGCATCCCCTCGCAAAAATACATGTATCTTTAAATCAAAATAGCTTTTGACATTGATCTCGATGCAAATTACGTCACTGAAACATTTCGCACCCTCACACACCCTGCCGTTACAAGGGGATGACAAGCTTCTGACTATAAAGATACTATAAACAGAGAAAAAGGATTAGAGCGGCCTTACGTAAAATCAAACATAGTATGTTACCGGCCATTGTAATGTAGGGGTTTGTCATACACGTACAACAGCGGAAAGTATACTTAAAGGAAATTGCTACAAGGCTTTATTATACAGTAAAATTACAGATATACAAATGTACATTGTATACAGATAGGTAGTTCAGAACCTAAGTGCACATCTAATTGAAATTGTTTATAACAAAAATACACGAAGTATAATTTGTATGAATCTATCATCGATTGTTCATTTAAATGAAATCAATAATCTTTTATTTTTAGATATTTAACAACGAGGTCAATCGAAGTCTGAAAACGTGTTCCCAATGTTTTGACAAGATTTGCATTGGACAGAGCTATTTGGATGCTTCTAACATACCTCATAATATTCCAATGTCGAGAAACTGATTGGTATGAGAATCAGTATAAGCAGTGCGGGTATTCCAACTGCCACCGCCACCGTGAAAAAACACTTCTTTTCCTCAGGCATTGCTGGTCAATTCATAGACTTGGGAAGACGACAATGTAGTTTACGTTTCCTTCGAGATGAACAACCTGGTACTCACGGGGTATTTCCTGTTGTTTATTTTTACGTGTTTCGTTTATTTCGAAATCCCCCAAATCCGCCGTGTTTTTAAATATCCTCTAACACACCTCGGAAATAGAGCGGGGTTGTCAAGCAAGCGGATCAATGGAAACAAGTCCGTGTCTTTAAAACCCGTTTAGTGTGTCAATTTGGTCATTGTACTTGATATTAATATAAATAATAAATTAAATATGTAGCTTTATTTTACATGTATTGCTCATACACTTAGTGATCATAGGGCTACTTACATATATATTCATCAGAACAACAGCATTAATATGGCATACAAACGCAAAGTATGGGATTACAAGCATGCAGATATAGAACTCCTAAATACACTCATATTACAAAGTGACTGGAATAGCATTATTGATGACACAGAAAACATGGAATCTGCTACAAAAAACTTCACAGAAGAGTTTAATTCTATAATTCACCAATGCATACCCGAAAAAACAATAACCATAAGACCAAACGATAAACCATGGATGGATTCTCTTTTAAAGAAAACTATTCGTGATCGCAATAGACTTAGGAAAAAAGCACAAAAAACTAAAACAGAATGATCGCAACAATTATCGTAAACTATGAAAAATCTTAATTTCTTGTATATATAGTATTGTGTTCTGGTATCAAGAGTTTACTGTCTTTGACACTACTAATTGTTACCGAAAATAATTGTTCTTTATTTTGGCAATATTATAAAAAATTTTGTATGAGGAGAAGACTATCTAAGTTGTCAGAACTTGTGTCTTATCCTTTTGGCTTTAATTGTCAATAAAATATGTTCAATTAAATGTATTAGTCTCTACTAAGCATAATTTATAAAGTACTGATTAAACAGCGACTAGGAGAAATAAACAAAACAAAAACTTGCATATTCACTGACTATATTAAATATAACTTAGATTTCATCTATCAGTCAGTCTAAGTGATATCATAAAATAAATGTGAGGTCATTTTCAATCTTAAAAACATAAAATTACTTGGGTACACTAATTGCATTGCATTTTATGTTTTTTAACATAATTACATAAATAACGTAACTTTTAGGGATGGGGTCTATTACTTTAAAAAGTAATTAATTAAATTACCTATACTTTGACTTTTTCTTCAATTAAATTACAAGCTTTCTGAGACATGTAATTTATTAAATTACAATTACTTTACAAAAGTAATTTATTACAATTACTTTACAAAAGTAATTTATTAAATTACAAATTACATTTGTTTTATTTATTTATTTATTTTTTTTTTTTTGAAATATTTTTATAATCCTTGTCAATGAATATACAGAACAGGGTCATTCACTTATATATAAGCGCAACCTCTGCACAAACAATAATAATATGCTATAGGCATTGTGTATCTTTGTGGTTTGAATTCTAACTTTTATTTACGAAACATTAAAGAACTATTCAAGATCAGTTTGATGCAGTTTCCTCCACACAAAACCTATATGTATACAAATTGCATGGGATATTGTGTTTAATTAAAGGGGGAATTTTAATAGAGTAAAATAAGACACAACTGAAACCCCTCAGATTAAATATTTCTTTTGAACTTAACTTGAATAACCTAAATTGTTATTTATGTTGAACATTTTTTCCTCATAAATAATACTTGTACAGAATATAACTTTTTCAGATACAAAGTTCATTTCTGTTTAGATGTTAAAATAATTATTATATTGAAAGTTTCATTCTCAAACTAGTGGGACATTTTTAATTGAAATAATTATCTCCATGCAATGGCTTTGTCTTCTAAATCATGGAATGAATACCTCGATCTTTAAAGGATTTGATTTGTTTTGATTGCAATTTACAGCTGTTATCTGGAGAGTATATAAATTAATGACACACACATTCCCTTTTATCTTGACACACACATTCGTTTTCTTCATTGATCAAACAACAAAGACTGAAAGATAATAAATGTTGTATTTCATAGCTCAATGACCTTAAAAAGGGTGGTGCAAAATTCAAATAAGCATAAAACTAAAAATTCAAATTTTATTTAATGATTAGAAAGAAAGTAGATCATTACTATAAAATAATTTGTCTTCTGTATGATTGAGGGTATGTTTTGCAATACAATAAAGACAGTTAAATGGGGAGGTAGTGGTGACAGTATTTCATGAATGCATGGGTATTATATAAAGTAATTGAATGTAATTGAAAAAGTAATTGAAATTACATGGTATTTTTCAGTGTAATTATTTAAATTACAATTACAAGTAATTGAAAAAATGTTCAATTACACATTACTTCCAATTACTTCCAAAAATGTAATTAATTACAGTCAATTACAATTACCCCATCTCTGGTAACTTTTACATTATTCAAAGACTAAAATACGTTATTTTCTGTTTGCCAGATATAAAATTTATACACATGGCTAGATGTACAAAAAATGCTTAAAATAGTGAATTAAATCAACACATACATTGTACATGTATACTTGTAATTAAGTTTTTGTCATTAAAGATTTCCAACAATTCTTTGTTGAAAATCTACGGTTACAAGTAATTGAAAAAATGTTCAACTACACATTACTTCCAATTAATTCAAAAAATGTAATTAATTAGTCAATTACAATACCTCATTCCTGGTACCTTTTAAATTATTCAAAGACTAAAATGCGTTATTTTCTGTTTGCCAGATATAAAATTTATACACATGGCTAGATGTACAAAAAATGCTTAAAAAAGTGAATTAAATCAACACATACATTGTACATGTATACTTGTAATTAAGTTTTTATCATTAAAGATTTCCAACAATTCTTTGTTGAAAATCTACGGTGAAATGAGCTGTAGACAGTTCTCTTAATGTTCGAAGGTAGTTGAAGCTGTTCTTGTGTTCTTGTTGAGAAAATCCTAATACGCCGAAAACATACTTCAATCCATCACTACGAGCAGCCTCTAAGATAGCAGAGTAGTTTGCCAGTGCTACGGCGTTTGTTAGTTTGGCTTCAACCTCTCCGTTCTTCCGAATTTCCATTGCAGCGTTCCTCGTTTGCTGGACCTGAATTCATGCATGTGACAAAAATTCTAATGCATTCACTCATATTACATGATTAAATTGCCAGTCAACTTCAATAGCGAAAATAATAGATCTTATCCTAGGAATTGTTTTTAGTTTTAAACTTACTAAGTATTTATTAAAAAATCAGCTAGATAATTATAGCTTTTTCTTACCATGGCTGTTGTATTTTTGCGCACAACTTTGGTCTCTTGCACAAGAAGTTCCCGCTCTGAATCCTCTTGTAACGTCAGTGCTCTCATAAAACGTTCTTGTACAACGTTAGGAATAATAACACCTCCCAGTTGAAAATATTTGACGTCTACAAAGTATCCTTTTTCTTTGACGGTGCACGTCGCTCTGGGTTTGCAATTTTGAGAGCAGGCTAAAATGTATTGTTGAATTATACTGAAAGTGCTACTCATTGTAATATATAGCAGAAAAATAAGAACTGAACTGAATTGCAAATTAAGAATGTTAACATTTTCACAGGTAATAAAAAATTGTTATCTTACTCTATGGGACACTGCTGTGCTTTTGTAAAAAAATGAATCTTTCGTTTCATAATCATTTTTTGACCAAATTACCAGTAAAGCACATTTTAACTTTATTTGAGATACTTAATATTTTACAATAAAATGAAAATAAAATCATATTTTATAGATACATGTGTACCATATTGGACAGCAGTACAGTTTGGCCTGCAACAGGTGCCCCCCAGCCGTTCTCTAACAGCCTTGTAGATCGTCTCCTCCAGCAGTTTTCTGTTGGATACCAGCTCTCTTGTTGTATACGCAGTTGTGGCCCCCTATAGTGAAAAAAGTAAGGATTTATTCAAGAGTTTTATTTCTGTTTGAATCATATATCATACTTTCTTAATTTAAATCAGTCAAAAGGTCATTGGATTTTGTAACTTTTGAAACCAAACCAAACAAAATGAAATCTAACCAAACAAAAATAACCAGTCGAGAGGACACTAAACCTTACCAAACGAGCAGAGATAATATCAACTCGATTACTTTTTTAAATAAATATTTTTAACATTTTAAAAAATGCTAGGGATAATGGAAAAAGTGTTCATTAATATAATCAGTATCTTCATGCCTACATGCAACCGATCTAGGACAACCAACCAAGAAAAACTCTTACTGTTCATTGTTTGCTGTATGTTTGCTGTATGTTTGCTTGAGAATTTTCATTCAAAATTGGAAGGCATAAGTTGGATGTCTGCAATATGAACCTGTAAGTGGCATTTATGGTCATTTAGGAATAATTTGTTTTTCCTTGACATAGCCACATGTGTTGGGGTATAGACTCATACCTCCTCCCTTTACACCCAGTGTCAAAAGATATTTTTAATTTGTTCTATTTCATAGAATATTTTTCTGGCACTTATCTCCAATAAATTCCAAATTTAAAAAGAAAATCCAAATTAACTTGGAATATTTTTAAATAGTATCACAGGTATAATAAAATCTTCATTTTATATATATTTCACCGGATATTCAAAACACTTTTCTTGGAAAAAGAAATAAGGGGACATGACCACCTCGCACGTAAGGGACCTTTGAAGACCATATTGTCCCAAAACGTACTTTGCATTTATCATTGCAGTCAACATTGGTTTTCAAGGGATAACAGTTTCACGTTGTCCTTAAAGTTAAAACAATTATATAATGTTTGTTATGATACATTTTGTCTTTACTTAAAGGTAAGTGTACCAGATTGCAATTCCATGATGTTGTCTTATACCAACTGATACAAATGCTTTAATTTTAAACCAATCAAAATATTATTTTGGAATATGGAAGGGCAAAAAACGGCTTTAAAATTCCGACTGGCAAAAAAAAAGGTTAAACTGTTTAATATACCTTCATTGCGTCAAGAGCACTGTTCTGAATTACATCCTTATAATCCATGTCAAAGGTGTCATGGAGCAAAACTAACTCATCCTTTCGGAGAAAATACTGAAAGTGAACTGTGATGTCAACCTTCAAAATAACGAAATAATATGTTAAATAAACAATTAACATAAAATCATGAATATCAAAAGTATTCAATCAAGTACCTGTTTTATACTTAAAAAAATACGGGACAACTTTATTCATAATACATATACATTTTATTGTTCAGTACATTTGAATAAATACATTTAAAGAATTTATCTATTAAACACTACCTCCAATTTATCTGCTGTAAATATTTTGGCATTTTCCAAAGTGACGTAATGAGCATCAAGAGGGAAAACCTTAAACTCCATATCTGGTCCGTATAGGTACCTGCCGGCGGTGTAAACTTCGGATTTGTCCACTCTACCTGTAGATTTTTGTCTTTTAAATCCAAACTACAACAAGTGAATAACAAAATGAAATATAAAAAAAAAATCTATTTTCATGAATGTTGACCGAACATTAATTCGTCTTATACATGTATGAGTGGTGTAAAATGACGAGGAAGCACTGGGAAGTACATAACAAAGCCTTGAAAATAAATCATTCTGAATCAAAATTGCATGTTCAAATATTGTTTGTATGTAATTATCATAAAGAAGCGGGGATAAGGCGGGCAGAATGCCTATAGCGTCAGATATTAAGAAATCACATTTGATATGTAAATTGAGTGTTTAAATTTACTTCTCATTATTGTAATTTATAAAATTATGAGAAAAAAAACTTTTTCTGAAAGAAATTGTATAAATCTCTTTAAAAATTTCATGCCGGTCTTATCAAAAAAACATTGAGCAGATGTGCCAACGCCTACCGTGACACGGGACCTACGTTTTTAAGGTCATATCCGAAAGACCCGTGACTTTCACTTCTTGTGCCGAGCGCTTGGCGAAGGAACAGTCACTACCTATAAAATACAAAGCGAACGCTCTACCATCTTGACCGGTTTTTCTGAAAGAAAATAAATCTCTTTAAAAATTTCATTTATAAAAACATTAGATGGTGTACTAACGCAGCAATACCGAAGTATCTTACTGCTTTACCTAACGCGCTAACCACTATGCTACCTGGCTCATGATGATATAAAGGGGCATTTAAATCACGTTTGTGATATGACCCTTGACTTAATAGACTTAAAGTATTTCTCGGAAAGATGCCAATGTTTTGTCATAGAATTGTACTTTTAAGGTATAGTGGGTCTTCGCTTCATTTTTTTGTAAACCAAAAAAATTATTTTATCGCAAACTTTTAGGATTATCTTTCAAAAAAAAAATGGAGCGAAGACCCACTCATATTGAAAAAGTTTGTTAAAGTATGAAAAAAATGATCGTTTTTGTTCTTTTAAGTCTGTGTATGCTTTTTCATAGGCAAATATTTTCAGTCTTTGTGAGATTTTTGTAAATTATACAGATTTTACATTAAGTATACTTTAATATTAGATGAAATATGAAATAAAATTTGGATATACTTGAGACTAAATTTTTCACTTCTTATCCGTCACGCTACAGGCATTCTGCCCGCCTTATACCCCCAACTTCTTTAGAAAACGTTCTTTCATAATTACAAGTTTTCTGTACAACGTGTAAACTACATGTACTGGAGTATCTAGATCTACATTTTCAGTCAGCATGAAGGCGAGGTTGGTGATCCAGCTGAAATTCAATGTCAAAAATTGAATCAAAGACCTGTTAAGCACTTTGGACAAAGCTATTTGTAGGATTAATACACTAAATTAAAATTCATCCCCATAAATGTTCTACATCTTTTGAAACAAACAGTAATAAAATATGTGGCATATAAAATGTATACCATTAGCTAGAGAAAATATATTTTCTACGACTTAAATCTAAAATATAAAAATTAAATGTATCTACAGATTTCAATAGTATTTGCTTATAACGGAATGTTATAGCTAATATTATAAGCATTTATTTTGAATGAATAGCTTTTCAGTTATCATGATCTGCTATATACAGGGTGTGGCATTACTGACATCGATTTTTTTCCCCTCTGCAATTCTTCCTTTATCAGAAAGAGCAACAATAACATAATGTACTATTTATTCATACCAGTTAGAATTCATAGCGTACCTCATAATATTCCACGTAACTGAAACTGTATGCCAACAAAATACCTCCAACGATTGAAAGAATACAACATCCTCCAACCGCTACCAATACCAGTGAATTCCTCTCACTGCCCATTTCAACAGATATGGAAAAAATGTCAAAAAAATATTCAAAGGTATTAAGGCAATGTCAAGGACAAGTTAATATAAAAATCAATGTTGTGAGGTATCCGTGAACAAGCCCTTAAAATAGTAGCAAATGCAGGTAGAAACGCAGCCGAGAATTTATTAATTGCATTTCCTATCACACCTCATGATTCACTTAGTGATATAAAAGTACGAATATATTATACACTCCAAACAGGTTGGGTTTTATTTGTTTTTATATATTTGATCCTAATGAAAGTCTACCTTACATATATGAGAGCAGGTAAATTAAAATACAAATATATGTCAGTTAAACACATAACATTTTACGAGTGATAATGATAATTTCTTACAGTAATATTTATTGAAAAACAGATTCTATTTCTTAAAGGAATTTTCACAAAACAAGTCATACTAGTAAATTCTGTGGTATCATGCTTTTAGTGTCATATTGGCATGTACATGGCATATTGTGCTATCTTGTCTGAAAATCTTACATTTTTTTTATATCTTTGAAGTACAAATATAAATTATATACATAAAAAATATAAATTTAAATCATGTGTGATTTCATTCTGAATACATTTTTCCTGGAGTTCCATAAGTTTATTGCTTGACACTACTAGTTTTTTTCATTGCTGTGAAATAAAAGAGTTGAATGCGGGACTACATCCAATATTTCAACAAAGTGAAAAATGCCTTTTATCATATAATTATATTTATATAATATAATGTCATATGGTGTGAGATGAAGCAGAATAAATGTACAGTGGCATGAAGGTTTTGTTTAGCTAAGCTGTTATAAACATAAAAATTCATATAGGCCCCAATACTTTTCTTTCAACCAAAAGCAGATATAACTTTATTTTCAAAAGCAAGGAGTCGTGACATGAACAACATCATAGGGATTATATATTAAGGACACATAATACAAACCAATTTTAATCGAAAGCTTTGAAAATAACAATGTCGGAATATTTACATATCAATTTTATCAAATTTAAACCTGCTCTTCTTGAGAAAAATATTTTTAAAGATTCTTTCAATCCTTACATAAACCGTGACTTTGTATATAATATTTGCCTACTCTCAAAGCCCAACTCTAGCTATAGGGAATACTGAACTGGCAAATAGACTACCACACACACAAACAACACACACACACATAAACAGTTATGTTATTCCATGCAGCTAAATGCTTCAAACAGGAAACTACAGTGTATATGTAAGCAAATCAGATTTCTACAGAACACATTGAAAATAATCTATTGGCTTTTCTTAAATTGCTAAAGATTTCCTGCAATTCTTTGTTGAAAGTCGACAGTAAAGCGAGCTTTTGGGTGTTCCCGCAAAGTTCGTAGATAGTTAAAACTGTTCTTTTGTTCTTGCTGTGACAATCCCAATTCATTGAAGGTATATCTAAGTCCCTGAACACGTGCCATCTCCAGGGCAGTCGAGTAATTGGATCTTGCCACGGTCGATATTAAATTTGCAACCATTGTACCATTATTCAGAATTTCTGCAGCCTTGTTCTTGATTTGTTTAACCTAAAACAAAAAGCTAATTGATTAATTAATACAGGTCACCTAAAACAAAAAAGCATTTTACGGTATAAATTGATTAATTTAATCATATAACTTATAATTTAATTTTAACAATAATAAAATGAAATATATAACGTCAGGCGGATGATACGTTTTTGACGCAAGTAATTGTGACTTAAACCCATTTTATACGATATAAAGTAAATTTTTTATCCAATTAAACAACAGAATTAATTGTAGAACAGTAGCAAAAGTCCGAAACATAGAATTGTCAGAGGTGGGGTGAGATCAGGTATAATGGAGGAATGGGCATTCCCTAACAACCGGTCACATCCACCTTGTGCTCTTGTCATGATCGGGAAATAACGGGAAAATCGAAGGCAATTTAGTTTGTATATAATGACCTAACTGTTTGTATGAAAAATGCCAGTCGGCATATGAAACAATTTGATATCATTAGAGATATCCTGTCTTTTCGATAAATATTCACTAGATCATTACATAAATGTTACTGATGTAACTCAAACATGTTTAATTTTGTTAAACACGTCATGTCTAAAAATATAATTGAAATTCCTCTTGATAGAAAATTTCGATATAAACATAACTTTACTAGCAAATTATTTCAATGGACATACATTGCGTCATAAAAAGAGGCTATTAAAATAAAAATAAATGATAGAAAATGAGTTATTGAGCAAATATGAAACTTTCTTAATTATTAAAATTGAATGTTTATTGTCGAATTTCTACAAAAACGTAGAATAAGCTTTACCATTGCTGTAGTGCTTTTACGGATTACTTTGGCCTCTTGTAAAAGTTCTTCGCGCTCCGACTGCTCTTGTAACGTAAGAGCTTTCATAAAGCGTTCTTGCACACTATCTGGTATTGTCACTTGTCCAAGTTGGAAATATTTTACATCGACAAAGAGTCCCTTTTCTTTAGCAGTGCATTCAGTATATGGTTTACAATTTTCTGGACAAGCTGAAAAATCAAAAGGTTTTTTTTTCATTTTGAAAAAAACAAACAAAAAAAAAAACGTTTGTTCAGAAAATAAAAGTGAGAGGGAAACTTAATAGAGGTTCCAAAATTTAAATGTATTGACATATTATATTTATATAATTTATATATATAAACATTGTTTATATGATAACTTTCATTTGTCCTTGTAAAAGTTTGATGTTCTCTTGACTCATTATTAAATGTGCATCTTCAGTTTATCACTGTCTTATAGCATGTTATGAGGAGGGGTGCTAAATTTATTATCCTACCAAAGGCATAAGAGGTACAGTCCGGCCTGCAACAGGTGCCCCCTAAGCGTTCTCTGACAGCCTTGTAGATTGTCTGTTCCATCAGCTTTCTGTTGGTGACAAGCTCTCTTGTGGTATACAGTGTTGTTGAACCCTAATTGATAAATTAGTGTACTAGTATTTAAGAGTTCTAATATTTTTTTCTCAATTAAGTTGAATTAACATGATTTTTTTTTAAAACAAACTTCTGTACAATCGTTTAAAATCTTCAGAAACTTTGACAATTTTCACATAAAGTTTACGTTTATCAAAAGAAGAAACAGGAAATTTGAATAAGGTCTAAACAAATGGACATGAAGTCCAAATAAAGATAAGAAGTGAAAATTTTAATCTCAATTGAATCCAAATTTTACTTGATATTTCATCTAATATTAAAGTATACTTTATGTAAAATCTCTACAATTAACAAAAATCTCACAAAGACTGAAAATATTTGCCTATGAAAAAGCTTACACACACTAAAAAGAACAAAAACGATCATTTTCTCATTGACTTAAACAAAATTTTTCAATATTTGGTCTATCTCTATATCTTTTTGAAAGATGATCCTAATAGTGTGCTATAAAATATACATTTTTTGGTTTTCCAAAACATGTGAAAAGACCCACTATACCTTTTGTTAAAAGTACAATTTTATGACACAACATTAGCATCTTTCCGAGAAATACTTCAAGTCCATTAAGTCGCGGGTCATATCACAACCATGATTTAAATGCCTAAAATCACCATGAGTGGTGTAGCATAGTGGTTAACGCGTTAGTCTCAAAGCAGTATGCTATTGACACGTCGGATTTTTATTGCTAAGGTTCGAATCCCACGAATACCATCTAAAGAAAATTTTTTTACGAGATTTTTTCTCTCTCAGAAATTTTTTTTTCTCATAATTTCAAAAATTTCAATAATTAGAGGTTAATTTAAATAATCAATTCACATACTTAATATGATTTCTTAATATCTGACGCTATAGGCATTCTGCCCGCCTTGTTCACCCATCTTCTTTGTTACTCTCAAATTCATTCTGGTGAGGGGCTTATCTATATTAAAATTCAACTAATTCATACGTTGATAAACGTTTACGTTTAAATGTCATTTCATTCAAATAGCAACAGAAACAGGAAATTCGTCATAGGTCTAAACAAATGGACTGAATTCCAAATAAAGAAATACATTTATTTAGCTTCTATGGCATAGCAGGTATGCATGTATCTAAGTTTTGATAACTAACCTTTAAGGCGTCTAAAGCACTGGTCTCCATGACACTTTGGTAATCCAAGTCAAATTTGTCATGCAGCAAAACTAGCTCATCTTTTCGGAGGAAATATTGTAAATAAGCTGTTATTCTGACCTGTAGATGTAAACGGACAAAAATAAGTTTTTATTAGTCATAGAAAATTTCTTGTTTTAAATATCTAAAAGGTTCAAGTTTATTTGAGGCAATGAAAAAGCTAGCTATGTCTAAATAGAGAAGTCATGAGGATCATTAAAATGGAATTTCAAAATTAATCTTTAGATTATACATGAAAATATCTTCTGATATCTTTGCGTATTTTCCTTTACCCAAAGGGAATCTACAGTAAGTTAAACAGATGCAACACAGTATACATGTATATAAGATGTGCTGTCATTAATATATCGTAATTTGAGTTTTTGTAAGTGTGTTTGAGCTATCATGGTTGATACCACCCCCGGGCACTCAGCAAGTGTTTGTCACCTTACATGCGAACATGAGACCGCCACTTCTGTTTTTTTCTCCTTTTTTCGTAATTTTCTCGAAATATGTAAATGTGCTTTAAAGAATACTTCTAATTATTTCAATTTGCTATGCGCCAAATGTGTCTTCATTTGTAAACAGCTGGTTATTGAGAAAATTAATATGACGGGAACAATGTTTGATTGAAGGATATCTGAAGACTGTATATCATTCTTGAAGGTAGAGCTATTACATACCCTTTTAAAATGCTTAGATTTTTGAAAAGAATTTAAAAAAAATGGTTTCTTTATTCTTCCAATAAATCAAAACACAAAAAACGTTTGATTGCCTGTTATACAGATAAAACTAGAGGTACTGTGAGCAATGAGCTCACTAAATGACACCCCGCCTCCCATATTAATATAATGGCAGTGTCCATGCTTTGCTGTGGGAAACCCAAAATATGTGTCGGATCAAAAAGTAAAATAGGAGGTGCATAATGGCAATATGTAATGAAAATTCTTTGAAAAATTCATCAAATTTCATTCAGTGGTATGAGAGGACAGATACCCCAAAAATAAACCGATTATTCCTCCCACTTTTCAAGCGGGGATGGGGGGTATAATAAACGAATTCTACACATCGTAGAAGCTGTATTGACCTCAAGTTTATCCGCTGTAAATATTTTGGCATTTTTTAATGTTACGTGATGCGCATCTGCCTGAAATGTTTTGAATTCCATGTCAGGTCCACCATAGTAGAGAATAGAATTGTAGATATCCGTTTTATCCACTTTACCGGTTGATTTTTGTCGTTTAAAGCCATACTGCAATTAAAAAATAAATATTTTACTTTTCTACCAATAGGACAAATATTTTTTTTTATTTTTATATAAGAAGCTGAAATATAAGTATCGCATGATTGACAAATTATTTTTTTTTTTATTCTTAATGTTAAGGTTTTTCCACTCTCACAGTTTAAATGGTTCAAAGTACAAAAACTTCATTTATATTCATTTGATATACTTTAAAATTTAAATCACCAATTATTGCAAAAAATTAAAAGGTCGCCATTTCATTTAAGATACGAGACATAAATAAACAGAGATATATGTCAACAATAAAAAATCTTACATTTTTGTGTAAACAGTGCTATAATAATTATGTAAAAACTTGTTTAAATGCATAATTCTGATGCTGAAAGTTCCGAAATACTTGCTACTTATATTTAAGATACTTTTGATTTTTGATTATCAGGGACATTATTTAACATCAGAAGTTCAATAGAGAAAATGCCTGAATGAAGATACCCAGAAAGGGGTTATTTCCCTTGTCAAAATTTTTAAAAGATTGTTTCATTGACTAAATAAAAAAATATTCATTTTTAAAATTCTTCTATTTTACAATATTTTTATCATTACACCTATCGAAAAGCATTCTTCCATAAGATATTGTTTTATTTGGTATGAATTTCAATTAATTACAGTTTTTGCAAAAACCTATGACATCAAAAGAGGATGGAAAGACCTTTAGGAATAAGATTATAGCCTTGATCTGACCTTGTTTCAAAAATAATAGGTCAAATTTAATTAATACCATCACTAACTGATAATTTCTTCTTGAATCTATGAAAATTTCATTGTCTTTTTTTTAAATACATATAAATAATAATACAATATATAAGTATTTTAAGAATTTATTACAACTTTAACAGCATATATTTTGTATGATCTGGTCTGTTGCATATTTCTCTTCCTGTTGCAGAACATTTGGTTTAATTTGAAGTTTAATTTTTTTTCTTCCAATTCCACATTATTCATGGCTTAAAATCATCATTTTACATACGATACAAAATACAAATTATCAACGGGTCCTTGATAGTTTTTTTTCCAACCTTTTGCACAACAACCTAACTTTTTCTAAAAGTACTCTCTAGTAAATTGACTATTGATCTGTGTGCATCCAATGGAACAAAATATTCGTCAGATCCTGGTCTGATATAAATGCGACACAGGTCTGCTTTACATAGGCATGACATCATCATTAAAGGAAAAACCAACAATCATTAAAAATTATGAATAACAAACAATTAAATAAAACTTACAAAATCAAAATTATTACATTTGAACAAGTGACAATTCAATTTTTAAAAGCTGATGAGTAACATCCTTTGCAGGAAAATATTAACTTCAATACTAAATAAATAGAATGAAACACATTATAAATTCAGATTCTGTTAAAAGTACTCTTATTGCAAAATTAGGGACAGTCAAAATAATTTTATCAGAAGAAGCATGACATAATCGTTTATGAAACTGCAAAAACAAAAGTTTTATACCTCATAATATTCCACGGCACTAAATCCGCTGAAAATCACTCCACTTCCAATGATAATTAAGATGATAATTGCGACGACAATGATAACAGTACGCCCCATCTCAGATCATTGAAGAACAATAGTTCGATTCATGAAGTGTAAAGTGATCATCCTTTCACTTTGATAAGCATGTATGAAAAATTGGATAAATATTCCTTTACTGATGTAGGTAATGTTAAGGATGATTCTCAACTTAATTGCCCAAAGGTATATGCATGAAAAACAACAATAAGAGGCCCTGGGGTTATATTGCTCACCTGAGCACTTTCCCAACAGTTCAGTATTGAAAAGTTTAAACTTTAAAGTAGTTCCGGGGTGGGTGGGTTCGGGGCATAATTTTAACAAACTTGAAACCAAATTTCCCAAGGATGCTTTTAAAAATCAATATGACACATATATATATATATATATATATATATATTTTATATATATATATATATATATATATATATATATATAGCCTCTCTATATACCCTTTGAACAAATTTGAATCTTCACTACCTGAGAATGCTTCCATATCAACTATTACTTATCATGGCTGTTCTTGGGAAGAATTTTAAAGATATTTTGATATATAATTTGATTCTACGCTACTTAGGATCCTTCCATGTAAATATGGCTTTTCATGACTGCTGTTCTTGAGAAAAAGAGTTTTCCCATGTTGAAATTTTATTGCCCGTCGTGACTCCTCCCTAAGCCTGTGTGGTTGAACAAACTTGAATCTAGACTACCTGAGGATTATTTTCTAACACAGTGGATAATTCTTGTAAAGGAGATTTTTAAATGATTTCATTAATTTTTCATAAAATCGCAATATGTTCCCTTGGAAAAAGGCATGGTCCTTCATTTGAACAGACTTAAATACCCTTAACCCAAGGATAGTTTGTGGCAAGTTTCGTTGAAATTGGCTGAGTCGCCCTAGAAGAGACGATGAAAATAAGAAAAGTGTACAACAATAACGATGACAGACAACGGACGAATTCAAATAAGAGGACTATGGGTCACAAAACCAACAAAATTGGCCTAGTGGTTCTTGAGAACAAGTTGAAAATCAATTCAATTTGAGATTTTTAAAACTTGTGTTTTTCAAACTTAAAAATGTGGCCGGAAAATCGGACCTCCAAATCATCTCTGGGATCAGCTGCCATGGACACAAAAATTCCTGACTGGTTACACTTGCCGTGTGCTTCTTGTCATGATCGGGAAATAACGTAAAAAAAATCCGTCGACAATTTTGTGTGTAATGACATAACTATTAGTATGAAAAACGTCAGTCAGCATTTGACTTGATGATAAAAACTGACAAGAAATGTTTATTTTCCATAGAAATTTCAAATGATGACTTTAAACGAGACTGTTTATATTTTTGTGTCATCAACTTGTTTGTCAATAACTTACCTCGTTTTAAAAGTGTTCATAGGCAGAGCATGCTCTTGCATGTCGAATAAACTAGGAGATATAAACCCCGTATGCAGGTGATGAAGGTACATTCATAATATTTCTGCATGAGTAAGAGAAGTTGACGATTGAAAAGTAAAATCATCTCTTTTGTCATTACGCTTGGTGTTTAGATCACCATTAACGTCTTTTTTCAAGTAGAATATCTTAATATAAATGAAAGATATGGAGAAAACGAACGGTATTCAAACTCAAAAATCCATAAAAGAATACAAAATAGAAGTAGAGCAAACAGGGACCTCCAAAATATCAGAGATGGGATAAGGTGCCATGGAGGAGTGAGCATCCCCTGCCGACCGGTCACACCCGCCGTGTGCTTCTTGTCATGATCGGGAAATATTGTAAAAAAAAATCCGCCGACAATTTTGTGTGTATATAATGGGCTAACAACTAGTATGAAAAACGTTAGTCAGTAATTGACATGATGATAAATTGTATTTGCTGACAAGGTCATTGTATCGACCATAGAAATTACGAAATGTTACTTTGAACGAAACTGCTGATATTGTTTCAGCAACTTGTTTGTCAATAATTTACTCATTTTAGAAATACTACATACGTAAAGCATGCTCTTGTGTATCGAATCAACAACCGAGAGATATAAACTCCGTATGCAGGTAATGAAGGTATATTGCTGCATAAAAGTGAGGAAAATTGACGACTGATACGCTATAAAGTCATCACGTTTAGATTTTGGACAAATTCTGCTTCATATGAATACAAAAATAGGTCTGCTAATAGTGTGCTTTAAGGTAGAGACCGGGTTTTCCAACAGTCTGTACCGTTTGTAATGTGTACATGTAATAACCCTGACTTTTTAAAAAGTAAGTCTGTGTTTTAATGCCTATGAAGCACAAATTACTTATACCCCATTCATACGACGAAAATTTGCTTATGTGTGCAAATTTACATATGAGTAAATATACTTACATATGAGTAAATATACGCACGTAAGTAAAAGTTAATTTGCTATGCGTTCAGACGAGATTTATGTACTGTAAGTAAATCCTTGTATTTTCATATAAAAATAAGGCGATCCACAGATTCAGAATTGTGGATTTTTATAGAGAAAGGTTATTTTCTTACTCTTTGGGTATAATACGACTAACTTTTGAATATTCCTCAAAGAACGTAGGGGCAAATCCGATCCATTTGTTTTCTTGTACGGATAAAAGCGAACTTTATAACTTTTAGGAAAAATTTACACACGAAAAAAGGAAAATTAATTAAAATCATTGTTTAAAGTTGGAAAATGGTTTAGCCTCGGTTCTAAAGACTATGGAAGAGCCGTTGGGTGTTAAGAAAAAGATGGTTGACTACTGGTTGCTGTCTTCAGAAGAATAAAGGACGACTGGAAATCTTTTTGGTGTTTGGAAATCTACAGTTCATCAAGTTTGCGAGTTCATTATGAAGTATCTAACTTGAATATTACATGTATTTTCCAGGAGAATGAAATGGGCAATCGATTTTAAAAAATTCAAACAAAAGAAATATGTGAATAGGAAATAAACACGAATCCCCTAGAAATTCATGGTGGGATCGGGTGCCAAGGAGAATACTTAAAATGCTTATTTTCAACAGTGTTGTTTAAATTCCTGTAACATCAATGTATGTCAGTAGCTTGTCTTGGTTTAAATATAAAGAAAGGTATAAGACAGTCAATCTGTAATGGGACCCGGGCGATTGATGCTATGCCTATTCCTATTGCAGCTCCGGAGGATTCCCATGAAGACTTCTTGAATTGTTAGGGGACTACTTATTGATCCTGCAGGACACATGTTTGCGCGAACACAGCTATATTTTTATAATTTAGAGGCATAATCATAGGTTTGTCAGAAAGGGTGCAAGATGCGCACGTTTTTGCAAATTCAAATTTATCTCAGAAGAGATTGTAGATATGGTGTGGATCCTTGTTTTCAGAGTTGAAAAAGCCATTTGTGGAAAGAACTATGCTAGTGCAGCCCGGCGTATCCTTTAAAGACTTTAAAGCAGTACCCTTATCAAAAATCAATTTACTTTCAGCTGTCCTTAAAGTACAGCAAAAATGACCATAAAAATCCAGTTTTTTTCTTTTGCTTTCTAGCCGTCATGTTAACAGACTGATATTATACACTTTACAATGCATAAACAACCGAAACAACACTTAAACTGGAGATTTATACAATAAACAAAACAAAATACATACAAAAGTAAATTTTGCTGCGTGTTCATACGACAAAATTTACACACAAGAACTGATAATTTGCGACAACATGTATGCAAAAGTTAATTTGCAGAAGTTGAAGGTGTAAATTTAAATTTCAGAATTTACATGTAAGCAAATCATTTCAATGCAAAAATTGCACATGTGAGTAAATTTACATACGAGTAAAATATACTGAGGTATGCAAATCATGTCGTATGAATGGGGTATTAGATATCTCGACATGGCATAAGAAATTTCTTGCAACGACCTTCCTTTAAACATTAAAATACACGTCTATCTAAGATATACTAGTATTTTACCAATAAGAATATTACTTTTCGTTATATACTTATTATGGACACGTTTTATCAGAGAAAGACATTTATGGCAAGAGAACAGCTAAAAATTATGAAAAAACGTGATGATCAACTTTGCTATTGTCAAAGTCCCTAATTTGTTCCAGTATACCGTTATCACATGCATATGGTGTCTTATGTTTCCTAGTATATTCACTTTGTAAGAACAGAAGATATATACACTGTACGACTTAAAAAGAGAAAATCTTAAAGACACAAGCACATCATCCTCGTGCACTTGAAAATAATTCCAAATAACTTAATTTTGATGTTTAAGTGTATATTTTTATAAATAGAAAAAATTGCAAAAATATCTCTCATTACGACCTTTCTGTGATTACCTTGTTTTCATACCTCTGAAGTACAATTTTCCTCTCCAAGCATTCCTATCTCTGCTTTTAATAGGTTCCACACAGCGTAAGTAAAGCAAATAAAATAAAATAGTCTCATTTGAATGAAAACAAATGTATCAATCTTAATGTAATCAAGATCAGCAATATTCTCATTAAAAAATTAAATAGGTATTATACTATCAGTAGTAACATAATTTAGACATACTTGACGTATCTTTATAAGCTCTAGACAGTTCAGTACAGGTTGTTAATATTCAGCATGATCAAGAACGCAGAAGCCTTCTTTTGATTCAGTCAGTATTTGTAATATTTTAAGTACAAATTATCTCCTATTATCTTATACAATATATTTTCTCTAGAATTATAAATATTATTATACCACCCGCTTGAAAAGCGGGAGGGTATATAGTAATCGTTAATTCCGTCCGTCTATACAGTACATGTGTATGTCCGATCTATTACGAATTTTACCATCTAAGAATATCCGCAACTCCTTCATAATATAATGAATTTGATGAAACTTTTATCAGAATCTTTATTACTTATTATTACTTTAATTAATAACTAGCAAAAAATTATCATGATAATCGTCATAATCAATTAATTGCTTTATAAATAAAGGGAAATGAAAAATTTTATTACACTGTGCTATTTATTTTCAATTTACTGTTTTTGTCCGTACAGCATTATCAAACTAATGCCCTGTTC